TTTTTTTACAAACAAGGTTTTCTACAGAATTTGGTAAAGGTTTCACACAGGATTTAGTCAATTGACTGGGATAAAATAATAAATCAGAAAAAAGGATTTTCTTCACTTTCATCATTGCAAAAATTAACTAAATTTTGTAACTCAAGACTATCTTTTAATGCATTATGGGCTGAATAATTTCTGTGAAGTAATAAATTTACAAACTAAAGTCTCTTGTTTATGATTGGGTAAATTAGGATAAAGTTGGAATAAAGTACACTTTATCTTCTAAAATATACTGTTTATTTTCCTAGCATCAAAAAAGTATTACATGTATCTGCATAAAAACCCTTGGTCCTCTGTTGTGTGTTTTATGGTTTTGTCCATTTGCACTTTAACAAAACCATTACAAGAATGACGTCGCAACACGCCAGGCGGGTGCACACCGGTTGCATCTTTTCTGGAGAGCTGAAAATCGCACTGTTTGCAGGTCATATTGTTCAATAACATACTTAAATCAACAACAAAACGCCATGAGTCTAATTATTTTAACTTATTGTGAAAGAAGAGAATTGTTTTCAGCATACAAATCACGGTAACTTGGCCCTGGGTGATCGGAAACCAATGCTGAAGAAGGCAATGTCTTGTTGCACACATCATAACCATGTGATAAATCACCACAATACACATTGTGGTCAAAATGCAAACAATTGTGATTATTTTCCGTGAGATAAGATCTTGTCACTGCTATACAAGCCTTACTAAAACGTTCTTTTCTATCCCTTCTTCACGTAATTTCTTACATTGCGGCATTTGTAACAAAGTCGCAAGTGGGTACTTTACGTCGTAAAAGACCAAGCGTTCACAGATACGCAACGCATTGTTGACATATTCGTAGCGCTTCGACCAAAATAACATCAAAGATTTCATACTGATTTCTTAAAAGGGTGAATTACGTATTTTATTGCATGTTATATGTTTATCATTAGCCGCTATCGCAAAAAACTACTCATGCGCGAAATCTGCGCAGATCGCAAAAAAAGCTCGTATGAGAGAACTACCTTAAGAACACATTTGCATGGCATTAGATTGCTGTGATATTAATTCATTTGTTTCTTATTTATTCATTTTTTTTATTTCATTTTATTTATTTTCAATTTATTTATTTTGCCATGTCTTATCTAAAATTCTACATTCAGGTCATCCTGATTGCGTTGGTGGTGAGTTTGATCCTGAAGAAATCAGTTGCAGTAAATGAGGGGAAGAAGGATATACCTCTGAGTAAGAATATGGTTCATGTACTCAGTTACCGGTGTCTTTGAATTAATAAGTCTTCCATTTCAGTTGTTGCAATCTAAGCAAAGTTGGCTCTCTCAATTATTTTGAAATATTGAACACATATAGTTATTTTTCTGTGTAATTTAAACTAAGTACTTCCTCATTTGTAGCTGAAAATAGAAAAATTCTTTTTAAATTTAAATTTTTTCTAGTTTTAAGTTAGAACTGGAGTAAAAAGGAGTGTGAAAGTAACTCCTTTTAATTTTGTTTTACCCCCACAGCTGAAGATGAAAAATACCTAAAGGAAGAAAACATAGCTCATTATCGAAAGAATCTTCAACGAAAGCGTGCTCAGCATGTGTACAAGCCTCTTCCAGAGCCCGTGGTAGAACACATGCGCAGCATACGGATGAAAGAGAGGAGGATGCATCAAATACTGGTGGAGCTGGCGCTCTATGTGACCTTCACTTTGGCCCTGGTATTTGTGACGTATGGCCACCGAGACCCCATGGCATTCTATGTAACAAAGTCTACAGAAGATATGTTTATCACGGCAGAGTATGCAGATGGTCCAGCCTTTGGAGAGGTGAGTTAGACAGTACTGGACATTTCAAGACCTGTACTAAAGGGTATTCTTCAAGACCTTCAGTTTCAAGGAACTGCATATGATGGCAATTGTTGAAAAGCTTTACTTTCATTGTACTGGTACTGATGGGGATTACACAGAGCCTTGAGTTTCATGGTGGCTCTCTATTGAAATGTTTGTTTGAGAGAATAATTTGATCATTATCAGTACTGTAGGTAACAGTTTATGCAATCTGCTGTATAAAATATCACTTACCTGTTACATTTATTTTCACCATTCCCCCCAGATCAGCGATGCTGACTCCATGTGGGAATACCTAGAGGAGACATTTGTACCTTCCCTGTTCACTTCTACCTGGTACAATGGTGACAGTGTGACAGAGAGTGACATCCTGACAGCTGACAAGGTGTCACTCCATGTGGGGGCAGCCAGACTCAGACAGCTGAGAGTTAAAGGTTAGATTTTCATAGTCTCTCTCTCTCTACTGTACTACACTGAGTATAATATAACTGTTTATTAGTTACTGTAAGGTTCTCTCTGTGTCTCTTTCTTCTGTCATACAGATAGTTCATGAAGGCACACATATATACACTCACAAACACACACACTGTGACAGGGTATGTTAAATTATGACTTTGTGAAAGCAGTCCTATTATGACCCTGTTGTAGTGAGTTCATTGAGCTCCTGTATCATATCTCTTGTATTTTAGTTGTCTGTGATGTGCCTCCCACCTTCCAGTCCCTGATCCACTCCTGTACAGTGAGATATGACTGTATCATATATCTTATATTTCAGATGTCTGTGATGTGCCTACCACCTTCCAGTCCCTGATCCACTCCTGTACAGTGAGATATGAATGGGGCACTGATGACAGCAGGGACTATAACACCTCTTGGACACCGCTGGTCAACACAACTGACCACCCCACTGACCAGTGGACATACCAGTCTGCTTTCAAGCTGAGGTCACTTCCATTTGCTGGAAAACATGGCACTTACAATGGTAAACTATTTCTCCCTGTGACTACATGAACATGTAGCAAGTGCATAACTAGTGGGCTTGATTTGGTCTTAAAGTGCAATTTAAGAACACAAATACGGTAATTCTCCAATCTATACGAACGATTTAAATTAATTATTTTTGGAAGATAATCATTTTGTTCGTAAGGCTTGAAATTCAGTCTGCTAAAAATTGCTACGCGTTCGTATCCATTGAAATACGAATGGAATAAGGCTGTACCCGAAGTTATCTCCACTTACCTACATTGCTAAGTGTAAGCATTACTTTCAGATCAAATCACTGTGATCAGCTTTTAGCACAAACAAATTATTCTTGCGATATTGCAATGAATTAAAACAAACTAAACAAAAGTCGGGAATTCAAGTTAAGAAACAATTTCTTCACACTAAAGAGGTACATTTCTCCCAAGACAAGACAACATCGTTTTTCCCTGTTATGTTTTACCAAGACAGGACAACATCGTTTTTCCCAACTTCTGTCAAAAACAGACAAGAATATTTGCGTATCCAGTTGCATATTTTACTTAATGCGTGTTTACTTTTCATATGATTTAATTCACATATAGAAAATTTACAATATTAATAATGTCACCCCCCCCCCCCAATTAGGCCTACATAAATTTCTTCCGCCAAAACAAAATACTTGAAACTCCTCACAGTAGATATCACTGACGTTAATAGAGATTATACTTGATATAAAAAATAACATCAGCTCAATTCACGTCTATTTATGAAAGTCTTTTACAGCATATTAATTTGCACGCAATCAATGTAAACTTAATTAGAAAAAATACAGAAAACTGCAGGCAAATTTGTATAAAATCATACGGCACCTTTATTTTTCACAATCACCAATATCAGTGAGGTTTACCTAATAGTTGTTCATGAGACAAGGTCTTTAACAAGGAAAACAAACAAACAAACAACCAAACAAAAAAGCATGAACTTTATCACAACTCAAATTAGAAAAATAAATACAATATAAGACAGAACTCCTCTTTAAAAATTTAATTTCCTAATGACTACCAAAAACAAAGAAAAACTCGATCATTGACTATGGATTTCTCATACTCTTCTGTTGTGCGTACTCCCTACCAGGGCGAGTGATAGATTTTTTTTTACAGATATTCACAGATATGTCTCTAGCTAGATAGATTGTCATTTACAGCTGAACTGGGTTTAGCTGAAAATGACCATCTATCTAGCTAGAGACATATCTGTGAATATCTGTAAAAAATCTATCACTCACCCTGGTAGAGGGTATGTTGTGCGTGGGTTTCACGTTTGTAGATTTTACGGGAAACCGGTTATCGGTGAAACACCGATGGTGGATGTTGATGATCCAGTCGGCCGGCAGAAGTTAGGAAATGATAATAAACAGTAAGTAATTTATGTGTACTGATGCTTTCAATAACTTCTAAATAACAATAAGGTTTTAAAACTGGCCTGCAGCTGCCGGCGGGCAGGTTGAGTCCTTCTATCGTCTCATTCAAAAACAGCACAAATACATGATAATCTCTCCTGTCAAGTGGCAGTTCCTTTGTTTGGAACGGTGGTCTGAAAACTCGCTTTGACGAATCATGGGGCGAGTTTCAATTGGGCACACTTTCTTGTGTTCGGAAAATTTAAATTGTGCCCAAGGTGAGTTTAGCGATCGTTCGTACAGAACGGAGACAAAAAATTCAGATTCAGAGAAAAAACGTTTCGTTCGTAATTATTGCGGCGTTCGTATAGATTGGAGAATTACCGTAGTCTTACATGATCTTAAAACATGAGTAGGACCATTTCTAGTCTGACAGCTAATTAAGTTGTTCCCCTTTACACATTCTCCTATTGTGAGCAGAGGTGTCCTCTACTGTTAGGGGAGGTATCCCCCCATTGTGAGGGGAGGAAACTGCTTGAGCACTTAAGTAGATGTTAGATCATTTTTGATCTTAAAAGCAGATTCAGTCCAATTTAAAACTACTGCTGTAATGATTAAGATCGTGTAAGATCACTTGTGAACTTAAAATGCACTTTAAGACCAAATCTAGCCCACTAGTGATATAATGATGGTTAATTCAAACTGCTACAGGTACTTGTGGCTTGGTTTTTCTAGAATAGCATATTAAATGTTTATTTTAAAGTAATTAATTTGAAAATGTACGTTCTTTATTCATGTTTGCATTGCTTACTATTACTTATTGTCTTTGAGCCATGGTCAGCTCACAAGGCTTGTCGGCATCCTTCACCATCTCCCTCCATCTTTTGCTGCTTTATTTGCTTTTACTTATGAAGATATTTACTATATAAATATAGTTTGTGTTTTTATTAGACTGTCTTTCTTGAATCCGTACAATTCAGCAACTATGCTGACTTTGTTGACTAGAAAAATGCCAATAAAATAAAAATATAGATTAGAATGTTAAAGCAATTGAAATAAACCAATACACGACCATACATGTATCTCTTAACTTTGGGGAGGGGGAGGGGGGCGCTTTTTTGGTTCAACTTGATTAAAAATAACATTCTCTGGATAGATACTTTTGTATGTTCGTTGGAGGATGTGTAAAACTCCTTGATGATGCCAGAGGAAAGAAAAACTCTATGACTACATGTACTGCATATGATATTTTAGGTGGAGGATATGTGAAACTCCTTGGTGACACCAGAGATAAAAGCCTGTCTCTAGTATTATATGATATTTTAGGTGGAGGATATGTGAAACTCCTTGGTGACACCAGAGATAAAAGCCTGTCTCTAGTATTATATGATATTTCAGGTGGAGGATATGTGAAACTCCTTGGTGACACCAGAGATAAAAGCCTGTCTCTAGTATTATATGATATTTCAGGTGGAGGATATGTGAAACTCCTTGGTGACACCAGAGATAAAAGCCTGTCTCTAGTATTATATGATATTTCAGGTGGAGGATATGTGAAACTCCTTGGTGACACCAGAGATAAAAGCCTGTCTCTAGTATTATATGATATTTCAGGTGGAGGATATGTGAAACTCCTTGGTGACACCAGAGATAAAAGCCTGTCTCTAGTATTATATGATATTTCAGGTGGAGGATATGTGAAACTCCTTGGTGACACCAGAGATAAAAGCCTGTCTCTAGTATTATATGATATTTCAGGTGGAGGATATGTGAAACTCCTTGGTGNAAAAAACAGTTTTCCACTTATCGTGTTATCGCTAAAAGTGCACGATGGCGACGACGACAGACGCAGATGATGGCTTTATGTACAGACACATCTGTGTCTGTACATAATAAATAAATAAATAAAGTAGAAGGTATCAGGACAGTTCCCCTGAGACAATTCCTCCTAGTCAATGCCCCCCCCCCCCAGGACAATTCTCCTCGGGACGATTACCCAATCCAGTTTATGTATATTTCGTAGTGTGATGACATTGCTTGAGGATAGAGAATATCTACATCATTAAAGCAATAATAACTCTTCCTTTGAGATTCAAAATTCCGCAAGAAATACATTCTAAACAACACATGGAAATATATTATATTGCATTTCACCACTAAAAAGGCTGTTATTGTAGTAAAACTAAAAACTGTGCTTTCGGTGCCTTTCTTCCCAGTCGTCAAGGCATCCGTTGCCAAGGATGTTGGCGCATCACGTGGATTCTCGCGTGCATTCGAGACCAAAATAGCATGTGGCGGGATAAGATATAGCAGGCGCATGACACAATCCTCAGACGTTAGTTGCGAGATTTTGTACAGTGTGTCGGATAACGAAAAGCCCAGAACTGCTCACGTTGTAGATATAAATGCATTCTGAGCAATAAGACGATTATATCGTATGAATCTTATTTTATTGTAATAAAGTGTTGTTGTCTGCTTGCCCCGCGGTTTTAAGTAGGTCATCAGAAAACCCCGCTCGACTATGCTATGTCAGAGAGGGCTCCGTCAGTTAAAATCCCTTAAGAGATTTTAACAAAAAACCAAGCATTTAGGAAAAAAAACCTGGACTAACTTTGAATGCAGGAATGGGGTTGTTGACCATTGGTAAGTACGGGAAAATTGCCGTTTACGCCAGGAAAATCCAATTTTTGGCCAAAAAGAAGAGTTATTATGACTTTAAACAATTTATTTTGATACAGTACAAGTACAGAAAATTGTATTAAAAATCTGGGCTGGGTTGTATGAAAGCCATATAGCGCTATACGCTGGATAAATCAGCCGTGTAACTTATACGGTTCTTATAAGGGTTGCATGAAAGCTGTATAACTTTATACGGCGGATAAATCTGCTAAACGGTCGGTTAAAGTTATACGTCTCAGGGAGGTCGTTTAAATACTTATACAGTGGATAAAAATGGCATACCTGCTGAGGTTCCACAGGAATCCTCAGCAGTATAATCCACCTAGACAGAGGAGAGAGAGGACTTTTCGAAGAGAAGTATTTGACTTTGATGGCTATACTGATTCTGAACTGCGTGCAAGGTTTCGTTTTGGCAGAGAAGGCATTAATTTGATAGAGAGAATGTTGGAAGAGGAACTGCAGCCTGCGACTGGCAGGAGCTGTTCTCTCTCGGTGAGGGAACAAGTTCTTATCGCTTTACGTTTCTATGCCTGTGGCTCGTATCTCCAAGTGGTTGGTGATACAATCGGTGTCGACAAGGGCACGGTGTGCAGGGTTGTGAGAAAGGTGTCGTTAGCCCTATGCAGAAGGAAAGACCAATTAATTCAATTCCCAACAGACCCCAGGGAGAAGGCCACGATCCGCCGTGGGTTTTTTAGGATTGCCAGATTCCCTGGGGTCATCGGCTGTTTGGACGGAACACACATTAGGATAACGGCGCCCACGATAAATGAGCCTGCATTCGTAAATAGAAAAAACTACCACAGTTTGAATGTCCAGGCTATATGTGACCACAAAGGTATTGATCTTTATTACATATTCTAAACATAAATATAAAGAGCTCACCGTAAATAACACGTCCAACATCTGCAGTGTTCGTGCTTCAACTTCATAAGTCGGCCATTTTTGCGGCCATGACCTTGACTTCTTCAGTGTGACTGAATGTGCAAGCAATGTTTATGCAGGTGCAACTAATGCAATCTGCTTAGATAATCAGTTTTATGAATAACAAAAACATTGCAGAGCCACATAATTGCAAATTTAAAAGTTAATTATCATATTAAAACTTTGGTTATAAATTAGTATTGATATAAATGAAGATTAACATGATGAAATTGAATGCTAACATATTACTTCAATTTTATTTTCATCACCTTGTCATATTCCATTTCATAAAGGCAAACTTATATTAAACTGTTTTGAAAAAAAAATTGAAAAAAAGTGAAATTGTTATGCTTTCACCATTATTATTGTTTTAATTATTGTCTTCCTCTTCTCCTTAAAAAAAAAAAAAACCTCCTCTATATTCATTTCCTTTTTTTTTTTTCTTTTTATCTCAGGTAGATTTACAAATATCGTCGCCCAGTGGCCTGGTAGTGTCCATGATGCCCATATCTTTTCCACATCAGCGGTTGGGCGTCACCTAAATCAAAACCAGCAACCAGAGGATGGGGTCCTCCTAGGCGATAGTGGTTATGCCTGCAGGCCATATTTAATGACACCATATCTTCACCCTGTAGGGAGAGCCCAAAGGAGGTTTAATAGGGCCCACAGGAGCACAAGATATCTCATAGAGCGAGTGTTTGGCATGTGGAAAAAGAGGCAAGCAACAAAAAAAATATATATATCTATTTTAAGCAAAATTGATAAAGAAATGAACAAAAAAAAAAAAAAAAAATGAAATAAAACAATAACCAAATACTTCTTTATGTCTGAGGGATAATAAACAATAATGTGTGCATACACTGTGAATGAACATGTTTTAAATGAAAAAAATTGTATCCTCACAAATTATTTAAGTAAATTAATAATAATTAATAATAAATTAATAATAGAAATAATAATATATATTTTATTTTTTTCTCATTACAGATTTGGTTGCCTAAATATAGGATTCAGGATGGCCCCAGCTAGAGTGAGTACCATAGTTGGAGCATGCGCCATCCTCCACAACATTGCAATAAACTTGAAGGAGCCCATTCCTGACAATGTACAAGTGCCTGCAGACAATGGTGACATGGGGGTGCAGTATCAAGGACCCCAAGATGGTCGTGCAGTCAGGGATCATCTTGCTACAACATATTTTGCATGATTGATATTTTGGTACCACCAACAACTTGGAGATATGTAGTTAACAAGCAAAGAAATGTAAAGCAATGACAACTTGTTCTTTCAAACAGAGAGAACTAAACTGCTAGTGTCTAGCTTCAGTTCCTTTCCAATATTTTCTCTCAAATTTATATCTTCTCTCCCAAAATGAAACCTTATATGCAGTTCAGAATCAGTGTAAAAGTCAAAGTTAAATATGTGTCTTCGAAACTTCTCTCTTTCTCCTCTGTCTAAGTGGATTCAATGTCATTACAATCAAATTTAAATATAAAGCAATGAAACTCATTTGCTGTGATGAACCAATATTTATTAACTGTTATTTTTAATGTTTCCAGATAATTTTTTTGTGTGTGTAACTGTCAATCAACATTTTATGAGAGTTGCTATATTTCAAAAAATTCCAACATATATTTATTTCTAACATATATATATACATATAAAAGTACATATAAAAGTACTGATTCAGTTTTGTTTCAAATTGTAATCATCTATTCATTATGTGTTTTGTAATTGAAAAGCAATTATTGTGTTCAATGTGATATCCTTTTATAAAAAACATTGTATGTACATTTTCATCAGCACAGATTGCAATAAATATTAAAATTGAAAATAGTAAATAATGTAAAGCTTTAAGAACACTATTGCCATATGTAAAATTCTTCATAAACACCAACTAACACTACAGACACAACAAGTTAACAATGCAGCAAAGCTGCCAAATGTAAAAACAAACAAGCCAAAAAAGGCAATAATAATGCACACAATAGGATACAGTCAATTCTGATGCAATAATACATTATGCTTAACTGCAAAGTGAACATCAAAATTCAATTATGCACAACAGGTAATACTGATGAAAGTAAAGGCATAAGGCTTCAGACCCATTAAAGTTTAAGTTTATACGAGGAAATGTCAGAATGAGAAAAATAAAAATTTCACCAAAAAGAAAAAAGAAAAATTGCATTAATTCAATAAAAAATTATAATCCAATAGAGTTGGTTTTCTTATTTGAGCTGTATGTCAATCATAAGAATCATTCTTTTAAGTTAAAAAAAAATAAGTAACACAGTTTTTTCTTCATCGTAACATTTAACATTTAAATATCAAAAGTAATTAATCTATTGTCAATTTCTTGGATTTGTTTCTGTAGTAAAATTATTTGGAGATCTAATTTTTTTTCTTTTTTTACTGCATTTTTCATTTCTTGTTCCAGAAGCTTGGCATGCAAGCCTTCCACTACACTGCTCTCTGCAAAAACATGAAATCTAAAGGTTATTCATTTCTGCATAGTATCACTTCATATTACATGTAAAATACCAAAACAAAATGATAAAGTGACTTTACCACTTGAGTAGTGAAATTACAGTAATGCAAAAGTGTTGAAAACATTAATGCATAACTAATATACCCAGCAAGACTTAAAAATAATTAAATGCAAATATAACTGACCATGAATTGTCCTTTTTCTATTTCCTGCACTACCTATAAAGGAAAATGTTGCATGTGCTTCATGAGTATGCCTTTTTATGAATAAGTACTTACAAAGAAAATGAAAAAAATCTGTCATTAAAACAAAATCAATTTTGCAATTGTTGTTAAACTGTGATATCTTCCATTAATATGTTACATATGTTTTTTAAATTCCACATACATACTTTTTACACTCCCTCTGCTACATGATGGCAGTGTTACAGCAGCCCTGGTGCTGGTTGTTGTTGTTGTTGGAGTTGGGCTGTAAATTGAGCTGTCATCATTTTCATTGTCATCATCATCATCTGCATCATCATTGCTTACTAAATGATAAATATTTATCAATAAAATTTTAGTATAATAAATTTTACCATTATAACTTTCAAACATAAAAAACAATATTTTCTAATTTAAAAGTGAATGTACATTATTTTTATATTCACAATTTTTTAAGGCAACAATTTTATCCTTTCTTAGTATTATTTTTTTATTTTTATTTTTTTACAAAACCCACCAAGAGCTGACAAATCTGTCATATCAATTGTGCTTAGTGGTTCACAGGTACTTGTGTTTGAACAAGAAGGCATTGCAGCTACTGAAATATTTAAAAGGTATATTTATGTTTAGAGGTGGCATAAAAGCAGATCCAAAAAATATTCAATACACCTATTAAATGAAATACGGTAAAAACTTGGACATTTTGGCAGACCCAGGAGCCAGGAAACATAATTTTGAAATTCTGTCGGATTCACGCAATTTAAAATATAAAAAAATTAAAGTGACAAAGTGTTCAAGATTTTACCATAAGTTGAATAAATATATAAATTATGATAACATTTCAAACGGTGCACTAACACTCGTTTTTAAACTAAGTAAGCGATAGTCACATGACCACCTTCATTTTAAAAACCCACAGCTCGAAGCAGGTGCGTTCATTCGACGCCTTTTTTTTTTCGTGAAAATATTACAGTTCTAAAGAAACGAGTACCTTATGCGAGAGGGATTTGTGAGAAGTGAATGCAGAGGATACATTTTCAGTCATTTCAAACTATTTGGAAGTGATAAAGGATTTACAAGGCTACGATACAACGAAAGTTTATTACGGCTGCAACGGTTGACTATTATACATAGCAGTAATGTACTACCAGTTCGAAGTGGATGTATTGATTGTGGCATGCATTTATTGTTTTCGACTATGTTTGATACATTTCAAGGACAAGAGGATATTTCCATTCACATTGGGATTTAACGTTTAGAATCTAATCGTTTAGGACCTCAACTTTGAGGCATGCGGTGAAAGCGACAGCGGCTGTGAATCAGTAAGTGACTGCCTCGTTATAGAAGTTCAAGGTCAAAGTATATAAACATTGCAGACGATATGATTTTATGCAATTTTCTGAGCAACCGAATCACATTCAACACTTATTTTGAAAGTTAAAAAAAAACTATGTGACAATGGAACATTCACTTACGGCGAACAAGTTAACATGCAACCGTTTGAGTTTTTTATGTGAACTTAGCTAGAATGATGTGTACCGTGTTCATATTGAAACGGCAGTGTGATTCTCAGTGATTGATTTTAGCAGCATTTTCACAAGAAGCGAAGAACATTTTCATCATTTGAAAATATTTTCAAATAAATAAAAATTCATTACTCACCTGTGGTCTCAAAACCTTCGGCAATACCCTCAAATGAGGGGTCATTGGAATACATCTCTATGATAGACTGTATCATAGTGTAATAACCGGTCGGTGGTTATACACTTGTTCTAAGAGTTACATTTTCACCAATAAGACAACTGAGACAGGCAGGAATAGTTTTCTGTTACATGGTTTATTCAAGCGCCTGAAGACTCAGGTCTCTTCTACCGTATCTATAACTATCTCTAACTCTCTCAGTCTGTCAGTCCATCTCAGTGGCTAAGTCACTGCCTTTATACTCTATCTTAATTTGCATTTCAAATTAGCTTTTGTAACTGTCATGAAACATGCCATGCCTATGTACATTAACTTTATTGTAGATACATTTAAATTAAATCTTGATTTGCATTTTAAATGAACTTCTCTTAAACTGCCATGCAACATGTCATGTCTATTACATTTGAATAATTAAAACGTACAAATATATACATATCTGATGTATGCAAATTTAGAAGACTATCAGTTCTAATTAACGGATCACTACACATATATCTCCCTTTTTTACCGAAAAAAAATTAAGAAACTTAATTTTTTTTTTTTAAAAACCTATTTCACTGACACCTATTTATACACTGTAATCAATAGAATCTTAAGCTATAATTCAAAGTACATGAACATGTTCTAATCAAATTTAACCAATATTTAACAGTTTAAACAATAATAAAACAACTATAGCTTCACATAAGCATTTAAGGACTTTTAAACATACTTTAGCTTTGCATAGACATACACACATATTTAAAAATAAAAATCTTACTGCCTTACATCTTTTACTTAAATCAGTCAATAGATAGTACACGTTTCACAACATAAAAACTGGTGCATGCATTTTAAAAAAATTGGATACAAATAAAGGAAAGTGCCACATACAAAAATTAACAGAAAATTTCATGAAAATCAATCTTAGGACAATTTACTAGCCTTATTGAAAAAAATTCCAGAGAAGTTGATATCTCCATTTTATTTTATACATTGAATAAAAGAAAAAATAATTATTAAAAATTACTCATGGACAACTTACTTATTAGAAAAATGCCTTATTTTGCAATGAGGTGGGTACCTCCATTTCTCTATACCTTTCAAGTGAGGTTTTTCAGTACTTTCTAAAACATCAAACAAGTCATTCGTTTTCTTCCCTTGTTTTTCATTTCTGTCTTTATCCTGGTAATAAGCAGGTATATTCAAATTCACCATATCATTGTCCCTTTCCTCAGTACGCAGATCATTCTCTTCCTTCACTTGTTCGTCATTTTCTTCATTGTCCTCATGGTAACACACATATTCAAACAGTTTGGTCTTATCATTGTCCGTTTCTCCAACATGCAGTTTTTCCTTTTCCATTACTTGTTCATCATTTCCGTCATTGTCCCCATAGTATCTCTTTTGCTCAATCTTTTCCTTCGCTTGTTCGTCATTTTCTTCGTTTTCTTCATGGTAACACTCATTTTCAATCAGTTTGGTCTTATTGGTGGCCATTTCTTCAACACGCAGCATTTCAACATCAGGGGTTTTCATCATCTTATCACAGGGGAACTTCAACATCTTATCATCAGCGGACTTCAACAGTTCAGCATCACTGGGCGACAACCTCTCTTCATCAGGGAACAGCAACATTTCTGCATCAGGGGAATTTAATACATCAGAATCACCACTGGTCATAAAGGGTTTCAAAATCTCATATTCGGGAGATTTTGCTTCGTCAGCAACGTCACTGACCACATTATTGTTGCCTCCATCGGGGAGCTGCAACATCTCGGCACCAGGGAATTCATCTTTTGGAGATTTGTTAGCAACACCGCTGATCACAATCTCATTGCTCTGGATCCTCTCTCCAACTTCTTTACATGTTACGGTATCTTCACCACAGCTGTCATCATCCATTTTGCTTCTCTGCCCCGCTTCCATCTGAATGCTACGTATTATTGCTTCGAAAGATAGTTCGTTTCTGTTGTCAAACTCTGTTGTTTCTTTTTTCATAACTTCCCACAGATTTGCAAGGGAATTTGACAATAAAAGTGCATCTTCTTTGCTAGTTTCCTGCGTCTTCAGAACACTACTGATTCCACCCAGACAATCTAACAGCCTGCTGTAGATGTCTGGGTCTTCATACTGGTCCTCGTCTTCATACAGCATCTTGACTATAAACTGCCTTTCTGTCTCAGCTGCTTAAGGTGAAACCTGGGAGCTCGCCATTTGTAATAACCGGTCGGTGGTTATACATTTGTTCTAAGAGTTACATTTTCACCAATAAGTCAACTGAGACAGGCAGGAATAGTTTTCTGTTACATGGTTTATTCAAGCGCCTGAAGACTCAGGTCTCTTCTACCGTATCTATAACTATCTCTAACTCTCTCAGTCTGTCAGTCTCCCTCTCAGTGGCTAAGTCACTGCCTTTATACTCTATCTTAATTTGCATTTCAAATTAGCTTTTGTAACTGTCATGAAACATGCCATGCCTATGTACATTAACTTTATTGTAGATACATTTAAATTAAATCTTGATTTGCATTTTAAATGAACTTCTCTTAAACTGCCATGCAACATGTCATGTCTATTACATTTGAATAATTAAAACGTACAAATATATACATATCTGATGTATGCAAATTTAGAAGACTATCAGTTCTAATTAACGGATCACTACAATAGAGTCCACTGGGGGATGGACTGGCCTGCCGCCAGTTCCCCCAGCATGTTTAACCAGCCCATGCCGGATCTTCTTGGCATGGGCAACCATTCCTCTCCACTTTTCCTTACATTCATGGGTGCTCCTCTGAGCTATGCCAAGTGCACTAACATTGTTGGAAATTTCTTCCCAACAGGTTTTCTTTTGCCTGTTGTCTAAAGTAGTGGTAAGTTTGGACTTGATAGTATTTTGGTGCACTTGGCACAGCTCAGTAAGGAGGGAGGTTTCCCTGACACTCCAATTGGTCTTCCTTGCCCTCTTACCAGAAGACATTTTCAGAGGTCTGTACTTTTGTTTTAGCAACAGTGCCTGATGGGTAACCAAATATGGACATAGACCCAGTTGTTCATAGCAACTTCCTCAAAGTGAGGTTGTTCTTAGCAGTTATCCACTGTATAGTGATTTTATCCACCGTTTAGTTATCCGCCTGTTTATACGCTCTTTATGCAATGCATTTTTATACACCGTTTAGTTATACGCCGTATAGGGCATTTACACACTGTATAGAGTTATCCGGCGTATACTGCTATACGGCTTTCATACAACCCAGCCCTGAGAGTATAAACAGGCGGTTAGCTAAACGGTGGATAAAATCACTATACAGTGGATAATTGCTAAGGACAACCTCACTCTGAAGATAGTTGCTATGAACAACTGGGTCTATGTCCATATTTGGTTACCCATCAGGCACTGTTGCTAATCACTTTACTGATAAAACAAATCCAAGAAATTGACAATAGATTAATTACTTTTGATAAATTATTCATTTTTATTTAGCATTTATGGACTGTTCATCTTTGTCTCAAATACAAGACTTAATTATTGCAATCAAACAAACGCAAAACAATGAGAACTTGTTCTCTCACCGAGAGAGAACAGCTCCTTCAGTCGCAGGCTGCAGTTCCTCTTCCAACATTCTCTCTATCAAACTAGAGGANCTTTACCTGTAAATTTTACCAATATGGGTAAGTTATTACTGGGGCTGTGTTTCCTTTCTATCAAATCTTTACTTGTAAATTTTACCAATATGAGTAATTTACCACTGGGGCTGTGTTCCCTTTCTATCAAATCTTTTACTTGTAAATTTTACCAATATGGGTAAGTTATTACTGGAGCCGTGTTTCCTTTCTATCAAATCTTTACTTGTAAATTTTACCAATATGGGTAAGTTATTACTGGGGCTGTGTTCCCTTTCTATCAGGGCTGGGTTGTATGAAAGCCGTATAGCACTATACGCTGGATAAATCAGCCGTGTAACTTATACGGTTCTTATACGGGTTGCATGAAAGCTGTATAACTTTATACGGCGGATAAATCTGCTAAATGGTCGGTTAAAGTTATACGTCTCAGGGAGGTCGTTTAAATAGTTGTACAGTGGATAAAAATGGCGTACCTGCTGAGGTTCCACAGGAATCCTCAGCAGTATAATCCACCTAGACAGAGGAGAGAGAGGACTTTTCGAAGAGAAGTATTTGACTTTGACGGCTATACTGATTCTGAACTGCGTGCAAGGTTTCGTTTTGGCAGAGAAGGCATTAATTTGATAGAGAGAATGTAGGAAGAGGAACTGCAGCCTGCGACTGGCAGGAGCTGTTCTCTCTCGGTGAGGGAACAAGTTCTCATTGCTTTGCGTTTCTATGCCTGTGGCTCATATCTCCAAGTGGTTGGTGATACAATCGGTGTCGACAAGGGCACGGTGTGCAGGGTTGTGAGAAAAGTGTCGTTAGCCCTGTGCAGAAGGAAAGACCAATTCATTCAATTCCCAACAGACCCTAGGGAGAAGGCCACGATCCGCCGTGGGTTTTTTAGGATTGCCAGATTCCCTGGGGTCATCGGCTGTTTGGACGGAACACACATTAGGATAACGGCGCCCACGTTGAATGAGCCTGCATTCGTAAATAGAAAAAACTACCACAGTTTGAATGTCCAGGCTATATGTGACCACAAAGGTATTGATCTTTATTACATATTCAAAACATAAATATTAAGAGCTCACCGTAAATAACACGACCAACATCTGCAGCGTTCGTGGTTCAACTTCATAAGTCGGCCATTTTTGCGGCCATGACCTTGACTTCTTCAGTGTGACTGATCGAATGTGCAAGCAATGTTTATGCAGGTGCAACTAATGCAATCTGCTTAGATAATCATTTTTATGAATAACAAAAACATTGCAGAGCCACATAATTGCAAATTTAAAAGTTAATTCTCATATTAAAACTTGAGTTATAAATAAGTATTGATATAAATGAAGATTAACATGATGAAATTGAATGCTAACATATTACTTCAATTTTATTTTCATCACCTTGTCATATTCCATTTCATAAAGGCAAACTTATATTAAACTGTTTTGAAAAAAAATTGAAAAAAGTGAAATTGTTGCACAAATGTTATGCTTTCACCATTATTATTGTTTTAATTATTGTCTTCCTCTTCTCCTTAAAAAAAAAACATCCTCTATATTCAGTTCCTTTTTTTTTTTTTCTTTTTATCTCAGGTAGATTTACAAATATCGTTGCCCAGTGGCCTGGTAGTGTCCATGATGCCCATATCTTTTCCACATCAGCGGTTGGGCGTCACCTAAATCAAAACCAGCAACCAGAGGATGGGGTCCTCCTAGGCGATAGTGGTTATGCCTGCAGGCCATATTTAATGACACCATATCTTCACCCTGTAGGGAGAGCCCAAAGGAGGTTTAATAGGGCCCACAGGAGCACAAGAAATCTCATAGAGCGAGTGTTTGGCATGTGGAAAAAGAGGCAAGCAACAAAAAAAAATATATATATATATATATTTTAAGCAAAATTGATAAAGAAATGAACAAAAAAAAAAAAAAAATGAAATAAAACAATAACCAAATACTTCTTTATGTCTGAGGGATAATAAACAATTATGTGTGCATACACTGTGAATGAACATGTTTTAAATGAAAAAAATTGTATCCTCACAAATTATTTAAGTAAATTAATAATAATTAATAATAAATTAATAATAGAAATAATAATATATATTTCATTTTGCTCATTATAGATTTGGTTGCCTAAATATAGGATTCAGGATGGCCCCAGCTAGAGTGAGTACCATAGTTGGAGCATGCGCCGTCCTCCACAACATTGCAATAAACTTGAAGGAGCCCATTCCTGACAATGTACAAGTGCCTGCAGACAATGGTGACATGGGGGTGCAGTATCAAGGACCCCAAGATGGTCGTGCAGTCAGGGATCATCTTGCTTCAACATATTTTGCATGATTGATATTTTGGTACCACCAACAACTTGGAGATATGTAGTTAACAAGCATAGAAATGTAAAGCAATGACAACTTGTTCTTTCAAACAGAGAGAACTAAACTGCTAGTGCCTAGCTTCAGTTCCTTTCCAATATTTTCTCTCAAATTTATATCTTCTCTCCCAAAATGAAACCTTATATGCAGTTCAGAATCAGTGTAAAAGTCAAAGTTAAATATGTGTCTTCGAAACTTCTCTCTTTCTCCTCTGTCTAAGTGGATTCGATGTCATTACAATCAAATTTAAATATAAAGCAATGAAACTCATTTGCTGTGATGAACCAATATTTATTAACTGTTATTTTTAATATTTCCAGATAATTTTTTTGTGTGTGTAACTGTCAATCAACATTTTATGAGAGTTGCTATATTTCAAAAAAATTCCAACAGATATTTATTTCTAACATATATATATATATATATATATATATACATATAAAAGTACATATAAAAGTACTGATTCAGTTTTGTTTCAAATTGTAATCATCTATTCATTATGTGTTTTGTAATTGAAAAGCAATTATTGTGTTCAACGTGATATCCTTTTATAAATAACATTGTATGTACATTTTCATTAGCACATAATGCAATAAATATTAAAATTGACAATAGTAAATAATGTAAAGCTTTAAGAACACAATTGCCATATGTAAAATTCTTCATAAACACCAACTAACACTACACACACTAAAAGTTAACAATGCAGCAAAGCTGCCAAATGTAAAAACAAACAAACCAAAAAAAGGCAATAATAATGCACACAATAGGATACAGTCAATTCTGATGCAATAATACATTATGCTTATAACTGCAAAGTGAACATCAAAATTCAATTATGCACAAAAGGTAATAGTGATGAAGGTAAAGGCATAAGGCTTTAGACCCATTAAAGTTTAAGTTTATACTAGGAAATTTCAGAATGAGAAAAAAAAATTTTCACCAGAAAAATTGTATTAATTCAATAAAATTTATAATCCAATAGAGTTGGTTTTCTTATTTGAGCTGTATGTCAATCATAAGAATCATTCTTTTAAGTTAAAAAAAAAAGTAACAGTTTTTTCTTCATCGTAACATTTAACATTTAAATATCAAAAGTAATTAATCTATTGTCAATTTCTTGGGATTGTTTCTGTAGTAAAATTATTTGGAGATCTAATTTTTTTTTCCTTTTTTACTGCATTTTTCATTTCTTGTTCAAGAAGCTTGGCATGCAAGCCTTCCACTACACTGCTCACTGCAAAGACATGAAATCTAAAGGTTATTCATTTCTGCATAGTATCACTTATATTACATGTAAAATACCAAAACAAAATGATTAAGTGACTTTACCACTTGAGTAGTGAAATTAGAGTAATGCAAAAGTGTTGAAAACATTAATGCATAACTAATATATATACCCAGCAAGACTTAAAAATAATTAAATGCAAATATAACTGACCATGAATTGTCCTTTTTCTATTTCCTGCCCCACCTATAAAGGAAAATGTTGCATGTGCTTCATGAGTATGCCTTTTTATGAATAAGTACTTACAAAGAAAATGAAAAAAATCTGTCATTAAAACAAAATCAATTTTGCAATTGTTGTTAAACTGTGATATCTTCCATTAATATGTTACATATGTTTTTTAGATTCCACATACATACTTTTTACACTCCCTCTGCTACATGATGGCAGTGTTACAGCAGCCCTGGTGCTGGTTGTTGTTGCTGTTGTTGTTGTTGTTGGAGTTGGGCTGTAAATTGAGCTGTCATCATTTTCATTGTCATCATCATCATCTGCATCATCATTGCCTACTAAATGATAAATATTTATCAATAAAATTTTGGTATAATAAATTTTACCATTATAACTTTCAAACATAAAAAACAATATTTTCTAATTTAAAAGTGAATGTACATTATTTTTATATTCACAATTTGTTAAGGCAACAATTTTATCCTTTCTTAGTATTATTTTTTAAAATTTTTTTTACAAAACCCACCAAGAGCTGACAAATCTGTAATATCAATTGTGCTTAGTGGTTCACAGGTACGATACAACGAAAGTTTATTACGGCTGCATCGGTTGACTATATACAGTAATGTACTACCAGTTCGAAGTGGATGTATTGATTGTGGCATGCATTTATTGTTTTCGACTATGTTTGATACATTTCAAGGACAAGAGAATATTTCCATTCACATTGGGATTTAACGTTTAGAATCTAATCGTTTAGGACCTCAACTACGAGGCTTGCAGTGAAAGAAACAGCGGCTGTGAATCAGTAAGTGACTCTGCCTCGTTATAGAAGTTCAAGGTCAAAGTATATAAACATTGCAGACGATATGATTTTATGCAATTTTCTGAGCAACCGAATCACATTCAAGACTTATTTTGAAAGTTCAAAACCTATGTGACAATGGAACATTCACTTACGGCGAACAAGTTAACATGCAACCGTTTGAGTTTTTTATGTAAAGAATGATGTGCACCGTGTTCATATTGAAACGGCAGTGTGATTCTCAGTGATTGATTTTAGCAGCATTTACACAAGAAACGAAGAACATTTTCATCATTTGAAAATATTTTTCAAATAAATAAAAATTAATTACTCACCTGTGGTCTCAAAACCTTCAGCAATACCCTCAAATGAGGGGTCATTGGAATACATGTCTATGATAGACTGTATCTGAGAGTCCACTGGGGGATGGGCTGGCCCGCCGCCAGTTCCCCCAGCATGTTTAACCAGCCCATGCTGGATCTTCTTGGCATGGGCAACCATTCCCCTCCACTTTTCCTTACATTCATGGGTGCTCCTCTGAGCTATGCCAAGTGCACTGACATTGTAAGAAATCTCTTCCCAACAAGTTTTCTTTTGTCTGTTGTCCAGACTTGTGGTAAGTTTGGATTTGATGGTATTTTGGTGCACTTGGCACAGCTCAGTTAGGAGGGAGGTTTCCCTCAAACTCCAATTTGTCTTCCTTGCCCTCTTACCAGAAGACATTTTCACAGGACTGTACTTTTGTTTTAGCAACAGTGCCTGATGGGTAACCAAATATGGACATAGACCCAGTTGTTCATAGCAACTTCCTCAAAGTGAGGTTGTTCTTACCAATTATCCACTATAGGGACAGTCGGGCTGACGTCACACGCCTTAGCAACCGGCATCTGGGGTAAAACAAATGGGGCAACATGGCGGATCGCATTGACTTCTATGTAAAAGTTGGCAGACTTTGTCCGAATATGTCATACTTCACAGTGACTGACCACTTGTGTCAGTAAGGATGAGTTATTTACCTGGTCGATTTCTTTTACAGGCCTTTGTAATTAGCCGCTGCACACCTGGTTAAGAGATAAAATCGGCCTTAACATAACTGCCGATCGTTATCTGTGATCGGGATGTTTACAGTAGAATATTTTGCAAAGGCAGTGCTTGACCTTTTGTGTCTAGCGGATTGAATCATTTACCTGGACTATTGAGTTAGCAGGCCTTTGTAATAAGCTACTGTTTAACTTGTTACGGGATAAAATTGGTCTTAACTGCATACGCAAATGTCCAGCCTAAGTATATAAATGTACATAAGTTGGTGATATAGGAATGGCTTCTTAGAACGTGGATCGTGAGAAAGGCCTGGAAAATGTGCAACACTGAGAAGTTATTTCTAAGTAAAGTAAATAAGATTTCTACAAATTGTGATTAAAGCACCTGCTGCTGCAGTAGCCAGGGGAACGGGATAGGGGCAATGTCATCGGTCCCATATGGCCTCTTTGGTCCGGATACAGTACATGTATATTAATACAAGCCTGGAAGGACAGCATAAACAGTTGCTTGCTAACGTTTTGGAAGAAAAGACACGTGGTGTTACTTAATGTATAAATTTTTGCAGCTATGCGTCTTTGAGTGTTTACAATCTTATTGTGCACTTTTCTGGTACGAAAATTGGCGAAATATCATGGAAGACAGAATTAAAATTGAATTGAATAGCAAACACGGTAATAAAGCTGTATGTTATTTTACCAGTTAAGGTCGCTTTATTTATGGCAACTTTTTTTATATTTTACTTAAATGCTTAAAGATTTAGACATTAACTCACAGGTTTGCCAAAGTATTGACGTATATATTTTTTGTTATCTTTATAACGCCCTCAATAAGGTTACCACAAAAGAGTCCGACGTTATAGTCCATTAATTTAAACTAAAAGAATTGATATACCGTCACACACGCAAACACAAGATGCAATCTCAATTTCTTGTAAATACTACTTATTAATTCATGTAACAAAGGACAAACATGAATTCCAAACAAGGTACAATGACTTTCTCCTTATCTATAATAAAATGAACTATACACACATACACAATTCTCGTAGTGCAATGTATAGCTATGACCAAATTTTGTTTCGATCAACAATCCCGTCTTTAGTCACGTTTGCACGACCTATAGCCTGCAACAGTCGTTTACTTTTCCGTTGATCTTTGAAATTTAACAATTCCCATAAAATTTTATTAATGTGTTGGTAGTGTCACCTGGTGCACAGCAAGCTTTCACCATTTTACTTTTGTACGCGTGCCTGAGAGTTAAACGGTACCGGTTCAATTCAGTAAGCTTGAAAATCTACCCGTCATGTGTGTCAGCAATATGCAACGTCAACAGATATTAGTACAATTGAAACCTTCCTTAATTTTATCAGTCCCATATGGTTTTCTTTTCAAAGAGATGTGAATAATATGCTCATCCAGGTAAGCAAATGAGTCTTTAACTCTCTAACACTGTAAGATTCCCGATCACAGATAACGATCGGCAGTTAAGGCCGATTTTATCTCTTAACCAGGTGTTCAGCGGCTAATTACAAAAGCCTGTAAAGGAAATCAACGAGGTAAATAACTCAACTTCACTGACACAAGTGGTCAGGAACTGTGAAGTATGATGTCTTCGGACAAAGCCTGCCAACTTTTTCATAGAAGTCAATGCGATCCGCCATGTTGCCCGATTTGTTTTACCCCAGATGCCGGTTGCTAAGGTAAAGTGCCCGGATGACCGACTGTCCCTATATAGTGATTTTATCCACCGTTTAGCTATCCGCCTGTTTATACGCTCTTTATGCAATGCATATTTATACACCTGTAACGTACCGATCTTAATAATTAAGCCATATCAGGATTCACCGACAAAAGAAATAATTGGAGAGTATCATTATCAAAAGCCACCGACGTTGGGCCGCAGCAGTGGTGAGGATTAGCTTGTTAAGGGGCCGTTTTGTCTCAGATGTCGGGGAGATGATCGTAACCTTACCAATCCTCAATACAGGTCGATCGTTCGACAGACATACCGTCGCCGAGGGTTCGGCCAGGGTTGCGACATTGAACCGACATCAAGCATATTAACGGATAAGGACCTTTTAACGAGCTTCCTCAACACTCAGTATATAAGGTCTAGAAAACTCTCGGTTGGATAGAAGGTAGAAGACGCAGATCAGTAGAACCTCTACTTGTTAACGACAACGACTGTAGGCCGATGTCCAGGCCGCCTCTAATCCTGTTCAATAAATTATACAGTTAAACTTCTTCGTTGAGTTCATCTCTGACTGAGGCGTCCACCAGCAAGCCTCACGAATCAGTACGAGTACCTGTACGACATCACATTTGAGTCTACAAATTGGCGAGCTCCCAGATATTCAGGGATGGACCCGGAGATAGTAAAGCAACTCACCAGTGGCGTGTTGCTAATGGCCAAGACAAGCCTGCAGACAGCCCAGGAGGACGGCCACTGGCGGAATTTGATGCAGGAGAGGTGGCGGTCAGAGGACGATCGCCACACAGCACAGGTACAACTATTGGCGGAGAACGGCCAACGATTAAAGAGACAGGAGACGCAGAGTAGGATAGACCTCCTCTGTCGACCCATATCGACGTGCGATGGCACAGTTCCAGAAGATACGAGAGAGTGGATTGACCAGGTGGAGAGGACAATTCCCCGGTCGACAGACATACCGGAGGCCACTATTCGCATCGCGCTGCAGACCACAAGCGGGGCGTTGGCCTCAGAAATAGATCACCACCTACAACAGAGGCCCGAATATTATGGTGCGGATTGGGCAACCCTCCGCAACCACATCCGCCGGGTTTTTCTTTCGGCGGATGAGACAACATCTTTGCGGGCGGAATTGGAAAAAATAAAACAATCGCCTTACGAAAATACAGCAGCATATAGCCGAAGAGTAAGAGAAGCCGCTAAGAAGGCGTACCCCCTCCCTCGTAGCACAGACGCCGAATTTAACCTTGTAAAGATTTACGCTCGCGGCCTGTCAGAGGTCCGACTGGCGCGAGACTTGTTACGTCGAGGGAGGCCTAAAACTCTACAAGACGCCATCAAATTTGTTGATAACGAGGAGGTTGGAGACCTCATGTTTAAAACTGTGTACGGAGACCGCCTGACAACACCGGCCAGGGTGGAAGAACCCATGGAGATTGGTGCAACACAAAAAGAAGAGACGCCAGCCTGGGTAGAAGAGCTGACATCATTAACACGTTCCATGGCAACCCTACTACAGCAGAACCAACAGCGATCTACACATGTACCCCAACAGCGACAGACACAAGCTAAGCCCAGACCACGGTTCAACAGCCCTAGAGGTGAAAGAGGTTGGACTGAAAATGGTGAAGTAATTTGCTTTCATTGTAACAAAATCGGACATTATAAAGCAGACTGTTATCAGCTTAAAGGTAGTCAGAGAAGACAGGGGACAGGTAGGCCTAGAAGTAACCATTTAAACTAATAGCGGCAGCAGGACGCGCTGGAGACCGAGTAGGAATAGAGGTTAGTTTACACGGTATTAAATGTGTAGCTTTAGTAGATACCGGCGCCAGCACCTCCTTGCTGCACTATTCCGTTTATCAGAAGTTATGCGAAAAAATAGCGAGACCAAGATTAGTAAAATTTTCTCAACCCATTGTTAGTGTTACAGGGCAGAGATTAGACGTGGTAGGCAGAGCCCAAATTAGAATAGACAACGCCACCACAGTAGATATGCTACTGGTTAGAAATATAGATCACGACATGATTCTGGGCAACGATACCCTCCAAACTCACAGGGGTGTCATTAATTACAACACCAATACATTGTGTTGGTGCCGAAAGGAATGGCCATTAGTGGAATACACGCGTAACGCCTCGGCGTCTACGTTGTGCACTTCACTATTGAAAACTACACCTGTGGGTGACGAGGTAATAGACGAGGTGTTAAGGGAGTACAATGACATATTTAGCGTGAAAGGGGACCCCCACGGGCTGGCAAAGGTGGAACCAATGACAATAGATACAGGGAATAACCCTCCATCAAAAGCCACCGACGTTGGGCCGCGGCAGTGGTGAGGATTAGCTCGTTAAGGGGCCGTTTTGTCTCAGATGTCGGGGAGATGATCGTAACCTTACCAATCCTCAATACAGGTCGATCGTTCGACAGACATACCGTCGCCGAGGGTTCGGCCAGGGTTGCGACATCGAACCGACATCAAGCATATTATCGGATAAGGACTTTTTAACGAGCTTCCTCAACACTCAGTATATAAGGTCTAGAAAACTCTCGGTTGGATAGAAGGTAGAAGACGCAGATCAGTAGAACCTCTACTTGTTAACGACAACGACTGTAGGCCGATGTCCAGGCCGCCTCTAATCCTGTTCAATAAATTATACAGTTAAACTTCTTCGTTGAGTTCATCTCTGACTGAGGCGTCCACCAGCAAGCCTCACGAATCAGTACGAGTACCTGTACGACATCACATTTGAGTCTACACACCGTTTAGCTATACACCGTATAGGGCATTTACACACTGTATAGAGTTATCCGGCGTATAGTGCTATATGGCTTTCATACAACCCAGCCCAGATCTTTACTTGTAAATTTTACCAATATGGGTAAGTTACCACTGGGGCTGTGTTCCCTTTCTATCAGATCTCTTTACTTGTAAATTTTACGAATATGAGTAAGTTATTACTGGAGCCGTGTTTCCTTTCTATCAAATCTTTACTTGTAAATTTTACCAACATGGGTATGTTAATACTGGAGCCTTGTTTCCTTTTTATCAAATCTTTACTTGTAAATTTTACCAATATGGGTAAGTTATTACTGGAGCTGTGTTCCCTCTCTATTAAATCTTTACTTGTAAATTTTACCAATATGGGTAAGTTATTACTGAGGCTGTGTTTCCTTTCAATCAAATTTTTACTAGTAAATTTTACCAATATGGGTAAGTTATTACTGAGGCTGTGTTTCCTTTCAATCAAATTTTTACTAGTAAATTTTACCAATATGGGTAAGTTATTACTGGGGCTGTGTTTCCTTTCTATTAAATCTTTACAGGTAAATTTTACCATTGTGGTTAGGTTATAGTCCATGAGCCAAATTGAAAAAAGGCCTTATTTAAGGATTTGGCTGCACCCCCCGTCAAACAAAGGTTTTATGATTGATTCTTGTAGTTTAGAACCTGAATTTTTCATTTCTGCTTGTTTCCGGCTTGAAAAAGTGTCCGTTTGTACCGGAAACAGGCCAAATCCAAGATGGCCGCCAGTAAATTCATGTGTCAACTGTAAATACAAAAATTGATTTTAAAGTTACTTAACAACTTAATATTATCAAAATTTGCACTGATCACAAGTACTTTGGCCTTCTTTGATTTTTCAGGCACTTTACATTTTTCAAAATGGCGACTGAATCCAAGATGGCGGCCATTTTCCTTACTTTTTGTGAAAAAATACAAATACCTAAATTTGAAATTTTTTTTATTAACCAAAAATTAGGAATATTTTACATGTTTTGGTGTATTTGAATAAGTTGAAGTCTATANCTGTTCATATAGAATGATCTATCGAACTTATCTAGGACCTGCCGGAAATAAAGTACTGTAATCAATACATCACTCTCTTAAGTACTTACTTGAGTTTTTGATCTCTGACAAAGTCTTTGTTCTCTAAATTACTTTCCCATGGTAACCGACCACACAGCCATTGTAGTAGGCAATATCCAAGAATTTCTATGTCACCCCTTCTTGAAGGTGCTGAAAATGAAGAGCAATTACCACTGGTAGTTTGGAAGGGCTAGACTTCAAACTGATGATCATGATAATGATGATATGATTTAACTTTAAGCTTTCCTTCACATTTTTGAAATAAATAAATAAATAAATAAATAAATAAATAAATAAATAAATAAATAAAACTAGAGAACAAAGCCAATAAATACACAGACACCATACATGAAACAAGGCAGCAAAGCTGACAAATGTTCAGACATTCAGACGCAGAATAATTACTTTAAATGGATCAATCGTGCCACTTTTGGAAAGCAAGCTACTTCTTTACCAAACAAAGCAACTCAGTAAATTTACAGTAAAACAAAAATAGTTTGGCAGTTATGAGTGAATGTCATGTGTCAGACAGTGACAGCACAGACAGACAGTCCGATCAGTGTATATACAGACATTTTAGGTGTAAGACACTGTAAGTGTCTGTATATAATCAGCTATACTGACCTGCCCCAACATGAGCATCTCTACTGGTGAATTCTATTGTCCCATCATGTGCTTTTCTGGGGTCCTCTTTGTATTCTTTGTGCTTTCCATCACATGAGAATTTGAATGCAAGACCATAATCAACTAAATACACCTAACAGAAGAGAAAAATATTTTACACACAATTTGCAATTATGCTGTAATCCAGAATTCACAAGAAAGAGCTTTTAATAAAATTTAATTGCTCAAAATGGCTAATGGCTTCTGTACAATTAATCTTATATCCAGTTTCAAGCTAGATCACATACTGAAGAACCCATGTCACAAATTCAGTCTGCCAAAATACATTTTAGTCTACTGGAGATCTGGGGCACCAGGGTCTAAGAATCTCCTGATCCAAAGCAGCCTTAGAGATCTGTAACTGAACAAGTTTACCCAATTTTACTAGTCTGGCTTTCTGGGGCCCTGAGTAAACATCTCTGACTATCAAAGAACATACCTAACATTGTATGCATAAGACTTTTGTTACACCTTTTCCATACCTGGTCTGTGTCTTTAAATCCTTCCAGCATATTTGATGCTTTTATATCTGCATGGACATATTCCTTGGAATGGATATACTCTAAGGCATCCAGCTAAAAAGGTAAAAGCTAGTTTATTGTACCATTATGATAAAAACTACATATTTAAATAGCAATGTTGCCAGCTAAATCCCTGTTAATGAACACAGTGCTTATACCTCTTGGTCAATATCTTATTCTCTAAGTCAATATTTAAAGATATCTGGCAAAAAATGACTCAATCTTGTCAAATTAAAATAAACTTTCAACCAAATTATCACAGATGTATAAACATGGCAACCTATGCTAAAATGTACCATTCTTAGTCCCAATCTATACACAGCCTCTGTGGGAAATCTCTTTCCATTCCTTTCAAATTTCTTCTGCAGATCTTCTCCAAATCTCTCCATGATCATGAAGCGGTATTTTGTTCCATTTTTTTCACTGGATCCCATGGCTATAAATTTGGGAACCCCTAATACTTTCATTTTGTGCTTTGATTTCCATTGGTCAACTGTAAATCAAAATAACAAAATGCGAAAGATCCAATAATTTATTAGAAAGTTCATCTAGAAAAACAAAAATATAAGTATTTTCCATTAACATCATAGCCTTCTCAATCACATATAGTCCATGAGCCAAATTGAAAAAAGGCCTTATTTAAGGATTTGGCTGCACCCCCCGTCAGGCAAAGGTTTTATGATTGATTCTTGTAGTTTAGAACCTGAATTTTTCATTTCTGCTTGTTTCCGGCTTGAAAAAGTGTCCGTTTATACCGGAAACAGGCCAAATCCAAGATGGCCGCCAGTAAATTCATGTGTCAACTGTAAATACAAAAATTGATTTAAAAGTTACTTAACAACTTAATATTATCAAAATTTGCACTGATCACAAGTACTTTGGCCTTCTTTGATTTTTCAGGCACTTTACATTTTTCAAAATGGCGACTGAATCCAAGATGGCGGCCATTTTCCTTACTTTTTGTGAAAAAATACAAATACCTAAATTTGAATTTTTTTTTATTAACCAAGAATTAGGAATATTTTACATGTTTTGATGTATTTGAATAAGTTGAAGTCTATATTTTTAATTTTTACCAGTTAATTTATCACAAAATTGTACATTTGAACACAGATGGCTCTAATCCAAGATGGCCACCACATAAAATGGGCTTTTTGTTTTGATATGTCAACAAGCCTTTCTCAGTATAAAACATCTCAGACTACTAAATGGAGGATTTATTGCACAGGTCATGGTATGAAATGTTTGACTGAATAATTTAAATTGTTTTGAGATTTTGTTTAGGGTATAAAAATCCAAAATGGCCGCCAATTTCTGGATTCAAAACGTACATTATTTTGATTTGCATGTTAAAAAACATTAAATTGAATAATTAGCAAATTAAAAATATTTATTTTTTGATAAATTTATCTGTATTGCAATCTCATTTTGCTTCTTGGACACTTTATTCTGTCAAAAAGTGGTTAATTTTTCTTCATTTATCATGATTCCAAGTTTGCCATTGATAAAAATGAACTGCACGCGACCCGTATGGACAATACCACATGTTATGAGCCTTACGTAAAAGGCTATTTCTGAGCTTTATTGTTCAAGTAATGGAATGGAATATATAACTGAATGATTCAAAATGCTTTTAGGCTTGTAGTTTAGGGTTGAAAAGTCCAAAATGGCCGTCAATTTCTGGATTCAAAACAAATGACATTTTGATTTGCATGTTGAAAAGCATCAAGTTGAATGATGGGCAAATGATTAAAGACTATATTTTGATAAACTGCAGTGTCCTTTTACTGTTTAGAATCTAATTTTTCCAAAAAGTAATTATCTAAGCTCCAATCATCAAAAATATCCAAGATGGCCACCAACAAAAATGAATTTTAGGTAAACATGGATGAAAACACACTGTTGAGTCGTAATTTTATAAGTGCATATATATATGCCTGTGCTTAATAAGGTTGAGTGAATCTCAGATGCTTTGCCGTTTTCTTGAACAGAAATTGATGCATAACACAGAATGGACAGCAATTCTTTTTCAGCAGCAACTATATAGGTTAGTAAAATGACAATTTTCAATATTGCAGACAAAATGCATGCCCAAAATGCCCTAACAAGAGTGACGTACATCATTTACAACTTAAGGATCAATAGTTTGTTATATGGGGGGTGGGCTGTAAAATTTAATTTTCATATGATAGCACTTCTATTGTTACATATCAAATGGACTTGGGTTACTGGTACATTGCTTGTTGAAAGTTCCCTGTCAAGCTTGACGAAAGAGCCAGGATCTCAGTCAAAAAAGGGACTTACTAGTAGTAGTGATAAGATTTCTCACATTCTGCTAGGTGTTGATCGTAAAGAAGAATCAGAATTATCCTAACCTCAAGCAACCAAAAGGTAAAATCTTTAATTTATCTGAAAAAAACGTAGGATAACATGCAGCTGTAGCATTATTCTACATGTATAAATCCGGGAAGCAATCACTATCATAAACTAAGGGTGCTTTCCCAGAGATTTAGATCAATCTAGAGATTAAGATTTAGAACGACCTAACTCCCTGGGGGTTCACGCTAAATTGCAGTTAGCCAAGCGGGCACCATAGTTAATTAGCCCCTTACAGCTTTTAGTAGGCGGGACAGACGCTTAAGCCGGCCAAGCTGACAGTAATCTAGTGAGACTCCCCACAGGGATAGATCGATCTAAAAATCTATGGAAATGGGGTGTAAGACCAGCAAAGAAGTTGCAAAAAATTGTCTGGATCTCCAAGAACATCTTTTGTCTCTTTAGAGAACAGTGCCGGATAATAATACATTCAGGGAACTCATGAAGTGGTGCTGCAAAGTGAAGGACATTGATGGTGAATGATGTATGGCACATGTAAGTGACGATGAAGGAGTTCAAGCACAACATAACAAATGATGTTTATGATACAATGTATATATAGGTGCAGGTAATTCTTGCACTTCACGGATACTGCTCAATATGTTCCATGAATTCTTTTAAAATCCAACATTATTCTGTTGAGAGGAAAAATATTTGGAGATCCAAACATTGGAGAAACACAGACTAAAACAAACTTTCTTAATAAACTAATTAACAAATAGATCACCACCAAAATCTACTTACTTTTAGCCTAAAAAATGACCTATCCTAAACACTTCATTTAAGTCTATCCTGAAATTTTTGAGTTAGGCTAATAATCTGAGAAAACAAAACAAATGGACAAGCGAAGGTGAAAATGTGACCTTCTCGGAAGAGGTAATAAAGCATGCATACTAAGCTCCCGCATACATGTGTGTATATGGATCAGAGACCTGAACACAGGGCAAGAGGCTCACTCTCTTAAAACAAAGGTGTTTGCACACAACCTTTGGCATCATCAGGCAAGCCAGAGTAACTATTACAGAAGTTTTAAACAGGCATTTCTGTGCTAAAGAAGACTAAGTTGACTTGGACATGTGAACTAGATGAATGTTGCATAGCAAAATCCCAAAACAGCTGTCACCTGTACTATTTGACCAATTGGTTTTGGGTAGCAATCTCAGAGGAAGACCATGGTTGAGACTTTAAAGATACATTAAAGATATACGTCACAGTGGTTTTAAAATAATGTTTCTTTAATTTCTCTCTCTATATATATTATTAGTAATGAATCAGATAAATAAGCATATTTAATGTACGTAATAGCAGCCATCTTGGATATTTATTGCAATGTAAAAATCTGAGAAAGTTTCTTTGAAATAATTCAAAGAAAAAGTTATTTAGGATAAAAAGTAATTTAAAAATGAGTTCAAAAAAGTACAGAAATACTGTGTACGCAATTTAGTAAGGCTCTCAACGAGGTATTGTCCACACAGGTAGCTGCAGTTCATTTTCAACAATGGCCAACTGTGAATCATGATAAATGAAGCAAAAATAATCACTTTTTGACAGAATGAAGTGTCCAAAAAGCAAAATGAGATTGCAATACAGATAAATTTATCAAAAAATCAATATCTTTAATTTTCTAATTATTCAATTTGATGTTTTTCAACATGCAAATCAAAATAATGTATGTTTTGGATCCAGAAATTGACGGCCATTTTGGACTTTTCAACCCTAAACTATAAGCCTAAAACCATTTTGAATCATTCAGTTATATATTCCATTCCATAACTTGAACAATAAAGCTCAGAAATAGCCTTTTAAGTAAGGCTCACAACATGTGGTATTGTCCGTACGGGTAGCGTGCAGTTCATTTTTATCAATGGCAAACTTGGAATCATGATAAATGAAGAAAAATTAACCACTTTTTTGCTGAATAAAGTGTCTAAGAAGCAAAATGACATTTCAATACAGATAAATTTATCAAAAAATAAATGTTTTTAATTTACCTATTATTCAATTTAATGTTTTTTAACATGCAAATCAAAATAATGTACGTTTTGAATCCAGAAATTGGTGGCCATTTTGGATTTTTATACCCTAAACAAAATCTCAAAACAATTTAAATTATTCAGTCAAACATTTCATACCATGACCTGTGCAATAAATCCTCCATTAAGTAGTCTGAGATGTTTTATACTGAGAAAGGCTTGTTGACATATCAAAACAAAAAGCCCATTTTATGTGGTGGCCATCTTGGATTAGAGCCATCTGTGTTCAAATGTACAATTTTGTGATAAATTAACTGGTAAAAATTAAAAATATAGACTTCAACTTATTCAAATACATCAAAACATGTAAAATATTCCTAATTCTTGGTTAATAAAAAAAAATTCAAATTTAGGTATTTGTATTTTTTCACAAAAAGTAAGGAAAGGCCGCCATCTTGGATTCAGTCGCCATCTTGAAAAATGTAAAGTGCCTGAAAAATCAAAGAAGGCCAAAGTACTTGTGATCAGTGCAAATTTTGATAATATTAAGTTGTTAAGTAACTTTTAAATCAATTTTTGTATTTACAGTTGACCCATGAATTTACTGTCGGCCATCTTGGATTTGGCCTGTTTCCGGTACAAACGGACACTTTTTCAAGCCGGAAACAAGCAGAAATGAAAAATTCAGGTTCTAAACTACAAGAATCAATCATAAAACCTTTGCCTGACGGGGGGTGCAGCCAAATTGGATTTTTTGGCCTTTGGCTCATGGACTAATATAAAAAAATCAAGATTAAAACTGAAATAATGCATGAACACTTACTCATATCTGGCTTTGCGACTCTTTGGTAAAATGCTAGTTCACAAAATAATGGTCCATTCCCATGTGGCTCCTATGAATAGAACATAACAGCAATTTATAAAGATGACTGATAGATGTATGCTTTGATAGACCCCCTATTGGTTTCCACACAGTCATATCACACATGTGTACATAATATTGCATCAATAGATCCCAAAGAAATCAATAAACTGAATGCTTTTTGTACTTAAAAAATTGTTAAGTCACTATTTAGTCAATTAGACATTATGTAATTGTTAAAGGGAAGTCTAACGGTATTTTCTCATTTAGCGGGTTCTGGGAAGACAATAATATTGCAAACACTTGGAGCAAGGGTCCACTGGTGTGAGTATGTGTTTATGCACAAGGACCTACTGATATGACTCTACTTCAATTATCAATTACATGAAAAGATCATAGTATGCTATTCACATTAAAAAATTCAAAAATCAACCCACCAAAGAAATTAATAGAATATTTATATAATATTACTACATACCAATACACACACACACACACACACACACACACACACACACACACACACACACACACACACACACACACACCTGTTTTGGGTTTTTCTCTTAAATCTATGACTGAGTCATTAACAAAGAAAAACGTCAAATATATTTACAAATGGCAAGTTCAAATTAAATCAGTTGCCTGTTTTCATTCCTGTTTATAGACCAGTGTCAAGAAAGTGAGAAGAATGTACATATGTTCATCTTAGAACACCCCTGCTGCTCTGGAAGCTGACAGTATTCTTAGTAAGGTACAGACAGAATCACACTTACAATTTTAACAACGTAATCTTTTGCAGCTCCATCTAATGTGTTGTCTGCAGATGTAGCTAAAAAAATCAACAATAAATATATGATGGCAAATAATCACTTTTATCTTGAAAAATATATTGGATCTTATTATGATAATAATAATAATAAAGTTGAAAAAATTCATAGCAAAACATTCTAACACAATTAATTCACACATATATGCTGACACAATGGCACATAAAAAAAGGGTACATCACTAATTATTTTCTTTTGACATTACCAGTACTCTTATGGTTTGTATACAAAAATTTAATGCAGATAACAGTACCTGAATATAGCAGTCCAAACCCCCCTGAGCCTACTGCCTTGCCAACCTTCCACTGGCGTTTGAATATATCTGCGAGTATTGTTCCCTCAGGAAGGGGAGCTGCCAACTGATATGCCTTGGGTGTAGCTCTTGCTTTCTTTGCTGAAAAATGAATGTAATATTAAATGCATGAAATCTACAGCACAATTTTTACTGTCCTCTAAACAGAAGAAGAAATTTTAAATCATTTTCCCCCTGACAAATAGAGCATCAGTGCATAAAATTCAATTTAAGCAAAACACAAAATATATGATACAAACAAAACAGTCAAATAAAAACATTTTGTATTTTTTAAAATTGTAATTTTAAAATCAAGATGAATTTAAAAATGTGATCTTACCTGGTGTAGAAGAGCCTGCTGCTTGTTTTCTTTTGGGTGGCATCTTTGTCGCTGTTTATGTATTTTCTAGATATTTTTGAAAGGAAAAATACAATTAACTATTAAAATAAAAAATCACAGAGCTCATACCTAATTATGGATACACAGAAATTAAAGTCAGTAGACGCATAAACACCCTGCCTCAACACATGAGCATCATGACCAACTGGTAACTCCTATTATGCCACCTTACTGGTCATCTTGCACCTTAATCATACCAACTCATTAGGCATTGTGTTACTTGCTTGGGCATGTTTGGGCAATGAAACTGGAATAGGCTGGCTTGACTATGCTATGCCCAAGCATGCTCAGTAAATGAAATATCTTAAATCCAAGTACTGTTAATGCTTCAAGAGCCAAAGAATTGGCTCATTCTGTGCAAGTGCTCTATGTGAGTCTGAGAGTGTATATGAAATTAACCAACAATTAAATTTTAATTTTCAGCACAGCTTACAGGACTGTGTATATAATTATGGTTTTTAAAAGCTTAGTGCAGTAGGTAGTCAAGATAATGAACCTTTTATTTGTATCTACCCAGTATGATACATTGATAAAAAAATATGGTCCGTCCATTGGATGCAGCAGCTATGTCTCCAAATCTCTATAAACCTTTGGTTTTCAATGTTTTTTTCTAAATTCAGTTAATAGTATGTGATTACTTTGATCAGTGTCTCTGTTATTCAATTTCAATTTGGCAATTATTTTTCGATGTTTTTAAAAAGTCAAAACTTCAAGCCAACTGAAATAAAACAAGGGGTAACCATAGAAAAATCAATATAATTTTTAAATGTTAATGGTTTATCAAGCACTAAGTTACTGGCAAAGTTTAAAGGTTCTCTAAACTGTCATGTAATGGCACTATCTAAATACTCCGACATAATGCTTTTCAAGTTCAGTTAGAGGTTTCAGCTTAACTACTGTCATAAATATTTACCGATAATATCCCACATGTGCTCTACACCACTCCTCTGTATTTCCCTTTAAGTGCTAAATGGTTCAAGTATAAATGATACCACATTAAAAACATTTTCCATTCACTTTTCTTTCAGGTTTTTTTTCAAAACGATCAAACTTTCCGCTTTCGAGTTTTTGTAATGTTCGCTACGATTCGTTCAATTTTCTTATGAACAAATCACGGCCAATAGCTTGAGTGCTCTCAAATGGCTTTTCGGCATCATTTTGCGGAAGTAAACAAGTGCGCGAATACAGTGCGCAACTTCTCAAAATGGTGGAAACCTGTGACCGAAATTTCTAATTTTTGTATCGTGTATTGATGCATCCGGAGAGTCATAAACTGTTTAGTGTAGAATGTCAGAGCAAGAGAATTACACACAACTGGCACCTGCAGTCATACAGGGCGAAAATGAAGTGAACGAATTGGTGCAAATTTCGGAAGAGCAGCCGAGGATAACTTTCTCAGACGGAAAGCAGACAGCTGACATTGCCAGTGACACAGTTCCGGAAAATGACACGAAAATTATAAAGAAAATCAAAGAGAAATCGAAAGACAGGAAGGTGTCTTTCCCCGATGTTACAGTTGTGTCAGGTTATGCTGATCCACCAAACCCTTGGCATGGAGGTCAGTGATTAGCAAACGGTGGCAAGAAAACTAGATATTATTGTTCATTACACTGCTCTCTTATTGAATATTGTATTGTTTTCGGTCTCATTTGCAAGTGCCACAGAACATAGCATTGCCAGTTTTGTTTCTAATTCAAATGTTAAAATGGAATGTGGAATGTGTCTTCTTGGCCATTGGTATTGTCACGTTTTAAATTTTGATATTTTAAATGATATTTTACATTGCAAAGACTCCATTTTCATCTTTTTACTAGACACTGAGCCCAGTTGCAAGTGCATCTTGAATGTTATGTAATCTCGGATTGAAAGCATTTGATAACATGTACATAAAACTTACACAACTATGTCCCTATCATTTTGTCATGCAAGCCCTAAGTTGGTGTATTTATAAAAGTAAAGTCTTGAAATCTTTGGGTTTTTTAATGTCCAGTTGTGTTAAGCTTGATACTGAATATCTTAGATAGATGGTTCATTATAACAAATGATTAAATGGGATAAAAAGTTGCAAAATGTTGCTGACTGCTTGTTGACTGATTACACATTTTAAATGGCAATAGACCTCAAAAATCTAAAATTAACTTATAAATCAGTATGCTTTTTCCAGGGCTATATTAGTTTGGCCGTATGCGCAATCCTAGTAGTGAGGTGTGTGAGGTCTCAATGAGGAAAAAATCGACTGTATAATCAATAATAAGTCACTCTTCAATATTATTTAGTGTCAAAGAAGGACATGCTTCAAAATCCAACTACGCATGTACACACTCATTTTCAGTTGACACCATATGATTTCAGAAACTGTTGGCCATTTGAGGCTAGGCAAATATGGTTGGGATTTTAACCATTATATTAGCAATGTGTTAAAATAGACTGAGTGTATCTGCATCTAGCGTTGCAAAACCCTTTTTACACATGCAAGGATAAAATCTGGTTATTTGTCACCTTCAACCAATCCACACACTTCAAAGACACCTGGTTATTTAATGTATGAAGTGATATTTCATTGGGATAATTTTTTATTTGTAATCATTATGGTAGATTTTTTATGGTGAAAGCAATTTAGCAGAAAAATCTACAATGGGCCGTTGAAACAAAAATGAAATATCTTTATTTCCTTTGAGCAAAGTCATATCTCTTAAACCAACTACATTTAATTTTGAAAGCTATATATATATATTTTAAAGTGGGCTCAATAATAAAAAGTGACAAAGCAAATACAAAATTATGTAATTTATATGGTCAAACTAAGAATGATAAACTAGGAAATCATAAAAAATATATCACAATATATAAGATGAAATGGACAATATTATTAGTACGATAAGTAGATAATTTATGTCATTCAGAAACGTGATACCAAGAATGACTGCATTTGAAAGTCTTCAAATTGTAAAAGCTCTTTATAGCTATGCTGTAAAATAATTACCCATTTCAGTTTGGCTGAAATCTTGGTGTAGGCCATAGATAATTGATAAGATTTGTGACATATCATATATTGATATATTGTTAATTGTTAGCAAAAGTGTATGGAGTACATAGTATATATGCTTGTTACGGTCCGAACTAATGATAATCCCTCACCATACCATGCAATATACAGTGTTTATAAGCCATATTTGTCCATTTTGCAGTCAGTTTATGTTGCAGTTGTAAAAGCCAGGAAAGAAATTAATGGAAGATAAATGCAATAATTGTAATGGAGAATGTAATGACTTTCACTGGGACACATACAGCGAGTAAAAAAAAGTTGTAATTGATATCACATGTATGCTATAATACACCATGACTACCCTTCTGAATGATGATATATAGTAATGGGCATATGAACTACTATATCACCTGTTTTTTTTGTTTTCAGTAAGTGGTCTCTCCACAGACAGCCTGATCAGTGCATACAAACATCATTGTGAAAAGCTGAACATAAAACCCTTGCAACGCTTGCTATCACAATTACAGGTAAAAAAAGATTGTCTAATAGTAAAGGAGATGTGCCTGTAGTTATTAGCCCTAGATATTAATGATATTGATATATAAGGATATGATAACCTTACTGAATGTGTTGTACTAAAAGCTATGTAAATGTGGACTATTACTGATAGTGGGATAACTTGTGTTAGAATATGAAAAGTGATAATTTTGACCAATAATCTTATCTTTAAATACCACAATTTTTTTCAATTATGTCACAATTTAATATTGTAGTATAGTAGTTTGGATAACATCACACTGTAAAAATGTAACTAGAATGGAATTCCAGATGTTAAAGGTGGAATGGGACCATTTCTGTTTGACCTTGGTGTCGTTGTTCCCTGCATGTGACCCAGATAGATAATCTCGTGAATGTAACGACTGCATGCTGTCCTATGTTTCTGAAAGAAAGTTTATAAAAAGTCAAAACTATCAGTTAAAACATAGTTACTCAGTATGTACATGCATTGCTATGCACACATTCATGGTATACATGTGGGCGTTTTGGGTTGTTTAGGTTTGCCTGATGCTTGGCTTTCTCTGAAAGCATGATTCATGGATCCAAGAAAGATGTGCATTGATTTATCTCTTACTGGAATCATTGTAAAGAGAAATTGGAATAATCACAAAGTGCACCTATTGGTGCAGAGAAATCCATTTTAGCAGCTTGTTTTGCCCATGGTTTGTCTGTAAAAATTCATTTTAATACCAGGAAGAAAGCTTATGAGACATGTCTATGGAAGTTGAGCTTTTTCTTATTGTGAGATGTGTCATGAAAAAGGGAACATGTTTAATGTGGGTAACTAGAGACATGGCCTTTTTTTTTTCACCTATTCTCTGTAGTATAGACCATTTGTATTATTAGTACTGTGTGAAGAATGGGTGTTTTTTGTTACCAGATTTACCAGCTCATGCCCTGTATAAGTCAGATTTAGCGAAGAAGAAGAAGACACCTTAATTATATCCCCCCTCATTATAATAATCCCCCTGTCACCCATGAGTAAAGTGGAAAGAAACATTAGCTGGAAGTGAGATCACAGCAAGATAACACAAGGTTATGTGCAATCAAGGGTTTGCTTCCTGAAGTTCAGCCTTTGATAGATTATTTGTAATAAAATTGATGAAAACAGGACCTGAAATATTGTGTTCTTTGTTCTCCTTGTTAATGTTAAAGAGTGGGCAAGGAAAGGACATTGAAGGTCATTGTGTCATTAAGTTATAAATTGTGCCTGCCTCCCTTTTTTTAATTAACAAGAAAATTTAAGGAAGTTAAAGTGAACATTAAATGACTGGTAGTTGACTTTTGGTAAACAGGGTATCTAAGGGAATAAAAGCAGAGCTTAAACGTTAAACCGTTTGAATACAGGCATAATAAATTTGATTACTTTTATAGCCAGGTTGTTCTGCCAGTTTTCTTTATAGAGCTCTCTATCGTTTTATTCTAAGATTAATGTACAGTTACTGAAGACCAGATACATGATGTTGTCATTCTCCTCTGATGTACCTTCACAGGGGAAAACTGCAGCGTTAAAATGACGTTGCACAACAAAGTGGAGTTGTTATCAGCACAGTGCTGGCGTACCTGAACACCATATGCTGGTATTTGTTGGCTCTGCTTTACAATTTTTCTTCTTAGTCATTGGCAATGTGCATGTCAGTGCAGCCCTAATGGGTTCTTGGTCAATAGACTGAGAAACAAGCTAACCATCTTAATCCTATGTGCTGTTCATTTAGTCTCTAAATTGGCTCAACTCCCATAGTAATAGTATGAATATGGTCTGAGAATTAAAAAAGAAAACCATCTTTATTAGATCAACAGTTGATTTTTTCCTATTTATTTCAGGTCATTCAGGACTTTGATGCCAGACAGGAAACTTTATTTTTGAAGGGTAAGACAATTATTCAGTGGTTAGTACTTTATATTGTATAATTATCATGAACTGTATTCTTGCCATTTAAAATGTTTTACTTTGAATCTGTCATATCTCATACAGTTGAATAAATGTATATTACTTTCTCAAGTATTTCAGTTTAACTCCCAAGAAAAATTCAATGAAAATGTATAAGAGTTAAAAGATGTACTCCCACTCAGTTTTGATTTTGTTGTTGTTACCTGGCTTATTTGCCCTGGCTATGAGACTACGTACCCTGTGTGGTGCATATATTGATTATGTATGACAAATAAACCATGGTATCCTCCCCTTCAAAAGATAATCTGACTTGGTATATAAATAGAAGATATCTTATTGGTGGGGCAATCAAAGTCAATGACATTACAATTGTTTAAACAGGACTTGAAATTAGCATATTATGATAGTGTATAAGGCGATTTTATATTGGAACAATTCAGTGATATTTACTAAAATTGCATAGATCTTTGAATGAAGCTAATAAATTTATTACTATCAGGTTTGATTTCAGTGCCTCCCCTTGACTGCTGCCCAGTGGTCTTTTCCACACATTTTACATATTCCACTCTTACTGGAAGACAAACATTCATAACAAGCACTGCTTTTAAAGCACTTTTACAAACACTTTGCTTTTCTGTTAATCTACTATGTTTTTGTATTCTTTTAATTTGTTGCGTATAATAAAATTGAATAAATGAAAAGAGAATGCTATCCCATATATTAATTATATATAAGAATAATTGTGTCATAGGTGTACTCTTTTATTGTTAAGTTGTGGACTTTTGGCAAATATTTTGCCAGAACTAATAAAGATAATAATTATTATTATTATAAATAGCTAGCTGTAATTAAGCATTGCGTGATTACATCCCATGAGTGTATGTGCATTTTTACTGTAGTTGTTTAGTAGTTGATTATGCTTCTGTAAACAAAAATGATCCCATATTTATAATAAGGAACATTTGCCTCCGTAATATTTATGATTATAAAATGAACTCCTTGTTTTTATATTTCACTGGTATTTTTCTTTTTTTTTTTTCACTTTAGGTATTAAAGTTATTGTGATAGCATTATCATCATCTTTTACTATCTTCCTGTATACTTAAAATTCTATTACATAAAATGACAAATATAAGAATTATTCACAGCATGCATGCATCTGTTTATTAGTAGTGGGTTATTGTGAAATGTTTATTGTGCTTCATTATTCAGTGTTAATGTTATTTAATGTCTAGAGGCAAGCAGTTCACATAGCTCTTGGGCTTGTTGTCAAACCTGGGAAAGTTCACTTGAGTGGTAGTGTTGAGAAAGTAATTTGGTTGATTGAATGTCATGTTGTCTTTTTTTTTTGTAGGGGAGCGTTTAGATGCCCGGCATGTGGAGGCAATTGAAGAGATTTTCCGCCGTGTGCAGTTCAGGACTGTGGACATGGAGGCCACCAATTTAGATGACGAGGTAATCATGTCTAGTGGGATATTTCCATTATGGCATTTGACATTGTGTTACTTTTTAGTATTTGAAGAATTGATATCTCCTTTGGATGAAATATTGATTGGCAGCCTGAGAAATTGAATTTATGGAAATATTGTAAATGCAGTTTGTCATATGATGGAAAAAACAGAGACAAGCCAATCTTTAATAATACATACATGATGTTGCATTATACAAGTTCACGGGCAATGTTAACTCAAAATAAAGTGAGTTAATAATAGAAATTAATCTATTTTCCAGAGTGCCAATGCTTTGTTTGAGATGATCGAGTACTATGACAGTGCAGGTCGTCTCAACATAGCTTTTAATAAGAGCATAGGCCCCAGGGGCTGGATGAGTTGTTCTAGGCTCATCAAAAAGGTATGAGAATCGATCAAGACTTGAATGAGGAGAAAAGCTTTGCTTTTATTAGTTTAAGAGCCTTTATCTATTACTCTTGCTTTGAAGCTTTTTAGTCATTATAATTGAACATATTTATTTATTTATTTATTTATTTATTTATTTATTTATTTATTTATTTATTTATTTATTTATTATGTTTTCACTTGGATATTGGTTTGGTGCTTATTTCACTCCTTCTCTTAGTCTTTTTGGTGAAGACAAAATTTTGAACAAATTAAAACAAATGAACAAACCAGACATGCTGAAACTGTCAGTCTGTTCGGTCATGACCGGGAAAATTTGTCTGGACCGGTTAAAAATTGGACTTGGTCAGTCCAAAGGATCGGCAAGAGTTTTAAGAGCCGCAATTTTGAATTTACAGTCATCATTCGACATACTTCACTTATAAAATTATATAAAACCCAAAGCGTTTTTCCCCTTCCATTTCAAACCTATCACATTCACAAACAAAGTAAGCTACCCTAATCGTACTGGTAGTATCTGTCTCAAACGAATAGGGTGATTTTACGGTCTGACAAAAATCCATTCGGTCTTGCAAATTTTCCATAACTGCCGGTCCAAATGTCCGGCCATTCTGAAAAGTTTTCAGCATGTCTTACAAACCAAATTAAATTCTTCAGGATTTGACATCGTGGAGTAAGAAACAAATTCATTTCCATTAGTCTAATGGAGAAGCATATTTCCCCTTGCAGGCTCCTAGCTTAGAATACTTGGATGTCAGGAACTGTACCATTAGTGATCAGGGCATGGGTATCTTGGGGCGCTCTCTCCGCCTGGGCTCTACACTCAGCATTCTGCACATGGAGAATGTGGGGCTGGCAGGCAGACCACTCCTTATTCTGGGTATGTAAACTACCATATGTGATTAAATATGATAAACTGTACTTGAAGTATCTGGTTAGCTTTGCACAGGGAAAGATGAATTGTAAATATTATTGTTCTGTATTGTCTCAATACTAGAGTCCGTTATTATTTTACCCAGTGCCATATAACCATGTTATATAATAGTAAAATGCACAGTGAATTTTTTAACTGACATTAGTTTAATATCTCATTTTTTATTAGACAATTTTTTTCAGTCTAGAAATGTTGTTTAAACAAAAAGAAATTACCCAATGCAGATACAACTTGAAACTTATTTAGGAAATAAACTGACTGATAAGCATTTCATTTTCTTTTCAGTTGCTGCCCTGAAGCTTAATGAACTGCTTAGGGAATTGTTCCTGGCTGATAACCGTCTCATGCCTTCAGATGCCATACAACTGGGAAACCTGCTCAAGTTTAACCACCGACTCAAGTTACTGGACATAAGAAATAATCATATACAGGTATGCCCTTTTAATGTTTGAATAATCTGATGTTTGAATAGCTCATTGCAGGTAAAAGGCAATTTTTTGCATTTAGTACATATTTTTTCTGCATTAACTGTGATTGTTGAAAGAGGAAAATGCATACTTTTTCTACTTATTAGAATGAAGTATTTGATGGGTTATATTGACAGAATGTCACTTGCAATATTTGTTCTCATATATGTTGAACTTAATGAAATGATCAGTGGTGTGAGGGTTGCCTACAGTATTTTCCCACTTTGAGACATCTTTTTTCCTCCATTAATCAATTTAATTCTAATATTATTCCCTTGTTTGGGATGTGAAGAGATGTATAAGTAAGACAGAGTGGAAAAAAGATGTAATGGAAGTGGAAAATACTGTAGAATGACTGATGAGCAAAAATGTTGTCTCATGTTGTTTCAGGATGTTTGACTCAGTTGTGGGTTACTTGTTCTACCTTTTTAAAGGTTTATTGCACTCATGAGCTTAGTCATATGAAGAGAACATTAAATTATGTCTTTTTTTAGGATGTTGGACTAACTCATCTAAGTGATGGGTTATATGAGCAGAGCTTGGACAATGGTCTCCATACTTTGGTGTTATGGAACAATCAACTCACTTTTCAAGGAATGCAGTCATTGTCCAGGGCACTGGTAAGTAGTACCACAGTTTGCAATGGTTGTCATAAGCACTGGTAAGTAGAAGCACCATAAAATGCAGTCATTGTCTAGGGTGCTTATAACTTTTAAGCTTTATATTGTCTATCCTTCAGATTTTATCCTACTATTAGCTTGGTCTGGTTGTATAAAAATCATTATGCACTGCAGTAAAAGGTATTTTGTCTCTGCTTAGTCTAAGTGTATTCTTTTCTTCTTTTCCCCCCAAAATGACTTATCAATCTGGTTAAGTTTTTTTTCCTTCTTGCTGTCATACTTTTCTACATATAACCACAAGTTTTTATTGTTTTTGTTTTTTCAGTCCTCCACAAAATGTCTACAGACATTGAACCTAGGACATAACAATATCAGCAATGAGGGGATATTAAGGTTAAAGGAAGGTCTCCTACAGAACAGGTCATTGCTAAGGATAGGATTACAAGCAGCCAAAATTTCTTGTGAAGGTAGGCATTAGATGAGCACTAGATCAGTTGCTGTGAAGTATGATGTTAGCACTGACCCCTCACCCACTGATACGTAGCCAGTAAGGTATTGCAAAAGTTCTTGGCACAGAGTGATTTTGAGCCTTTTGGGTCACAAGCTACATGGTTGTTGTTGTTCATTAATAATCCAAGTCATGATGTCAAACATTTAATTTTTTATCTGCTGGACAAACAGCCATATTTCCAAAGAGACACAGTAGACACTAATTGTAACCATGAATGTCTAGCTGATCAGTAAAGCAAGTATTATAATACTATATATAAATTTTTGAAAAAAATTTAGGAGCTATAATATAAAATTATTTGTTCTTTTTTGAATAATAAACAATGTGATTTGAAGTTGGATTTAACTATAATCCTGAGTGTTGCCCTATCTTTCAGGTGCCATAGCTTTAGCAGAATTTGTAGCTGACAGCCCAGAACTCTTGAGGATGGATTTGAGAGAAAATGACATCAAGACTGCTGGACTGATGGCTCTCTCATTGTCACTCAAACACAACACAACAGTCAACAGGATTGACTTGGATAAGGAGCCCAAAAAAGAAAATGTGAGATGCGTTTGTCAAGTTAAATTAACAAATTTCACACCTACATAGATGTTTATTTTAACAGTACTGAGTATCAGCATAGTATCAGTTTTTACAATATTTATATTTCACAAAGTATGTATAAACTACATTTAATTTACCATCTCTAGGGTGTTAAGGATTATGCTGAACAACAGGAGCGCCTTATCCAAGACATTAACTCTTATTTACAAAGAAACCGTGAGTTGGCCCAGAAAAGAGCTGAGGAGCAGTCTGCGGCATATGAAGCACAAAATGCCAAAGCTGCGACAGAGGATGGTGCTTCGGATGAGAAATCACTGCCTGAAAATGCCACTGAAGCCACAGAAGAACAAGTGCCTGTGGCAAAGGGGGTGACCTCTGAGGCAGAAGCTCCCCCAGCTGATAGCTGTCATCCTAAACATCACCCTGACTCACTGAAGTTTGTGGAACAGGATCAGGTACGCCCCCAGGAGTCTCTGGACTCCCCAGCCTTTGCACCAGATGGTGCTGTCACCTTCAGTGTCAACAGCGACAAGGTCCAGTTTATGAAAAATGTTGGGAATGTCATAAAGGAGGATGAAGAGGAAGGACACGAAGCTCAGTGTGATGATAAAGATATAGAGAAGGATGTAGATCAAGAGTGTCAAGAACAGGGAGCTGACAATGACAACGAGGCTGACAAGATGGAGGTTTCCTCACAAACTTCTGTTTTGTCACCACTTACATCAGAAGAGCAGATATCAGGGGGTGACAGTGATTCCACACTTCCTCTGTCTCAAGATGCCAAACTCACTGAAGCCCCTGTGAAGCCTTTGAACACAGCACCCATTCCCTGTGTCCCCCCACCATCTTCCCTAACCCCTCTCATGGTCCAGACTATCCCCCTGGGAGCCTCTCCCCCTTCTTTTGACTTACCCAGGCAGACCAGCCCTGCTGCCAGTCCAACCAGAGCTAAGAGGGTGTTCCGTATTAACAGGGTCACTGAGACATCACCCTGCCCCTCACCAGCGTCCTCTCCTGTTGCCACACATCCAGCAGGTGGCAGTTTTGATGCCATATTATCTTCCCAGGAGCACATGGGAACTGTGGAAAAAACACAGACTGAGGTTCATGAAAACACAGGTCCTTCTCTTGTCACTCACAGCTCTGAGACTGAGAAAGAAACTAATGATAAGACCCCTAATGAAGCTGCAAGTGTGGAGGAGACTCCAGTTGTGACTGGCACAAATCTTGAAGCTGGCGACTCCATCAAAGTAACTGATGAGACCACAGTGCAATTACAGCACACTGGAGAAAAAGATAATGCTGGGGTTTCTGAGTCAACTGTAGACTCAAGGGCCCATATACAGCACTGTGGGGTTACAGGAGATAAGTCTGACAATGGTGAAGAGCCAGTATTACTGAACACTGGTGATGGTAGTCTTCAGGCTGGCCCTGAGACAGATGGACAGAAGGCTGAGAACTATGTGGTTGATATTCTTCAAGGTGCTGTGAAAACATATCAGGAAAAACTTTGTGAAGACCCAGAAAAAACGGAGTCAGCTGCAATTGAAAGCCATATAGCTGACCATAGTGTGCAATGTCCTTCTGATGATAGTGCAAATGTAGACGTAGACAGTAGTACTAGTGATGTGCTTGTGGTGGGTAATAAAACAAAAGAAAACAAACTTGAGACAACGCAGTGTGACTCTGCTCAAGACAATAGTTTGCTTACTTCTTGCACAAAAACTTGTGACACAGCAAACGTCCAAACCACTATGTCTGCAGGGGGTGAGGATGTGGCAGAAAACACCACCCCACCAGATCTCTGGGATGTTGATGAAGGAGAAAATGAGGAGAAGCCAGACTTCCATTCCAGTCTCACCATGAATGGCATGACCAGGGAATTGGCCAAAGTACTGGACAGTCTAGAGGAAACTCCTCAAGGTAGGGAAAATATTGGTCTTGGCAAAGTAGAAAAGAATTTCATCAGATGTGTTTTGCACTAATAGTAAAGCAGTAATTTTTCGTCAGTCAACAGCTAACCAAAATTGTTGTTTACTTCCATTGTTTTGTGAGTGGCCTCATTCCTTAATGTAAGTGCTCACGATAGACATTGAAAATATTGGATGTAAACAATATTTCTGTACTACCTGTTGATTGTAATAAGTACAGTTGTCTTTTTATTGGTTTTGCAATAATTAAGACTTCTGATGCCCATCATTTTCATAGTCATAGCTTTGTATGGATTTGGTAGCAGTTCAATAATAATAATAGCAAACCTGCTCAGTTTAGTGTGTATGAATAAAGAGGAGCAAATGTAACAGTGATTGGTTTCTTTGCATATGAAATGTAACTATATTTGATTTTGATGTCATTCAGAACCTTCTACACCCAATGACCTGAGGGAGATGGTAGCTGCAGCTCTCAGTGAACAGACAACAGAAAACGGTAAAGTGATAAATATATTTACCATTGTGCCTTCTTTTGTGTATGAGTATGTTATAAAATGTATTCTCTTTCAACACTTAAAAGGGTGAGGCTTTGTTATACATTATACCTAGTGTATCTAATGATTATAAGACGATTTGAAATAATTAACTTGTAGTGTTACTGTTTATTTTCTCAAGGATTACAGATCAACACATTTTGAATATGATAAAGGAGAATTACATAAGAATGACTCCTGTTTGATTCCAGAGACAACAGAGGAAGTTCCACAAGAAGATACTTCTGAGAACACTTAGGGCCTCCACATGTTGCTAACAATTCTGTCTGCCTGCTGCTGCACAGTGGGCTCAACAAGTGTTGTGTTAAAGCTGGTGCAAAATTGACTCTGCTTGGAATATGTGTCTGTGCTGAAGTCTTTCCTGACCTCCTTTCAAGTTTAGATTTTCAAAAATTTTTCATAATAGTAATAATGATAATAATAAGTGAAGGGTTTGGATGTGGAGACATGTTTTCATCTTTTACATATGTATTTAGAATGGTTTGACATTTATTTAATTCGTTGGTTCTGTCAACTGTTGGGACAAAACTGGCTAGTCTTGGGTGTATAAATAAAGAATAATTTGGTGATATATATGCCCAATAATTAAATAAGCATTTTATTTCAAATAAATCAGAATATCATAGATTAGCTTTGTTGCACTTGTCATAAGACATGTTCTCAACATTTGAAATTCTAAATACTTATATTGAATCATAATTTTTGAAGATGAAAATATGTCTTTATCGACAAGGGGGTATTTGCTCAGATCTTCCTATATCACCTTAGTTTTATTTTTTCTGCTAATTTGAAGCATATTAAATTATCAACTCTCATACATTGTGGTTGTATAATGTTGGATTAGTAAGTGCAATTTATATTTATCATCCTTTGATGACTGAATATTTCATTGAAGGCAGTGGTGCAGTTTTACAGTGCTTGAACATAAATTATTTTATTTCGAACAAAGTATTCATAATCATGGACTGTAAGTGACTAATACAAGATGAGTCTTTCCTCTACTTTGACTAATAGTCTTCTTCACTTAAATTATATTTTTGACCAGAAGGTACCCAATTTTGACACCATTTTTTAAAACTAACATTTATCACCAACTTGAACAGTGAAAGCATGAGTGACTGGAGCTCCAAAGAAATTTAGTTTCGATTTATTAACCAATTTATAGTGGAGTTTTAGCCATTGAATCCTGTTTGTAAGTTTGAAAGAATTCAGTTCAATTGTCTGTTCATGTTCCTGTATTTTTTGTTTAGATATCTTATGATCTCAGACTTCATATACAAAGTTGTGATATAATTTCTTGAAATTTTATGTTGTTTGGTACACGGTGTGAAGCAAGTGGGCCAAACAAGTATCCACATTTATAGTTGAGCATACCAATATATACATGTACAGGAATATAAAAATGGCAGTAGTTCCCAGATTGAAGCGACTGCTTTTCCTGAAACTTATAGGTGACAAGGATTGATCAGGGGGATGAAGTTGCTGCTGAAGAATTTTCCTTTTGCCAATTTTTCATTGAGGGGTTCCCTTCTTTTGGTTTGTCTTTTTAGTTTAGTTAGACATCAAGCTCTTTGCACAATGCCAGTTATGGTGACCTACTTCAGAAGAGCCATGTGATGGGACTCATGAACCACGCAATGTAAAAGCAGGGCACTAGTTATTTCATTTAGAAGCATGTATAAATTGGCTTCCAGAGGTCTGTGATTCATTTAGGCAGGATGCTGTGTAGATATGAACCGATACAAAGATTATTGATGCAATGATAAGAATTATTGAACTTGATGTAATTTATAACAAAATAAAAGGACTTAATGAGATGAGTCTGGTGTTTGCTATTTTGCCTTGTTGATGTTCTAGTTTGAGAGCCATCAATATTTGTATGTAATAGAAATGGATTAAATGGAAATCGAACAAAACTTCGCACCAAGACTTGCACAAACTCGCATTAAAAATATATGACAGCCAAATTATTTGATATAATACTAATGATCACATGTCAAGTGCTCGCTAACAATTTACTGATTGAAAAAGACATTACCTGATTATGTTGTCCATGGGTAAAGAGCTGGGGGTCAATCAAAGATGTTTTTTAGGCTGTATGATACTGGTTTTTACTTCCTTTAATAATCTATACTAGTTAATAATTCTGATGATTCATTTAAATATTAACCAACCGTTTTGCATATTTAGAGCGTAAATAAAATCTCAACAGACATAAGGATCTAATAAAATCACAGCATGGTAAAAATGCATACATGTTCATACCTAAAATATTTTTACTTATAAGTAGAAAGTTTGCTAGTACTTTAAAGGGATGATTAAAGTCTGTATTCCTACCGAATGCTGCTGCCTCGGCTTTGAGATTAGTGATCACTCAACAGGGTGTTGCTATCAAACCACCAATATTCTATTAAAGTTAACAATTTCCTTCGAATTCTGTTAGAAGTTTACATTGATGGCAGGCCAACTATTCCACTGTCCCTGAGCTCACCAAAGGTAGAAAGTGTATACCTGGTTTCCCAAAGTTTGTCATGGGCATTACAGCGGTCTTAAAAGAAAACCAGACTACATTTGCTATGTTTAGTGAGCCTAGATGAGATAAACTACAGGGAAGGGCCATACTCTGGAAGGCCAACCTCTCATGAAATAATGGGCCATGGGCCCAAGATTAAAAGTAATTGCGCTCTAAGCCTCATTTCATGTGTGTAAAATATTTTTAAAAACCACATTATTTTTCATCTTAAGGTTCCATCTGCAGTATCCATGGAAGTTCCCATAGAAAACTCCATGTTGTCAGGATCTGAGGGGCTGTATGAGCTGACAGAGTCTGTGTGGACAGATTCGCGTTTGACGCGAGGTTGACGTGAAATTCTTGGACGTGGTGACTGGGGAGGTGAGGGAGAAACTGGTGGACGTGGGCTCTGCCTGTGTCCTGGTGAGCCCGAGGGAGATTTGGGAGATCGATGTGATGTAACTGTAGTGTGTCTAGGTCTAGGTTGTGGCTCTGGAGAAGAATCTCTGTCAAATGAGTCGCTCCTTTCCAACAGTCTCTTCTGCATGGAGTGTCTTGGAGCAACTACAGGAGATTTGCTGGACAGTGTGGGTGCCAATGGAGGATGGATCCTTAACTTGGATGCAGCAGACGACTGGGAATGCTCCGATTTCTTTTCAGATTCTCTGGAATTCTTTGATCTAACAGATGTCTGGGATTGTTTTGAATTGACAGATTTGGGTGAATGATTTGACCCCACACTCTTTTCCTCTTCTGTTTCGAACAGTTTCTTGTTTTCCACAACAGTGTCTGGATATTCTTCATCATCAGTCTTCTGCCCATGATCTTCAAAGTCCTCTGAATAGTCAGAGTACTGGGTGCCATCTTGTTTTTTAGCAGATGTCACACTATTTATGTCATCATCATCATCTTCAGGGAAGCCTGGGTTATACACAGGTTTCACATTACCTTGTTGTGATGCATCATCAGAAAACACTATACTGACGTCAGATGTCCCTTGGCTAGCTTTATCATACTCCTCCTCCTCCCCACCTGCCTGTGGTATATGTACCTCAATACTCCTCTTAGATGATGTAGTGAGGCTGTATTGGCTGTCTGGGATGTCAGGGGATTGAACAACATCACCACCATGAACAGCTGTTAATACTCTGGTCTGTGTAACCAATGGTTTCCTGGAGGCAGGCACTGGAGACTGACGAGAACTTGGTGCAGGAGAATTAAACAAGCTTTCTCTGGTAAGATCTCTTGATAATCTGAGGAACAAATGTAAGATTCAATAGACTGTATAATCTGTGTAAAGATAATCAAATCAATCAACTAATCAAAGTCCTTCATATATAACATTAATAACAAATTGGGGAAAGTTCATGAAAACATAATCATATCATACAGATAAATCTTAATTTACATTAAAGATACCTTGGGGTTGGAACAGGCTTTCTGTGTTTCTTTTCACTTCTCTGTATCTCAGCCGTTTCAGCTACTTTTGGTCTTTGAGGGGTACCCACTACTTCTGGTTCTTGCTCAAATGGTACACCTTGAACTAAGGTAGAGGTTTCTGCAACTTTTGCAAACTCCCTCCTTTCACCCTGGTGTTCATGGTGTACAGGTTTTTTCTTAGGTCTTGGTGAGCTGAGCTGTTTTTCCATTGTTGCCAGAACCTCGGGGTTGGTTCTTGCCATCCTCAGCCTCTGAGTATTGGTCATCCCAAACTTTAGTTTTGTCTTGTGCTGACCATAAACTGGAGTTTGTCTTAACCAACCCTTATCCTTTGGTACTTTCTTTTTATGATGGGATGGGTCTTCACATTCATGATACCTGAAGAAGTTTACGAATTCTCTGTCACTGACTAAGCAGTAGCCCACACCTACACAATACCAACCTGTGACAATTCAATATACCCAATGGAAAGCAATGTGTGATTTACTTCTTACAGTAAGAACTCTCTAAAATAATTAAGTGTTATTAATCTCCTACATTTATTCTAAGAGTTACCACCATGACAAACCTATGAGTCTTGTGTGAATGGGGATGTCTAGCAGATCTTGGCTGTTGCTGGATCAGGTAATCATCAGTGGGCTCTGGCTCAACATCAGTCACCAAATTGGGCACTGAAATTCCCCTCACCAGGGGTGTTTTTGGTTGTTTTCCAGGGGAGACATGATCATAGGGGACATGACGGACCACTGTGACCTGAGGCTTGGACTTCTGGGGTTCAGGTCGGCTACGTTGGTGTTGCAGGTTTGTTAATTCTCTAAAGAGAGCATTCAGCAGTGGGAAGTTGTCCACAGAGGGTAGAGGCTGGGGAGTCATGTCATAGGGGTCAGTTCTCCTGACCTTCCACTCTCCAGTGTGGGTCTGTCTGTGATATGTTGTATGGTCATGGACGGGTTCCTCAAGGGAGAGGTCTGAGATCTCACTCTCAATCCCACTAGCAGTTTCATCAGAAGAGTTATCATATGCATCTTGTTTTGCGTATAAATCATTTAAAAGTTTGAAAGAGCTCCCAGTTTCAGCTTTGCTGTTGTAAAACAATGGAGGGGGACAATCAATGTTGTTAACAAATATATCATTCAAGGAATCCACATCTGGGTTTATTGATTTTACTTGCAATTGTTTTGATTTTTTCTCAGCATCAGTCTGAGTAAACTGTGTTAATAACTCTGGTTTCTTGTTCTCTCTATTTTCATCAGGTTCAGATATCACAACATTTGAGTTTTTGCCTTTGATCTCCAAGTCTGTCATGATGGTATCAACTGTTTGCACAATATCTTCTTTGTGTTTGCTATCTGTGGCCTCTTTTTCTGGTATCTCCTGCTTCTGTGTTTTGGTTATTGCCTGTTCTGGTATGTGGGACAGTAAGCTATATCCCAGACTGAACAGTCTGTGTCCCATAGTGATATAACCTATTTCACTCCCCATCAAATTATACAGCCTGTATGTGCCTTTCCCTCCATGCACAGAGGGTAAAGATAAACCATTAGCTTTAATATCTGCAACCACGTGGTCAATTGTGTTTTGAAGAGTAACAGTGGAGCTACCAAGCAGCTTTGGTACCTTAGGATAAGTGTCTATTATCATCACGTACAGTGGCGTGTTGGTAAGATGCATATGGAGTGTTTCTGCAGAGATTTTGTACAAACAAGATTTGCCTTTCTTGATGGGGAAATTGCCTTGTTTATCTTTCAGTTCGCTGAACTGTGCAGGTATTTCATAAAAGCTGTCCATTTCAAGTTTACGCCTGATAGTATCGGCAAGATCTGGATCCACATGATGTATCAAAAGAGTTGGGTAATCAAGCAAACGAAATGCGATGGCTGGAAAACGACAAGAGACAGCCGGAATATTGAGAAGGTCCACCACAACTTCCAGTGAAAACAAAGAATCCTGGTTCATTTTTCTTTATATTGTTACTCCACATTGAGGGAAAAGTCTTCCTGAAGTTGATATATAGTAAAATATCGTAACATGTGCACAAAAGTTAAGAAATATAGGCGATCTACACCAAACAAGTTGCTGGCGTTGTCCTTCGCCTGGAATTCCCTCCTAATATCTGAAAACGAGACCAGAGGGGAATCCCAATTTTTATTGGTTTAACTGGGTCATATGACACAAAATGCGCCATATTGGAGAGGCCATAAACATGGAAAAGCCTCAGTGCAGAGCAAATTTTTGCATATTTATTGACTGTTGTTCTGTATAAAGTATGATGACAAACGCAGTATGTAGGCGAGTTTTACAATGAATGTATACTGCTTCAGAGAAGTATCCAAAGTTATAAAATTAGAGCCGCTCAAACGTTTAAGCGTCCAGCCAGCAAGTGACAGCATAGTCAACAGGAACGTTGAAAGGCCGAGCGTGTTGAAAGGGTCAACTTTGTTGATTTAAGCCCGCAAACCCCAGCATGAGATGGATTATTAGAAGTGATACTGGTTTTATGACATCACAGTTATGAGTAAAAGTAAGCAGACGACCCTTTTCCAAAGCTGGGGCAATAAAGGTGAAGGGGCAAGGCCAAGAGTTTCCTCACAGAAGCCCAGCACCAGTTCTGGTATCAGTGGCAGTGCTAGTACCAGTGGGGCAAAGAGAACCATTACTGGAGATCCTGTTGATACAGTGGAACTCTTAGACAGTGAAGATGAAGAAGACATGTTACTGGCCATGGCCATGGAACAGAGCTTGAAGGAAATACAACCAGGACAAGATTTGGCAGACCCAAAACCCACATGCATAAACCCTTTGCCCGCTTGTGGTAATATTACTAATATTGCTATTTCTAGTGCAAATGATGACCATGCTTCGCACACAGATGTGGCCAGGACTGACATCAATAATACCTCAATTGAAGAGATACCTGGTTTTGACATGTCAGCTGGCAGGCTCTGGATCTACCCCACCAACTACCCTGTACGCACATACCAGTACGATATCGTCCAGCAATGTCTGTATAAAAACACCCTTGTAGCTCTGCCTACTGGCCTGGGCAAGACCTTCATTGCTGCTGTGGTGATGTATAACTTTTACCGGTGGTACCCTGAGGGGAAGATAGTGTTCATGGCCCCCACCAAACCTCTGGTAGCTCAGCAGATAGAGGCATGTTATAATATCATGGGAATACCTCAAACTGATACTGCTGTTATGACAGGTACATTTTGATTTTCATTCTGGAATATATTATAGTAAATCTTAGCATTGAACTGGGAGTTTTAATATTTTTTACAGCAACTTTCCAAAATAGTATTAATCAAGTTACACAAGACTTACACAATAAGAATTACACAATAATTTAATATTTTATTTGTACATACAAAATTTGAGTTTGAAGTGTAAATAAGGTATAAATATATTATTTTTTAATTTTCTAGGTGCAATGCTTCCTCCAGAGAGACTTCGAGCATGGAGCCAGAAGCGTGTATTCTATCTGACCCCACAGGTGATGACAAATGACCTGAGCCGAGGCGCCTTTCCTGCTGAAGACATCAAATGTTTGGTTGTAGACGAGGCTCACAAAGCTCTTGGAAACCATGCATACTGCCAGGTGGGTTATGTGGTTGATTTTTTTTATTATAGGTGAAGAATTATTGAAGGTTTATGTTTGAAACTTAGCAAATTGAATTTAATGGTTTTATTTTGTGCAACCTTTGTCAGTTTGAGATATTAAATGGACTGAAATGTTGAATTGAATCTATTGATTTTATCAAATCTTTTTTCCCTTCAGGTGGTGAGAGAGCTTGTAAAGTATTCCAGGGATTTCCGTGTTCTAGCCCTAAGTGCCACACCAGGGAGTGATCTCAAGGTAGGTGGTGAAGGGTTACCACGCAATTAAAGTTTTAAAAAAGTGATATTCATCATTAAACACTAAAGGTTTTGTATATTTTAAATAATTTTGAAATAATGTCAAACTATAGACAAAAGTGAATATAACTGTGTGTATTATAAATTATAATACTCCCAGGCAGTGCAGCAGGTGCTGACCAACCTGCTTGTGTCTCACATAGAGCTGAGAACAGAGGACAGTGCAGATATCAAGGCATATGCACATGACAGAAAGGTGGAGAAAATTGTGGTAAAGCTGGGAGCTGAGTTGGATGCTGTGAAGACTAAATACATGCAGGTGGATCCATATGTCCATATGTCAGATGAAATTTGATAAGTAAAGCAAATCATTTGTAATTAATAGGTAGCAAAAATGCAGGATGCAACACAATTTATTTTGTCTCTCCTTTAGGTTGCCCTAATTTGCGATTAAAGGCAAAACACCAGCCAGTGCAGAAATACATTATTATTGGCAAATTTGCAAATGGTTGAGCTACACCCTGGAACTGAGGTGAAGTGGTATTGTAAAGTTGATCTTAAACTACATACTAAATGTGATGATGTTGTTGAAATGTTTACATTTTCCAGATACTGAGTGTTGTGGTTGGCAAGCTGGTAAAACTGAGAGTTTTGTATAACAGGGAGCCAACAAGTTTGTCAAAGTTCCTGATTTTAAAAGCAAGGGAGCAGTTCAGACAGGACCCACCTCAACATTTACAAGTAAGTTCATTAAATAATATTATTTCAAAACCAGTCGAAAACTCTGTTGAGTTCCTACATGTCGATTCTTATTTTTTAAAACAACCTTAAACTAGACAAAACTTTTAGTTAAAATTAATTTTAACAGTGTTTATTACATTTTCTGTCTTGCGGTCTCAGGTTCTTGTTTGGCGATGGATATAGAACTTAAGTCAGTGATAAAAAAATTGCTTTAATAAAAACAGTGCTTTGTGTGTGCTCTTTATCCCTCATCTCTGTATTATAGAGACATCAGTATGGCATTGTTGAGGGAGACTTTGCAATGTGTATGAGCTTATATCACGGCTTTGAGCTCCTGCAGCAGCATGGACTGAGGTCTCTGCACCAGTTCCTGAAGAGTATTGTCAGTGGAGAAAAGGGACATGGCAGAACTCGCAGTGAGCTGATGAGGAACCAAGACTTCAACGCCATAATGGAGATGCTGGAGGAAAAGTTTGAACCTAAGGCTAAGTGAGGATTACATACAGACATTAACTTACTGATATTATGGCACTGGTCTTTAGAATGATAACATTTAAGGTTTAAACTTTGATAATGCTAATTTTAGACTATAATTAATTTGTTTTATATATATATATATATATATATATATATACATATATATATATATATATATATATATATATATATATATATATATATATATATATGCACACAGGTTTTAGAAAAAATCTTGAATACTAAACAGTGAGTTTGTGCCTGAAAAAAAATTATAAAATCCCCATTATGGAAATTGCCAATCTTTGGAAAACCATAAGCTTAGAGAGCCATAAGCTAATTAAAGCCAGATGTTACTCACTGCTTATCTTCTAAGAACTTGTAACAGACTATTCTCTTTATTTTGTAGCCATGTCACCCAGTCTGGTCCCAGCCAATCAGGACTTGACCCTGCCTTTGTATCAGGACACCCCAAACTGGAGAAGTTACAGGAAGTTGTACTGGAACACTTTAAGAAATTTCAGAATGGTATTTTTTTGAATATATATTATTATTGGAATTTTTATTGGAATATTGGTATATTATTGGAATTTGACTCTATTACAGATATTAAGACATTTTTCCATTGTTTTGGTGGATATTTCAAAATTTTTATTGCAAGAATAAAGTATCTTAGTTTCAAGTGTCAATCAAATTATATATAAATAAAAAAGAAAGACAGAAGTTAGTAAATGGGAAAAGGAATAGTGTGATATGATAGTTAAAGAATGGCTGACAAAATTTGAAAATTATGCGTACTTAGATATATGTTGGTTATTTAGTGGATATCTAGATTATTTCATTATTTTACAGACAGCACTGCCACACGCATCATGATATTCTCCCAGTACAGAGACAGTGTGAAAGAGATCAATGACATGCTGGAGAGACACAGGCCACTGGTGAGAGTGATGAGCTTCATAGGACAGTCATCAGCTGGGAAAGCTACCAAAGGGTTTTCACAAAAAGAACAACTTAGGGTAGGGATGGTGCCTGAATTTATACTACTTTTATCTGTAACCTTTAAACTCATTGTCTATCCAGGCAAATGGTAATCTTTATCTTTTAGACGAAAGGATTTGGTTGTTACTTTTGGTTTGGTTTGTTACTTTTGTTTGACTTAATTATTATTTTTTTTTTTTTGTAATTTGCACATTACTTTTGTGAAACCTATCATAAATTGATAATCTGCAAGTCAAAATGATGAGATCACTGCATGGTGCAGAAAACCAATTTCACTTCATTCAGCTTGTGTGTCTCTCCTTTAACTCTGTCAGGTAATGAAGCAGTTCCGAGATGGAGGGTACAACACCCTGGTGTCCACATGTGTTGGTGAGGAAGGTTTAGACATTGGGGACGTGGATCTTATCATCTGTTTTGATGCTCACAAGAGTCCCATACGCCTCATACAGAGGATGGGGAGAACTGGCCGCAAGCGGGAGGGACGGATTGTCATGCTTGTGACGGAAGGAAAGGAAGAAAATGTAAGTGACAAGTTTGACCAAACCTTTGAATAAAATGGCTTAAGCTATATTAATTAAAACCAAGATTGGTTTGATAGTCAGAACAAAAAGTTTTTGTTTTCAAACTTTCAACATTTAGGTGGGGCAGGTAATATCGATTACATATTAAAACAATAACCCCTGATCATTTGCAGTCACATGAATCTAGGCAAATTTTTCCATATCAGATTTACAACCAGAGCCAATATAGTAAGCGCAGTATCCACAAAGCCATTATGAACGGTGCCAAGACCCTTAAGTTTTACCCCCACAGTCCCCGCATGGTCCCCAGGGGTGTGAAGCCCCAGTGCCACAAGATGCACATCACTGTCAGCAAGACATTCAATAAAAGTAGCAAGGGAAGGAGAGAGAGCAGTGGTGGTGGGCAGAAGAAAGTTACAGGAATGCTGGGAGGTTTAGGTGAGTAAATTAAGGGGTTGATGTTTTGACGTTTAAAAATGATACAGCAAAATTGTATCATTTTTTCCCCTTATTTTCCATATTCTATTTTGATTCCTCATTGTGCATGCTGCACTCTGTCTTTGCTAACTGTTGATACATATGATACCCAGAATTGATTTGACATTTTCTCATATCAGTATCATTTTACCAGCAGCAAATAAGCTGTATGTCACATTGCTGTATATTTTATCAGTGAAGAAGACCTCTAAAGATGGTGGGCTTACAGATGAAGAACTTTCCTATTGGTCAGCTCATTACAAGCTGCCAGACAGTGAAACACCAGTCATTCCTACCTCTGGATTTCTTACTTTACCTGGATGCAGGGCACAGGTGAGAAAAATGTGCTGATCTTCTACACTCAAACTGTCCTGCTGACTTTCAAGTCTGCACATTGTAACTTTTGATATCTAAGATATTGGGTACTATTCTTGACTTAGTCTGTTGACTTAGTCTATTAAGGCTGTACATATTTTTTGGTTTAAATTTTATTTTAAAAGGAGGTTTGAATAAAATAGTGTTACTAGACCTGGTTAAAGAACACTATGTTTTGGCCTTAGGGCGGGAGAGAGGCGAAGGAAGCTGTCCAAGATTGAGAAAAATATCAACTCACAAATGTGATGAATTTATGACCAAACAAATACCATACTTAATGATGATGATGATGATTACTAGATATATTATATCATAACATATATATAAGTATGCCTTTAGATCATTTGGTTAAGAATGTAAATGGACTTATTTTGCAGACGGAGAAGGGCCTATCAGAGAAAAGGTCCTTGTCCCTGTCAGAGTGGATCCCATGGCAGAATAGGAAGCAGCATAGTCATCTCACTGGCCATTCATCATCCACAGAAGACTTCGTGGAGCTGATGCAGTTTTGTGAACTACAAGGTATGCCACATGTTAAATAATATCATTATTTCAGAACTGCGAATTTTATAAATATATGAATAAGAAGTGTAGTCGTTATTTCTTGGAATTATTTATAAATATGTGCAACTGAGTCTTTTAAATCTTAGATATTATGCTGACTGTGTGAAATAAAGTAGTAAATAGTGTATATATTTTTAATAAATGAGTTAATATTTACTGTTAATGCAGTCAAGCAATAACTCATTCTGTTCTTACAGCCACTTTAGGAGATGAAGACGTCTATGGATTGGAAATGGAGACTTACCTGAATGAAGATGACATCCTGAAAGAACCTAATGACCAGAACACTGGCATACTGAAGTTTTGTGCTTCAGTGACAGCACAGAAGACGGGCAATAAAAAGGTCCAGGGTGACCAGATGAAATCAAAGCGACGCAGTGAAAATCTGCCTGTGTTCAGCTCTCAGACTGAGTCAGACAGCGAAAGTGATCTTCCAGGATTTAGTGCAAAACAAATTAATGTGCTGGTTGACGTGAACATGGAGGACGAAATGGTGGACCAAAATGACAAAAATCTGCCAAAACAGTCATCCTCTGGAGCCAAAGAGGCTGACAACATTTCCAAGAGGGATGAAAAATGCAAAGAAAGGGGAAACAAGAAATCAACAGTGTCTGCCCAGAAGGGTTCCCTTGTGAAGGAAGTGCCTCATTGTTCCAAAAGGACAGGAAGCATTGAGGGAGAAGCACCTGCAAAGAGGAAGAAAAAAAAGAGGAAATCAGTTGAAACTGTTTCAGTGATAACTGCCATTAATGGTGGTGACAGGGAAGATTTCATTGAAGATGTACATCAGACAAATATCCAAGTAAATGTTGATTGTAAAAAAGGAGACATTCATAAGAATCATGATGTTGAAATTGAACCAGAGATGCACTCTGTCCAGTCTGAAAATGAAATTAATATTGATCATGACACCAATAAAGAAGAGTCTGGTGTAAATACTGAAGAGGAAAATGACACTGCTGACTTATTCCCATTTTATTTCTCTCAGAAGTGTTTCACAAATCCAAAAACTGTTTTGCATAAGGATTCCAACTTGAAATCTGAGTCAAAGGTGAAACCCGCTCCTTCTCTGGCTGAGATGAGGGAAATGTTCTCTCACATGGACCACAAGGAACAGTTGTCTCCTGTAGATGTACTGGAGCTGATAGATCAGTGGGAGAGGGAGAAAGTAGAGGTAACAGAATCAGATCTACCAGGTGTGATGGAGGAGAGGGAAGATGACTGGAGCAATGCATGGGATAAAAAAGTAGACTGTAAGTCTCCATTGCTTGTAGGAAAAACAGCTTCTGCAGAATCCAGTAAACAACCTATTAGACCTTCAGAATCACAAGAGCACAGGGGACTGCAAATGAGTTCTGTTTCAGACAAAAATACTAAAATCTCAGAACCAGAGTTTGATCTCAGAATTCCCAGTGACTGGTCACATGAGTTGCCATCAGAAAATGATAATGGTTTCAACCCGACCAAGATTTCCAATTCTGAACTTAAAAATGAAATATCAGAACCACTGAGTAACATATCTGAAGTTAAAACTAAAATACTTGACTCTGAAGCTAAGAGTAAGTTTTCTGATTTTAAGTCTGTTCTGGATGTAAACAGAGACTGTTGGGAAGGTCTACCCCAAGAGGAAACTGCTGACTTTGATCTCAGTGTTTGTGATCTATTTACTGATGAAACTGATGTTAATGTCACTGACCAGAAATGTGACAATAATTTGGGCAAAATTGAACACAGGAAAAACAGTATTTGTAAACCTTCATTACTAAAGAAAAAGTCCAGTTCTCATTTTCAGCAGAAATTTGTAAATGACCTGGAATTTAACAAAGAAGGTGATAATTCAAACAGTATGGACTTCTCAAATAATCTACTATGTCTGACCACTAATGTTAACCATGCAAAAGCAAGTTCTGAACAAAGTGCCAGTGGAAGTTTAGAAAGTGCTCTAAAACCACAGTCTTGTTCTACTGCCACTGTGGACAGGAAGGACAAAAAGCAAGAGGACGCTACAAATAGTTTGATAGATAACAAATTATTATCACCAGATATTTCAGTCAAGGCACCTCATTTTTCATGTGACGGGCAGGCAAGCAGAACAAGCACCCCAATTGTTATTAACAAATTTGTGACCAGAGTGAAACAAAATAGCAGTTGTGCACCAGGCACTCCACTAAAAGAAGACCAGCAAGCTAACTTGTATCATGCTTCTTTCAATGATGATGAGGATGATCTCTTGGCTGCTGTGTGTACACCAACTCATCATTCCAAATCACACAATGCCACTACCTCACAGTTCACTTTCACACAGGCCTTGAAGGCAGTGGATGACAGTTTTGAGGTTGGAGGACACCAGAGCATAGGTAACCATGGGGAGGAAGGTAACAAAACTAGACTTGTTAATGATTTACATTGTGTTGTCCAAAAAGATGAGAAATGGGCACTTAAAGATGTTGAACCCAAAGTTAATTTCACTGATAAAGAGAACGTGGATGATTTGGAACCTTCAGAACCCCAGTTTGATCTTGGGTTTGATATGCTGGATGATTCAGACCTTGATGACGACGATGTTATTCCACCATCACCAGAACATTTGGTACAGACATTGCAGTCAAGTATGGCTACCAGGCTTGGAAAGGGCTTCCCTACTGGTCTCAGTAGTCAACATTTTGGTACAGCAGTCAAGAACTTAGCTGAAAAAACTGTTGAAACAAAGAATATTGATGAACATTTTAAAAGAGGTGATCATGAGATTGTTTCCCAAGAATTGCTTCCATCATCACAAAAATATAGCAGTACTATAATGAAACGGGATTCAAAAGTAGATTTTTCCCAGGAGCCATGCAAGAGATCTAAATTTTCACTTAAAAGAAAGAGTCGTAGCCTGGAGAAAGCTGATCCATCTTGTCTGGTGGCGCCATCTTCCAGTCCTGCAGCAGACATAGTCTTCGGTCCCCCAGTGGCAGTGGTATCCCCACAGAGCCATTTGGTGAAATGTAAGTTTTAGAAACTTTTGTTAACAATTACTTTTTGTTTTGGTGTGTGATTTAAATGATTTTCTATTTTGTTATTTTACGCCTTATTGTATCAATAAAATAAATAGGTAAAATGTTTTGTGTAGAAAGCATCCTTTCATCTACATGTACAGTAACAAGAGTCTATATTTTTTTCCCTATAAAAGCCTCTTCAGATTCAGAAGAAGAAATTATTGTAAGGACAAAAAGGAAGAAAGTGCTGATGATCCAGTCCCAAGAAGTCAAGTCAGGTAGAGATATTCTTTTATAGATAGATATTCTATCATTTGTCAATACAGTTATTATAATGTGGAAGAAAAATCATAAATAGATAAATTGAACACTAATAAACTAATTAATGCACATTTCAGGAGATTGACTAATTTTGTTTATTTTTTCTTCTAATTAGATACTGAGTGGAGTCCTAGTCCTCCCAAAAGGAAGCATTTCCCAAGTAGAAGCAAGGTAAAGTGTAATTTGTAAATTTTATCTCACCTTTGTCAAGAACTTTTTATCATCAAGGTGTAATATATAAAAGGGTTTTACATAGAATCTGAGATTGACAAAATCATAAGTTGCTAATGCAGGTCACCCCAGTGTTAATGCAACTCATCTGTGTGTTTACTGTGGTCTGATATTTGCAATAGTGGTCAGATTTGCATTAATGATGGCCTTATTTACATGTATGAGAAGAATGTCATTGCTGCACCTTTATTTTTACAGATCTGTGATGCAGTGACTGATGAAGAATCTCCAGTGGTCAAGCGGTCAGGCAGTAAGCCCAATAAGCTGGCATTTTTGTCCAGCTCAACTGATGTAGATGATGATGATGATTTCCAAGGTGGGTGTGGAAACCAGGAGAGAAACAACAGTGTGGGCCTGTTTTACAAAAGATCTTTAGTCTAAATATTGGTCGACTTTCAGACAATTTTTTACTGATTTGAATTGAAAAGGCAATTTTTTCTTGGATGTTCTCCTCATAAGGGCCTCCAGACCCTTCATTGCTAGTCCACTGAACTAATCATTTTCATTTTCAATGTCTTACTTTTGGATAATGTTTATACCAATTTTCCAAGAAGGTGTCTCAAATCATCATCTCGGTTTTTCAGTTCCTCCATTTTTGTCTGTTCCTCGGATCTGTATCTTCAGCTTGTGTCTGTCTTCTGTCTGCGTTAACTACCTCCTTCCAAGTCACCCTTGGTCTACTTGGAGATCTCTTTCCCTCCACCTCAAACTCTGTTGTAAACTCCAGACATGCTGAAATTGGCCATGAATGGGAAAATTTGTCTGGACTGGTATAAAAAATTGGACTTGGTCTGACAAGAGTTTTAAGAGCCGCAACTTTGAATTTACAGTTATCATTTGACATACTTCCCTAATAAAATTATATAAAACCCAAAGTGTTTTTCCCTTCCATTTCAAACCTATCACATTCACAAAGTAAGCTACCCTAATCGTACCGGTAGTATCTGTCTCAAACGAATGGGGTGATTTTTGGTCCGACAAAAATCCATTCGGTCCGGCAAATTTTTCATTACTGCCGGTCCAAATGTTCGGCCATTCTGAAAAGTTTTCAGCATGTCTGAAACTCTTTCCACCCAGTTGTCATCACTCCTCCTTTTTACATGTCCATGCCATCTCAGTCTGGAACACCATAACACATTCCTGATATTTTATATCTCAGGGAAGTCAAAGTACTTCACTTTCTGAGAAGGTGTCTCAAAAAAGTAAAAATATTTCACCTGGTTGTTACTTCCAGTATTGATCCCAGTTTTTTGTAAAAAAAAAAAAAAAGAAAATTATTGTGTATTAAGTGTTGTGTAGGTTTTGTATTTAAAGTGTTTGGTATTGTAGTAAAATTTGACCAAAATGTCTCTTGCTTTTTGTGTTCCAGATACAAAAGAAAAATTTAAGAAACCAGAAAATATTCCAGTAAAGTCAGGAAAGAAGAAACACAAAAAAGTGAGGATGTTTTTACTATATAAATATTAATATAGCAGCATTGCTTCAAATATTCACATTTATTTATCAGAAAATACCACATGATAGACAAATAATGAACACTGTTATAACAAAAATACACGTTTTTTATCAAAATATAAACCTATAGTATTAGATAAAATGTGTCTGTTCTGTTGTGGTGGAGAACAGTTATTTGAATGGGGTTGTGTATAGAAAATGCTGCCAGCCAGGGGTTTATGAAATTAGACAAAAATCGGTCAGTTGTATTATATGAGAGGACAGAAAATGTTAAGATGTAGTTTTACTTGCAGAAAATCCAGTCAGCAGCCAAAGGTTTCCTGGATGAGGAAGCAGTCCTCAGTGATGAGGAGGCAGAACATGTGTCCAGTGATGAGGATGTAGAGGAGGAGGACTGCTATGATCGAAGTTTTATAAACGATGCCTCCCAGTGTACCCAGGCTCCTTGCAATGGTAAGGGAATATACTTGGTGGCATCTTGTGTTAAATGTCATAAATTAAGAACTTGTGTTTTTTTTGGTGAAGATTAGGCTGAATGTCTTTGTATGNAAGAGTTCCACTTCCGGTAGACGGTTTCGAGACTACGGTGAGTAACGAGAGAACTAACGACCGAACTTTACGACTGAACTTAGCGATGAGTTAACTACTGCTTCGTGAAACACCCCTCGAAAATCGCTAAGTTTGCTCGTTAGCGAGGTAGTTCAGTAGTTAGTTGTTCTAACTAACTACTGCTTTGTGAAACTGGCCCCAGATTTGCATTAATGATGGCCTTATTTACATGTATGAGAAGAATGTCATTGCTGCACCTTTATTTTTACAGATCTGTGATGCAGTGACTGATGAAGAATCTCCAGTGGTCAAGCGGTCCGGCAGTAAGCCCAATAAGCTGGCATTTTTGTCCAGTTCAACTGATGTAGATGATGATGATGATTTCCAAGGTGGGTGTGGAAACCAGGAGAGAAACAACAGTGTGGGCCTGTTTTACAAAAGATCTTTGGTCTAAATATTGGTCAACTTTCAGACAATTTTTTACTGATTTAAATTGAAAAGGCAATTTTTTCTTGGATGTTCTCCTAATTAGGGCCTCCAGACCCGTCATTGCTAGTCCACTGAACTACTCATTTTCATTTTCAACATCACGTCTTACTTTTGGATAATGTTTATACCAATTTTCCAAGAAGGTGTCTCAAATCATCATCTCAGTTTTTCAGTTCCTCCGTTTTTGTCTGTTCCTCGGATCTGTATCTTCAGCTTGTGTCTGTCTTCTGTCTACGTTAACTACCTCCTTCCAAGTCACCCTTGGTCTGCTTGGAGGTCTCTTTCCCTCCACCTCAAACTCTGTTGTAAACTCCAGACATGCTGAAACTGGCGGTCCGATTGGTCATGAACGGGAAAATTTGTCTGGACCGGTAAAAAAAAATTGGACTTGGTCTGACAAGAGTTTTAAGAGCCGCAATTTTGAATTTACAGTTATCATTTGACATACTTCACTAATAAAATTATATAAAACCCAAAGTGTTTTTCCCTTCCATTTCAAACCTATCACATTCACAAAGTAAGCTACCCTAATCGTACCGGTAGTATCTGTCTCAAACGAATGGGGTGATTTTTGGTCCGACAAAAATCCATTCGGTCCGGCAAATTTTTCATTACTGCCGGTCCAAATGTTCAGCCATTTTGAAAAGTTTTCAGCATGTCTGAAACTCTTTCCACCCAGTTGTCATCACTCCTCCTTTTTACATGTCCATGCCATCTCAGTCTGGAACACCATAACACATTCCTGATATTTTATATCTCAAAGCAGTCAAAGTACTTCACTTTCTGAGAAGGTGTCTCAAAAAAGTAAAAATATTTCACCTGGTTGTTACTTCCAGTATTGATCCCAGTTTTTTTGTTAAAAAAAAGAAAATTATTGTGTATTAAGTGTTGTGTAGGTTTTGTATTTAAAGTGATTTGGTATTGTAGTGAAATTTGACCAAAATGTCTCTTGCTTTTTGTGTTCCAGATACAAAAGAAAAATTTAAGAAACCAGAAAATATTCCAGTAAAGTCAGGAAAGAAGAAACACAAAAAAGTGAGGATGTTTTTACTATATAAATATCAATGTAGCAGCATTGCTTCAAATATTCACATTTATTTATCAGAAAATACCACATGATAGACAAATAATGAACACTGTTATAACAAAAAATACACATTTTTATCAAAATATAAACCTATAGTATTAGATAAAATGTGTCTGTTCTGTTGTGGTGGAGAACAGTTATTTGATTAGGGTTGTGTATAGAAAATGCTGCCAGCCAGGGGTTTATGAAATTAGACAAAAATCGGTCAGTTGTATTATATGAGAGGACAGAAAATGTTAAGATGTAGTTTTACTTGCAGAAAATCCAGTCAGCAGCCAAAGGTTTCCTGGATGAGGAAGCAGTCCTCAGTGATGAGGAGGCAGAACATGTGTCCAGTGATGAGGATGTAGAGGAGGAGGACTGCTATGATCGAAGTTTTATAAACGATGCCTCCCAGTGTACCCAGGCTCCTTGCAATGGTAAGGGAATATACTTGGTGACATCTTGTGTTAAATGTCATAAATTAAGAACTTGTGTTTTTTCTTGGTGAAGATTAGGCTGTATGTCTATGTAGGATAACATTTAGTTATTAACTTGTTGTTAACTTTCTTCCCATAGATTCAGTTGATATGCATGCTGTGTATCTCAAGTCTGTACGTAGTCCTACACTGGGCAGATACAAGCTGAAGTATGACCACAGCCCTGATATCAATGTCTACTCACAGATGCCAGCAAAGGAAGAAGAGGAGTCACAATACATGGAGGACAGCTTCTGTGTTGGAAGTGATTTTGAAGACACAGGTAGAAAATAGGACATTCAGAAAATGACATGCTTTTAATAGGAATTGGATATTAGCTTCTCATGTCATATTAATTTATGTTTTATGTGAAGACTTTTTACATAGGTGAACAGTACAGAAAGAAGCAAATCTGATATTTTGTAATATGCAAAATGATTGACACGTCATACCAGTTCTTTTTTGAAGAGGGGGGTGTATGTTTGTATGTGAAATTTTCTCATACTTTACATGGAAAATATACATTTTGATATGTTATTGTGAAACATTTCTATTATTTCAGCCTTGACAGAGGAAGATTCTTTTCTCCTGAATGATGATGCAACTGAAAAGGAAAGGACCACAAAAAGGGGTACAAAAACCTCAAAGGATAATGTTGGAAGAGTCACTGTCCCAAAACGGCGGAGAGTGATGCAGTTGGACATAAGTTCCAGTGATGAAGAGGAGGTTAATGCTCCAAAAGAAGATCAGATTGAGGCAATGACTTCATATAGGACACATGCGGAAAATGCAAATAAATCACCATTTAAACCACACATCCCTATAGTAACAAGGGTTCATACATTTTCTGAAAATGAGAAAATGAAAGCACATGATGTTTTTAAAACACCAAGTTTGCTGGAAAGATGCCAGCAGAGAAGACAGACATACCATGTTGGTAAGGAAACAGTCTCATCGTTGACTTCAAGACAGTCCAAAGCTTTAACAGACTCGATTTTAGGTACAGCTAGCACAGGTAGTACATCAACTGCAGATACATTTACAGCAAACTGTCAGTCTGCAGTTGACAAAGCAAGGCAAGAGAGGCTAAGAAAGCAGAAGGAAAAACAACAAGAGTTTCAGAGAAAATTGGCAGAGAAAAGAAAGCAGCAGGCAGCCATGTCTAGTTTTGATGATTCTGAGACCAGTGGGACACGTCCTCCAGATAAATCTGACCCAGGAGTAAGTTTGTCTTATCCCAAGGAGTCCGATACAATAAACAGCATATCATCTCCTCCTCCTCAGGAAAGGAGTCCTTTTCAACTGGTCACAAGTCCTGGGGTAACTAATAACATTTTATTTTGCATTACTTGAAAGGCTTATTAAAAAGAAACTGAAAGAAGGTTGCTTTATGTTTAATATAGAAAAAGCATTGGTCAATGCATTTCTAGATGCAGTATTATTCTTACTGCTATCAGTAAGCTTTTTAAGTATAGAAAATAATGAGAGCTTCATTAATAGCTAATTTTTCCTGTATTTCTTATTAACTTTTAAACTTTAAAGTTCGCCCCACATGGGACGAAGAGGAATGATGATGATGGTGATGTCATATTTTAATGGTGTTTGAAATGAAAAAGATGGATTATTTTATTTCCCTGTAGTGTAAGAAGAGACCACCTGGCAAGCTTATCATAATTGTGGATTCTAAGGAAATCAGTGGCGCCCAGGTACGGCAGGAGACTTGTGAAGGCTTTGAGAGAATTTTAAGCGTTTAGTACATCTTTTTTAAATATCAGCATATGACAGTGAAGGGTCTAAAGTGAGTTTTCTATTATTTGTATCAGATAAAGTATCGGAGATTTTGTCTTAACTGAAGGCGAAACCTAAATATGCATTTTAATCCTAGGACTTGGTCTCAGACTTGCGCCTTAAGCACAATGTCCATGCAGTGGTGAGGCAACTCCAGGGCTGTGACTATGTGGTCAGTAACAGGATGGGGGTGGAGAGGAGAACCTGGTCTGGTAAGAGATGCCTGTTTAAATGTCAGTTATAAAATATGTGCTGTTGCTTAAATATCTTATATATCTGAATGCAGTATTATGTGTATATAATATTGCACTCAGATTGTTTCCATTTTAGATTTCAGTTAGTTGATACAATTTTCTGTTTAATCAGTGTTTGAAAGCAGATACATTAAAAGGTCACAAAATTCTCAACAGTCTTTTATTTCCAGATTCAAAACTGGAAAAACTAATTATCTCCAATACTATGTTGACACTCCATTGTATCAAAACCCTCTTTGTTATCAAATTACTTTGCTGATTGCAGACTTTGGCAATGGAGCCCACAGAGCCAAGTTGGTAGAGCGGGTCAAGCGGCTGACCACTCTGTATGATAGACCAGTGGTCATCCTGGAGAAGGACAGGGTTAAAACTGGGGAAGAGAAGATGTCTAAATCTTTGTAAGGGATATTTTTTGGCAGAGCACATAATAAGATATTAATCATACCATCTGTCACATTCTTCCATGGTACAACACTGGTCTCTTATTTGGGTTAAATTGATGTATATTTTCATATGAAAGTCATCTGTGTTCTAAACTTTCTTTTATGTATAAAATGGAGGCAAACCTCAGAAAGGACAAAAATTTCTCTCCCTGTAGTGTTTTTGTTGACAGTGCATTGTAAGGGTAAACTTTTACCTCCTATCTTGATGTGTGTTGAATCTTTCATTATGAAGTGGACCGTTACAATTCAAGACACCAAATGATATTGCACATTTTTACTGGTAAGACCTTTCAATATCTATAAAGTTACACATCAAGCAGATTCAATAAACATGTCAGTTTTGTTTTGGTGGTTATAAACACTGTTTTTCATATTTCAGCATTCACAGTAAATATTTTGACAGCATGCTTGCTTATCTGGCCCAGACACATATCAAGGTCCTTTTCAGTGAATCACAAGGTCTGTGCAGAAGTTCCATTTTTCTTTATACTTATTGTGAATTTTCTAACATGATTTTATTTTTAAAACTTTTGAATTTGGGCTGCTCAAATGCTGATGAAATGGAAAAAATAGCAATTCAATTTTAACCATGTAATTAATCAACAACTAGTCGCATGTAGCATCTCTCATTCTTATCTGCATTACTAAAATATATATAGTCTAGGTATAGGACAGTTATACAGTGAGATTACTCCTGATTATGAAACTTGGCTATTCTTCTAGCGGAATCTGCAGAACTGTTAGCCCTGCTCTCACAGCAAGAAGGCAAGAAAGAGATGAGTATTACTGCACCTACTGACCTCAGCAGACAACAAGAACAACTGCTGAAATTGTATCTCTCACTGCCTGCTGTAAACTATGTTGAGGCTCTCAACTTGTGCCATGGCTTCAAAAGCTTCACTGAACTTGTTAATAGGTAAGTAGAAATTCACAGAACCTTTGAAGAGGATTCGGACACCAATCTCAGATGGAAAATATATTATTAATTGAATTATCAGCTGAGTTAATAAGGCTGCATAAAGATATAGATATAGTTACTTTCTTCTAATTAAAAATTTTTGTAACTTAATAATTCTTTATATTATATTTTTTAGAGGCATATTAATAATTATATAGGTATTTTGGGTAAGGAATAATTCCAATTGTTCTGTTATTTTTTGTTATACATTACAAATCTAAGTACTAATTAATTTTTTTCTAACATCACAGCTCCATCATAAGTATCCAGTGGAAAGGGAAGATGTCAGCCGACAAGGCTGCCCAAGTATATCATTATTTACACCACCATTTTGACCTACAGATGACAAGCAAGTGATCACTTGACTAAAATGGAAGTCAACTGGGGAATTGTTAACTAATCTGAATGTAAAAATACATAATCAGACCTTTCTTGTGGCACTTTAAAATCATGGTATCATTATACATATCAACTTCGCAGTAAGTGCTGAAAATAGTGTGAGGTTACATGTATCTTAATACACCAGGTTAATGTTTCAATTGATACAAGAACATTTCCTCACATAGGGTTTGCCTCTGTAAGAGGTGTATTGCATTTATTGCCCAGTAGAGAACATTGAAGAAGAAATTATTTCAGTATATTTGGAGACCTAAGATCTCCATATGGCTGACTATAAATTTAAAAAGAATATTTGCATGACTTTCTTACATATTCATTGTGCAATAAATCAACTGGTGCTATGTCAAGTCAATAAATATATTTTTGAAGACTGGGGTTTTATATTATTTTAAAAGTTGCCAAAGCAATAACCAGGACGACAAAAACCTGCAACATTATTAAATTTTACAGTGGTATTTATTTTTCCATTCTTTTAAAAAGAGTATTGATTTTCTAAGTTGGTTATAATCCTCAGCACAAACTTAAAACAATCCTGATGCTTAAATTCTACCATTTGCACTCAGTCCAGATTGCTCTAGTAAAATTGGACTGTAGGACTAGCGTCCACAGATCTGACTTACTAAATTAAGAGGTTTTGTGGGATAAAGAACGGAAAATCTTAAAAGCTGGAGAAGTTTTGAGCAAATATTTTATTGAACAATTCAGTGTTTGTGTATTATTGCAGTCTTTTATACAACCAAGGTATTTGCCACATATGCTTTGTCAATGTTTTAAATGCTGTACAAACTGACAGCAAAAGCCACTAGAGTAGTGGGCTCTTAAACATAATTGCACTGTGTAACAAAATAGCTACTAAAATACCATTGCAATATGTATTAGGAAGAAATTTTAATGCCAATTTGAAAATAACATTTGAGTTTTTGAAGTTAAATACATTTTCCATTTTAGTGTTTAATGTGCATAGTACAGTCCTTATATGACTTAATTCAATTTCTCCCTTAGAATGATTTTAAAATGAGTACTTTTAAGTAAGCTTTAAAGATGTGAATGTTGAGCTTAAAGTCTTCAGACTGACAACTCGTCGTCTTGGAACTAGTCTCAGGCTCGGTGGTAACCTGTTGTACACAGCCACTATGAATGTGACTATTATCACAGCGACCAGGAGAACATATCCAAGTGTGAGAGATGGGGCAAGGAACTGGAATGAAAAGATAATGATATCAATGCTTTAAATGACCAGGACTTCACACATATTAAGATAACTGGAATTAGAAGTGATTTCAAGTGTGATTTGCCAATACAGATTGTAAAAGTAATAGCAGTTGTGAAACTGGTGCAAGGTTATTCAAATGTGAGTGATTGGGCTAGGAACTGGAGCTGATTGACAATCATTTAAATGCTGATAATGATTGTTAAAAAGCTATTATATATGAGCTTTGAAGTTGTTTCACCAAACAAAGATTATCCTTTTCTGGGGTGCTCAGAAATGAATTTGATGGATAACATTACTGCAATTAATTATAAATATTTCACAGTTATATCAAAAACTGATTAAAAACTTACGAAAAATATTTATCTGACTTATATTTGTTAAAGTCTTAACCTCACCTCTACTCCTAGTTCCAGAGACATCTGCCTATCTTTCCAATCCACTAAATATGTAAATAAAGCTTTGTACATTGGTTGTAAGGTTTCAACAACATCCTGGAAGTAATAAATACTCAATTTATTTCATTGGCCTAATAAATAAGACATTCTTTATCTTTCTCTTATCATTTTGGATTAAAACCCACAAACTGCATATTTTTAAATAGTCGCAATGACTTGACAATAAATACAGTACATGCACCAGATAATTGATACATGCTAAATAAGCAAATAATTGCCACATGAATAATGTACCTGTAATGCATGACTAGGTGGGTTGAAAAGATCAAAACACTGTGCACCTTTATGATCCCCCTCTCCCCATAACTCTATTGCCAAGGAAAAAGGAACCTAAAAACACATTAAATCAAGATATAATTAAACATAAGGAAATGAGAAGTAAATTTATAACCTGAAATTTACACAATTTACAATTAAAGCTTTCAATATTTAAACTGGCATTTTTCTGAATGATGAAGAATATTTCAAATAAGAGTCTTTTTGTATTTTTTTCATCAAAATTTTTTAGTGATTACTTTTTTGACTCCTGCCATGTAGTCAAATATTGTGCCATCTGCTGTATATTGGTTAATCTTGTTAGCCACACCATAAATAAACTTGTACGCAGTGGAATGAGAGAGTTTAGAAGCCAACTGAAGCATGGCAGCTACATTTTCTGGTGAACGATGAATGGACTTGGATCTTGTATCTAAAGAGAATAAAGTGCCTTAATGTTATATGTATCATGTACATATAATGTCAGGAAAGGTACAGTATAAGGCAATATAATTTAAAACCCAAGTTATTTTGCTTTGGAAATAAAGTCTGTATTACGTTTCTTTAAACAATTGCTTTGTTACTAATGTAATTTATGTTTAAAACTACAATGTTTTGCTTCATTATGAATTTTTCCCCATTCAACAAAACAGGGTAGGGAGATGTCTTCATCTTCCTATTCTTACCTGCAAATGGCACATAAATCTGCCGAATTCCTGAGTGAAAAGAGACAAAAGCATCGAATCTATACCTTGAAACAAGTTCTTTGAAAACAAGGCTTTCAGGTTCTGAAATAAACAAATTCCTGAACATTTGTAATGAAAAACTTGCTAGCTTATTTAAAAAAAGATTAAAAAAAGGATGTGAAAAATTCAAGTGTCACATTTGTTAAGCACAACAAACATAGGTGTGTTTATCAATTCATTGTATGTATACATAACTATTCAATAGCTTTGCAAAAGAACTTCAATTCCACCAAATTGCTGTTAGATTAAAAGAAAAGGTTATTCACTTCTGCAAATGCTACCTGAGAATGCATGCTCCCCCCTGTACTCTTCATCTGCCTTTTCTGCCTTGCTCCCTGGCCCTCCATAGTTCCAGTCAAAGTTCCTGTTCAGATCTACTCCTGTGCTAGTTCCACGCCAGCAGTAGTTTCCCGTCCTCTCCACATAATTCCTGCCATCTGGGTTCACCATCACTATGATAAACAAATCTAATCGACTTAAAATAAATCTGGAGTATGTTTCCTCAGGTGAATCTTTAGGTTCACGTAAACCTTTTGTTAACCTCTTCAAAAAATAAAACAAGGTTTCTACTGGCAGAAATTCTCTAGAATGTTCACCATATGAAAGAAGAACTTTAAGTTTTGTGGCTGGTATAGTGCTGCCATGAATATTAGAAGAAGTGCTGCCCGTGAAGTTTGTCACTCTGATCAGTAGCTGTGGTCTGCCTTCTCTGGAGAGATGTGTATAGTCAAGTTTCATATAATCCCAATTTCTGAAAACTATATCTTCTACTGTCCTCTTTATGGTTGATAAATTGTGATAAACATTATAGTCTGGGAGATATTTTTCTTTTTTAGGCTGTACATTTCCAGCATGAGAATAGTTTATGATGAGAAAAAGCTGTAGTAAAATATGAATACAAAATGAAATAAAAGGTAAATTATTCTTACACAAGTGAGTGTAAAAACCTTCAGCAAATTTACCTAGTATACATTGCATGTTGATATACTAATACACATAGTTCGGATTGAAAACCTTTAAAAGTTTACTGATGCTTTTTCATTACTAATAAATTGTACGCAGTTTATATTTTGGGATACTTCTCAGCAAATAAAAGACGTATTTGAGCTGCAGATCCATTTTCTAGTCATAAAATGTCTTGGCCTGACGGGATGAATCACGAATGTTCCCTTACGCATCGTCAACGAGAAACTGAAACCTCAGACACAAGATTCTGAAGAAATCCAGTTATCCTCTCTCCTTACTGCAGAGAACTGGTGAACCATTGGGCTATTGCATATGGCACTAAATGTATAATAAGCTATCACCTGCGTCGATGATAAATATTTTTGTGTGGCCGGAAGTACTATGCTCAGAGTTAAGAAGTTATTCATCGATTCGTTTCTGAAAGCCAAGATTATAAATCTATCGATCACGTTTTGATAAGTTTTCGTATTTTGCACCAATGAATAATGTTACCATGGTCTTAAGCAGATAAAGTTTAAAAAATCATTATCATTATGCTTTATTTGGAAACTAAATCAGCCGCGTCTTAACCTCTTGACCTAGTTTCAGAGCGAGTCCCTGACACATTACTCATTACACAGAGGAAGTGTGGTGAAGAAATCTGGCAGATTGAAAAACAACCCGTTCATTAAATCACAACGAAATGTTTCCAGATCTTAAAAACAAGAAACGTGGTAAGTATAACTTCGAAGAAAATGGCGTATGATAAAGATGTGTGGCCCATGGAGAATAGTCTGTTGCGAGATTGAAATTGGACTCCAGAGAAATCTGTGTGCAACATCACTCGGTCTAGACTATGTTTTTGCTGCCGTAAGACACAAGTACAGTAATGTATCACTGAATTAACAGTGAAGTCAGTATGTTCATCCCGATAAAAAATGTGATAAAATACAAAAATTCATGTTTAACGCAAGACGTAGGACTTATACGACCGAAATATTTGTGTCAGTAATTTAACTACCGGCTCAGGTGTGTGAAGCACCTGAATTAGGGGGAGTGACCTATGAACTCTAACAAACCCATATCCAAGTTGATCTATGTTGTCCATATATGAAATGAACTCCTTGAAACTTCACACTATTAATGTCACTTCAGTAATAAGCTAGACAATGTTGGATTATATATTGTGTTTATGTTAATGATATGCCAATTTTTTATTTATTTATAAACCATTGTACATAATTGTGATGTCTGGGACTAGACATGTAGAAAGACTCCATTGATGACATTGGATGGTAATAGATCATCCTAATGATATTGAAATTTAACCAGTACTTCACTCAATTTGTGTTGTATAAGTCCTCAGTTAACATATTAAAAAACAGAACATTTATTATGGCTAAATGAAATGGATTTAACTTGAAAAATAATACAACATTGTTATTAACGCATTCTTAATATTAACTAATTACAAAGCAAATTATAATCTTTATAAAGCTTTCTGAAAGTCACTTATTCATCTGACCATCTTTTGTTACTGTGTCCAGAAGTGATCAGAAATAATTGATTTCATTCCATGGTTTAGGTTTTGCAATTAATAATGTGGCATGAGTATTTGTAACATCAGTGAAGTAAACATGCAAGAATGATAGCTTAAAGTACCAACTGCCTTTCCTGTTATTTTATCTGATAGATATGTAACTACAGTTTTATGTGTTGTGAACAAGTCATTTTAAATACTCCTAATACACATTCAGTGAAATTTGACTATTTTGAATATTTTGACTATGTTCTATCTTCAGGACCCCAGAGATTTTGAATTTGTTTACATTATTAGGTTTCCATTTAAACCAATGTCACATGTATGAGGCAAATCTCAGTATAATCAGTTGTCCAAATCTAGAAATACATCTTGAAAAGCATTTTGGTACGTCCAATTAATATGTGTGGAAAATGATAGTAGAATAGTGCAAAATATGTAGTTTGTGAAATGTTATTGTAATTTGTCACTGTAAAGCCCATTCAGCATACTTTTTCTTTCCACAATGTTTCTCCCCACAAAACTGCTTGCCATTTTCATTTCTTCCATCTTCAGAAAAGTAAGATATCATCTTAAAATACGAAAAAAAACATTATTATGGGAAGATGCTATGAAGGGGAAAACGGTATGGAATGGTTCATAAATTAATTAAACATGATAAACAGCTCACAGCATTGGATATGGATGAGTCAAGCTACTAATTTAATCAGCAAATCTTTACCTAAAATGTTTGGTTGCTGTTTTCTGAGCAGTTCTCAAATGTTGAGAATCCCTGTCTGTGTGTAGAAGGTTTGATTTATATTTTGAACCAGCAGTGTTGAATATGTCTCAGTTTACAAAAAATAAAGAAAATATTACAAAGCTCTCAGAAGTTGCCTCCATTAAGACGTTTAGAAAATATAGGAAATAGAGTTGAATGTTTAGAGAATTCTTTCATCTTTTTTCTGAATTATGTTGATATGAATATTGATTGCTGGTGTTGTCATCATGAAGCAAGGCCGTGTAATATACCATGTCTGGTGGGATTGGATGATGGAGGCTATGGTGGCCTCAAGCTTATTGATCTCCTGTTTAATTTCATAATTTGATTACCAGTCTCTTGAAGTTAACATCTTATTTTGTTGTGCACCAACCTTTAAGGAAATGAAAGAAATTTGAGAAGATGAGCTCCGTTGGTTGTATGTATCACTGTTTGAAGGTAATTTGATTTGCAATTGAGGCTTTTTTACATGGCTGGAGTATCTAGTTTGGGTGTCATTGAACATTTTAGAAAGGTATATTTTTATCAAATTAGAATCTGTTGCTTGCTTTAGCCTGAGACTGTTACTGCATTGGAATATATCGTTAGAAAGGCTATACTCGGAGAAAGTTAATCTTATTGATTTTTCATGAGAAGTCCCATCCTTTGCTTTCTTAATATCAAATTCACATCTTGGGATTTTCTCACACAAATACATTTTAGCATGACCTTCAATCTTTTTTAAATAAGAAATAAAACCAACTTTGCTTATATATATCTTAAGTAATACACAACGTGCATTACCATGGGAAGTGACATATTTGAGAAGCCTATCTGAATTGTTGCCCACTACAGTGTTGCATTGACTCATACCACTGCGTGAACTCAGGTATCTTCATAATTTGATTACCCATCTCTTTGACCTGTACCAACAATGGCAGATTCCATATACTTCAAATTATTTCCATTGAAATGTTAAACCTATTTGACATCATGTAGTAATTTTGAAAATGAAATGTACTTGAATTATATAATTTATAATATTTATCAAATATTATATATATTTATCAAATAGCATAAAGTAACAAAATGCATTTGTATCAAATGTACTTAGACATGTTGTTTTTTGCCTGATTCTTTAATTATTCAAAACTTACATTTATAACACTATGTCCTCACGTACAGTTAAAGTAAACACATCAAGAGGACTGTGATAGAGCTCTGTTGTAATCAACATCACCTTTCTGTTAGGATAAATGGAACAGAGATTGAATTGGAAAAAGAGTTTTGTGTAGATGACTCATGCTATTGATTTTTTTCCAGTGGCCTGACACTGTGTGATGGAGCTGGCTCACAGTTTGCTCCTCAACGAAGATGCTCTCCAGAGGATCCAGGAGACCAAGAGACCTGTGTTCATATTTGAATGGCTGAGATTCCTGGACAAGGTGCTAGTTGCTGCTCAAAAGGTGAGATTCCATACTTGGGTACATATATTAAGAGGATAACAACTGTNAAATACTTCACTCAATTTGTATTGTATGAGTCCTCAGTTAACATATTAAAAAACAGAACATTTAATTATTATGGCTAAATGAAATGGATTTAACTTGAAAAATAATACATTGTTATTAACGCATTCTTAATATTAACTAATTACAAAGCAAATTATAATCTTTATAAAGCTTTCTGAAAGTCACTTATTCATCTGACCATCTTTTGTTACTGTGTCCAGAAGTGATCAGAAATAATTGATTTCATTCCATGGTTTAGGTTTTGCAATTAATAATGTGGCATGAGTATTTGTAACATCAGTGAAGTAAACATGCAAGAATGATAGCTTAAAGTACCAACTGCCTTTCCTGTTATTTTATCTGATAGATATGTAACTACAGTTTTATGTGTTGTGAACAAGTCATTTTAAATACTCCTAATACACATTCAGTGAAATTTGACTATTTTGAATATTTTGACTATGTTCTATCTTCAGGACCCCAGAGATTTTGAATTTGTTTACATTATTAGGTTTCCATTTAAACCAAATAAGTTACCAATGTCACATGTATGAGGCAAATCTCAGTATAATCAGTTGTCCAAATCTAGAAATACATCTTGAAAAGCATTTTGGTACGTCCAATTAATATGTGTGGAAAATGATAGTAGAATAGTGCAAAATATGTAGTTTGTGAAATGTTATTGTAATTTGTCACTGTAAAGCCCATTCAGCATACTTTTTCTTTCCACAATGTTTCTCCCCACAAAACTGCTTGCCATTTTCATTTCTTCCATCTTCAGAAAAGTAAGATATCATCTTAAAATACGAAAAAAAACATTATTATGGGAAGATGCTATGAAGGGGAAAACGGTATGGAATGGTTCATAAATTAATTAAACATGATAAACAGCTCACAGCATTGGATATGGATGAGTCAAGATACTAATTTAATCAGCAAATCTTTACCTAAAATGTTTGGTTGCTGTTTTCTGAGCAGTTCTCAAATGTTGAGAATCCCTGTCTGTGTGTAGAAGGTTTGATTTATATTTTGAACCAGCAGTGTTGAATATGTCTCAGTTTACAAAAAATAAAGAAAATATTATAAAGCTCTCAGAAGTTGCCTCCATTAAGACGTTTAGAAAATATAGGAAATAGAGTTGAATGTTTAGAGAATTCTTTCATCTTTTTTCTGAATTATGTTGATATGAATATTGATTGCTGGTGTTGTCATCATGAAGCAAGGCCGTGTAATATACCATGTCTGGTGGGATTGGATGATGGAGGCTATGGTGGCCTCAAGCTTATTGATCTCCTGTTTAATTTCATAATTTGATTACCAGTCTCTTGAAGTTAACATCTTATTTTGTTGTGCACCAACCTTTAAGGAAATGAAAGAAATTTGAGAAGATGAGCTCCGTTGGTTGTATGTATCACTGTTTGAAGGTAATTTGATTTGCAATTGAGACTTTTTTACATGGCTGGAGTATCTAGTTTGGGTGTCATTGAACATTTTAGAAAGGTATATTTTTATCAAATTAGAATCTGTTGCTTGCTTTAGCCTGAGACTGTTACTGCATTGGAATATAACGTTAGAAAGGCTATACTCGGAGAAAGTTAATCTTATTGATTTTTCATGAGAAGTCCCATCCTTTGCTTTCTTAATATCAAATTCACATCTTGGGATTTTCTCACACAAATGCATTTTAGCATGACCTTCAATCTTTTTTAAATAAGAAATAAAACCAACTTTGCTTATATATATCTTAAGTAATACACAACGTGCATTACCATGGGAAGTGACATATATTTGAGAAGCCTATCTGAATTGTTGCCCACTACAGTGTTGCATTGACTCATACCACTGTGTGAACTCAGGTATCTTCATAATTTGATTACCCATCTCTTTGACCTGTACCAACACTGGCAGATTCCATATACTTCAAATTATTTCCATTGAAATGTTAAACCTATTTGACATCATGTAGTAATTTTGAAAATGAAATGTACTTGAATTACATATTTATCAAATACCATAAAGTAACAAAATGCATTTGTATCAAATGTACTAAGACATGTTGTTTTTTGCCTGATTCTTTAATTATTCAAAACTTATATTTATAACACTATGTCCTCACGTACAGTTAAAGTAAACACATCAAGAGGACTGTGATAGAGCTCTGTTGTAATCAACATCACCTTTCTGTTAGGATAAATGGAACAGAGATTGAATTGGAAAAAGGGTTTTGTAGATGACTCACGCTATTGATTTTTTTTTTCCAGTGGCCTGACACTGCATGATGGAGCTGGCTCACAGTTTGCTCCTCAACGAAGATGCTCTCCAGAGGATCCAGGAGACCAAGAGACCTGTGTTCATATTTGAATGGCTGAGATTCCTGGACAAGGTGCTAGTTGCTGCTCAAAAGGTGAGATTCCATACTTGGGTACATATATTAAAAGGATAACAACTGTTTTTTTTTTTGTTTTTTTTTTTAATAATCTCTTACTGTAAGAGATTATTACAGAGTATAGCCATCTACTGAGGTCATGTGGTCAGATGACAAGCAAAGATTTCAGAATAATTGCTATAACTGCTATCTTTATGGTAAAATAGAGTATATTATATTTCTGTGTGTTGTTTACAATGTTTATCTTGTGTAGTATAGATCTCATACGAAGGGTATTTATCCATTTAATATTCAGGTTTAGTCTTAAAATTTATGGAAGATATTAGCAGCATGCAGCCACACATGCATTTAAGTATATTACAATACTATATGCAGTTCAGTGTACTTTTAAAAAAATCTAATTAGTGTCTGGCATAAGTCCAGATTAACCAAATTTACACATTTTATGTTGAGTACTTAATGTGTTTAAAGATTGCTTTAAAGAAATTGGTAGTTTTATTAAATTACTTTATGATCCATTCCATAATTAATGTACTTATCTTGTTTCTTTCTTGTCTGGTTCACACCAAGTAAAAAGCAATGTGCTCTGTTGAAGTAGACATTTCAGATCACAATTATAACATATTAGCTGCGAGCAGTTAGATTTTTTTCGACGGGTTTAACCAGCATCTATGTCATTTGGATGGCCTAATCGAGCAGAAAACAACCTGTTTTATGGCTCAACAGCTTTTGTAAAATTCCGAGTACCCCTACCCCCCACCCCCGCCCCACCGCCACCCTCTTCAAAACCCTGTCAAACCCTTTTGCTCTATTCCCAGCTCAGATGTGGAGGTGGCCAATCTTTCACTGCCTAATGGGTAAATACTATTCAGTGTTTCTTGCTGAATGTTAGCAGTACTGAGCTAAAGTTATCTGTATCTGGAGTGTTTCACCATAGTTTATAATATACCCTATAAATAAACAGCTATATAGTGTGGCATGCAATGCCAGTAGTCTAAGTGTAATGGTTACGGAAATGATCATTATACCTATAGAAACTGAGAAAGTAGCAGGCCAGACTACGTATCAGAAGAATTGATTTGTAGTTTCAGTGGGTGTTGATGAGTCAAATGATTGTGTGTAACAATTCTGAGAGATGTTAAGTCTAACAGTGCAGTTTCTGGCGTTGTTGGTGTCTAGCCCAGCAGACGCATAGATTTCATTTCTCCTGTGGCCTTTCTGGTTTGGTATTCCAGTGTTTACTCGGGATAAATTACTTTGAAGTTGGTTTTGGCTCACCTCTTGTGTTGGTTTCTCTTATGTAATGCATTCCTGGCAGACCTATCTTATAGTGGCTTCACAACATGGTACCAGCTCTCTTGGCAGTTTTGTATCACACCTTGATATTTTCAACTATCTATTTTAGCAGACCACTGTTTTTGGGTTCTTTGCACACCTAAGTTTCCAACATTATGACATTATGTGTACATACATTAATTTTTTTTTTTTTTTTTTTTTTTTTTTTTTTTTTGGTGGCTTTCTAGGTATGATATAAAGGTGTTTTTAGACAATTTTTTTTTCGTTTTTCACCATTAGCCCTTCCTTAGTCTTCTCCTCTCTGATAACTTCCTTATGGTTCTATCCAGGTAGCTGGCTTCTTGCCTCCTTCAAGTCTTAGCAGACATGGTGCACTTTTTATAGTCAGAAATGATTCATTCAGATGCACAGCTTTCTCTCAGAGGCTGCATTAGAGCTACTTCATAACATGATATTTCTTTCAGATTAAGTCTGATATGGAGTCAGTATAACAATTTATTAAAATCTATAAGATTTTTTGTCAGACACTAAGAAGATGCTAAAGGAACTTTTTCACATATGCCATACACAATGAGCACATCTTATGCAAGAAAAAGACCTAAAGTATCATAAATACACTGGAATTTTAAACATTTATTTCTCTGCCTTCCCAGTCTGATATCAAGGAGAGTCAGAAGAAGCTGATAAGTCAGCTGACTGCACAGATCAGTGGGAACCATGGTCCACCATCCAGAAAACTGCTGGCAAGATGTCTGGCCACTCTGTTCAGTGTTGGAGACACATTTGCCCTGTTTGAAACCATAAACACATGCAATGACATCATCAAAAATAAAGATGATTCCCCAAGTTACCTGCCAACACGCCTGTAAGTAGACGTGAAGTTTTGTGGATTTAAGTAGTGATCAAGACACTGATTTATTGCATACCTTATTTCTGTTAAAATCACATATAATATCACTGAATGTTGCTGCAGTTACATATTGACATTGACCAAGTGCTGAGTAAATGTGAGTTAGAAAAAAAACGCGATTATTTTAAATTAGCCACCTGGGTAAAGGATATTAACCATGTTTTCCATAGGAAGCATGATTGATGTCTTAGGAAACATTCTGCTAGCTCTGTGCTTACTGAATAGTCAGTTAAGAATTAATGGCCTAGTTCTCAGAGCAAAAACCAGGTTTGCTGTGATTTATTTGTGGGATGAATTGATAACTGCAACATTTATATATAACATTACTTGTGGTAGCAATATAAGGTGATAAATGTGGTGATCATTCAGGGCGGCCATTGCCTGTATTGGCGGAATGTATGAGAAGCTTGGAAGGATGGTTGGACGGTCATTTGAAGAAACAGTCCAGTTGCTCATCAAGGCTTTGAAAAATGCTGAGGTTTTTATAATTTTTTACCAGAAATAGCAAAAAATATATACATAGAACAAAAAAAAAAACAATAATCAAATCATTTGATATCCATGTAAGACGCTACCGCTCAAAAATTCTCTGAAATGTTACAGATTTGTTTACATGACACATGTTTAGAAAAGATAAATTTATATTATATGAATCAAGTCTACAAAGCAAATATAAGTTTATTAGCACTTTGCCTGCATGTGTTCTTAAATAATGCATCATGTTTATCTGTTTATTATGAAGCATTTATGTATTTTGATAAATATTTCAAGTTGTTGTCCTTTTTTTACAACAGTCTACAGGTCGCTGTGAAATTATGGTCACACTGCAGAAAGTGGTGCAAGGGCTTGGTTCTGCAGCTTGTGGTGTCCACAAAGACATCTATAAGGCCACCAAATCCTGTATGACAGACAGGTCCATGACCGTCAGGTGTGCTGCTGCCAAGGTAAGATGTTATAATTAATCCAGTTTGACTGACTGCTGGGTATTTATATATTTTATTATTGGTCTTCTGAGATGCTGTGTCATATTGAATTAGAAAAAAAATACTTTTGTTACAGTGTCAGATATTTAAACAAGAAACTACTATGTCGCAACAGTTGTACCTTACAAAAATAAATAAATTTATTACAATTTGTATTTTGAATTCTATTTTATTGAACATATTCAGGTAATGATGCTGACTTTTTCTAACTCTCATAAGATATTATGCATATTCTAGTGTTTGGAAGAACTAGTCCACGAAGCTCCCTTCATGTACACCACAGAGACAGAGGCGGTGGTCTCGCTGTGTTTCCGTGCCCTGGATGGCTCCAACTATGATGTCCGCTGCTCTGTGGCGGAACTGCTTGGCCGTCTGCTGGAGGCTGCACTCACAGCGAAGCCACAGGGTAAATAAAAACTACTGATGATGATAATAATAATAATAATAATAATAATAATAATAATAATAATAATAATAATAATAATATAAGCTGAGTTTTAAATGATAAAGTGTCACATTTGTCAGCTTTCTACACTACAGAATACAATAATATTGAATGTTGAACAGATATAATGATACATTTACGGTTTTTAGATGAAAGAGAGAAAAATTGTTTTATTCTTATAATTTTTCAATTAAAACCAATTTTTTTTTCATGGAAAATATTTGGTTTACAAATTTGCAGTATTTTTTCTCAAAAGTGGCTGAATTCATTTCAGTTTGACTTTCATTGTAAAATCTGCATCTATATAAGAATTTAAGTCTTGTCTCTGATTACATAAAATGAAGCCTTCCCAAAGCTTGAATAGATGTTCATTTATGAAATTCCTTTTAACATAAAAGAGAGACATTAAATAAATTGTCTATGCAAAGGATATAATATATTTGACATTGTTGGTTTGTTAGTTAACAACATTTCTCAAAAAGTATGATGAAATTATCATTAAGTTTTCAGGATAGGTCAGAACTGGGTGAACATGGAATCAGTTAGATTTTGGCGCTGATCCATTGATTAATTAACTGATTGATAATAATCAGAATTGAGCTACCTTGGCGAATATCTGCACTCTGCGATTGCTTTTCCAGTTTCATTATTATATTATGACTAGGGACCAAAGGCAAGCAGATGAAGCTGGAGGATGTTCTGAACCTGTTGTCAGCAGGCTTCCTGAAGGGAGGTTCTGGATTCCTGAAGAGTTCAGCAGCAGGAGAGATGATAAAGGGAGGAGGCACAGTGAACAGGGAGATCAGAGTAGGAGTTACCCATGTGAGTGGTGGTGGTGGTGGTTGTGGCCTGCAGAGTACATTTAAAAGAAGGATGGACACTGTAGAGCTGATACCACACAAGTTTTCAATAGAATTTCAAGTTATATAATGTGAAGTTATATAATGTGAAAATTTTGTTTAAAATCATGCATTCAAGGTTGAATTTAAATTAAAATTGGTTTTTAAGATATTTTTCCTGTTTCAGGCCTATGTCCAGTTTGTACGCTGTATGGGAGGTACTTGGTTGGAGAAGAACATTGTAGTGTTTCTGGATCACATATTCAACCTTGTGGCCAACCCCAAGGCCACTGTTACCCATGTGGATGCTGTCTATGCCAGGAAGTGTGTCCAGTTCATTCTGAGGACTGTAATAGGAAGTCTTCTGGGGGAAAAGGCACAGATTGCTGCTGCCAAGGAAATTGCTCAAGTGATCACAAAACAAATGAATCTTCTCAGTAAGTAATGAAGATAAATTTATTGTCCTTTCCTGGGATATGGGTATGATTGTACAATATTTGCAGATATTCTGTGGAATACATACAGTGCTTTTTTATCTGAATACAAAAATGTAGCGTAACTTACAGCTGAGAGTTTTCAATTGTTTAATGTTAAGAAATTCCCACAGTAAAAGCCCGTATAGAAAAGAGAATGGACATGTAGCCATTTATTTCATGCCACATAAATTAATTTTATTAGAAAGTCTAAAGAGAGAAGAATATATAATACATTAAATTTAAAGGTATTTTGAAATAGCATGTCTTTCCTTTTATCATTTTGAGAGATGTGACAAGTGTAGTTATAACCTTGATTATGTCCCTGTCTTCCAGGTCCAGATGCGATGACGGATGGTACAGGTGGTAACCAGACCATTGACTTCACTGGGAGTCAACACATCTTGGTCTGTGCTCTCCATGAACTGGGCAGTCTGGTCCAAACACTGGGGACATCTGCTTCTCCACTCGTGTCTGAGCCTAACTCTGGTATGAAACCAATTCTTCATAGTCACTGTAGTTTTTTACTTCATTTGTTAGCTATTTTGAAAGAATTTTGATAAGTAGTATTATCCAGTGTTTGATTTTGTTCCATTAGGACCTGTATCAGCATATTTTGATGGTATCATGAGTGTGGTAGAATAAAAAATTCTGATATATATTAATTTGAAAAAAATTATACAGAATAAAAAAATGCTTTTTCTCTCCAGGTATCATCCCACCAGTGATCAGCGTCCTCCTCCACATCAGCCCTGCTGCCCGCCTGGCCGCCGCCTGGTGTCTGAGGTGTATAGCAGTGGCTCTCCCCTCCTATCTAACCCCTCTCCTAGACCAGTGCATGGGTAACCTCAGCAAGATGAAGGCCTCCCCAGAGGCTACCTCTGGCTACTGCTTTGCCCTGGCTGCTCTGCTGGGAGGGGTGCATCAGTGTCCACTGGGAATACCACATGCTATTGGGAAGGTATGATGTGCTGAGTTCAATAAGTTATTTTTTAATAGAATTGTTGGATAAACATGTAGTATGTCTATTTCTTTTACTAACATTTTCAGATATTTAGTAAGAATTAAATATTAATATGTGTCTGCATTTATGAGCTGAGCTTAAATCATTCAGGTGAATCATAAAGTAATATTGTTACTCTTATTGTTAATTTCAGAAAATCTTCAGTCTCGCGGAAGAACTGTTGAGAACAGCCTCCCAAAACAGTCGCCTCTCTCTACAGAGGACTCAGTCTGGGTGGTTACTTCTGGGAGCTCTCATGACTTTAGGTCAGTAGTTATATGAGGATTTAACATTACAGAATTGTTCTAATAATTCTCTTATTGGTAGTTTACCAGAGTACTATAATTTAGCCCCATTTGGATCTATCTTGAAATTGATGGAGCCATGAGATTTTTGTCAATTTACATGCATTGATTCCATCTTAAAGAAATCTTTTAGAATCATGGACCCAATCTACAGTACTTGAGACTTTGATACACAATATCTTGTCATTACAGGTGCCCCTGTGGCTAAGAATCACCTTCCCAGAATGCTGTTGCTGTGGAAGAATGCCTTCCCTCGCTCTGTCAAGGAGCTGGAGGCAGAGAAGTCGCGTGGTGATGCTTTTACCTGGCAGGTGACACTAGAAGGGAGGATGGGAGCTCTGGCAAGTGAGTGACTCCTGCTGACTAACAACCTGGTTTTGAGAGAGAGGGATCTTATTGTTGAAATTATTTATAAAGTGGAAGTGAACAAGGTTTCAGAGAAATTGTAGGATGTTCAGTGGAATAGTTTTACACAAGTAGAAATGGCTCTGAGTTCTCAAAATAAAATTTGTGACCAATTAACCCTCTATTGAGATTATATGATATATTGTTTCTACCTTAACAGCCATGCAAAGTTTTATCCAGCACTGTGGGGAGTTAGTGACTGAAGATGTGACCAGGAGACTCATGGCTCCAATTGAATGTGCTCTCACCATGCTGGCCCAGTAAGTTCTTCATGTAGTTTTCAAACAATTTTCTGAAGTCACATATATATATATATATATATATATATATATATATATATATATATATATATATATATTATTTCCCTAAGAATTAAAGATGGCCTTTTTATCATGTTGTTAAAAAAGTACACATGGAAATATTTATTTATTCTCCAGTATGCCTGGCATTGTGAAGAACTATGGTGCCCATCTGAAAGCAGCAGCAGCCATGGTCAGGCTAAGACTGTATGATGTGTTAGCTCTACTTCCACCAAAGACTTATGAAGGTATTGTAGGGTTCAACCAACTTCTTTTATATGTTTTCTATGTTTAACAAAAAAAAAAAACATAGGTTTGTTTGAATATGCTGGAACGTAAAGATATTTTTTCATTGTAAACGACAACAAAACACTAAGTTATATCTTTGGTGCAGGTAATAGGTATGTATCTTTTTATTTTCTTTTTTTCAGCTGTTTGTAATATGACAGAATATCAGCTAGATCCCTCGGTTTTTCAAAAGGCAATTAATGTATATAATTTTTATCAAAGCCATTCACTATATTTGAAGAAAATAGCAAACTCTTTTTACAAAAATTTCCTTTTTTCCCCTCCAGGTGCTTTTAATGCTCTGCTAAGAGAGTTAGTGGCAGAGTTCACCCTGACTGACAACCCAGCCAATACCACCACCTCAATGTTGAGGTCCATGTGTCACATAGATGACAGCGTTATACTGGGCTCATGGCTCCAGGAGACAGATCATAAGGCCATAGAAGACCAGGTAGATAACTGAAGCTGTCATTGTATCTGTCACCATCACCTCCACCTCACTACCAATGTAGACATGCAGTTTGAGATGGATTATGCTTTTAATCAAAGCTTTGTGTGTATCTGTTTGTTTGCCAACATGATTATTTGGAAGGTTCTCTGTGGGTTTGGATGAAATTGATGAGATGAGTATGAGGGAGAATGAAATAATGTCCCTGATTTTAGGTGACTTGAGTAAAGGTCACACCAAAAAATGAGTCCTTATCTTCCTCCCCTTTATTTTTGTTTGAAGCAGCTTTATAAGGTTAAGCTTGCTCTCTTTTCTTTGTGGGTTTATGTAACATTTTCATGTTATACTTACCACGTGTGATATCGAGACCAACCGTAAGCTGTAGGAGCACTACATGCTGGATATCTGCTTATCTCCAGTGTAAAAATAGCCAAAATCTTAGAACTCTTGGATTCCTACTATAAACAACTTACAAATTTAACCTATCTTCGGAAACCATTTTCTTGGTTTCTTGGTAGCTTCTCCTTTAGTGTCTAAGTAAAGAGATTTCAAGTAGTTCTTCTAATTTCTGTACATGTGACAGCTTTGGTGTCTAGTTAAGATTATTTGCAGATGTTCATGATTTTTCTTTGTGATAGATATTTCCTGTCTCTGGTTATTGTCATTGTAGTAATGTATGTTCGAAGTGAGATCAATGTCATATGCATGTTCTGTAGAAAGGTATGTAAGGGAATGTTCAAGAGCAACAAAAAGTTTTCAATTTTAAGCACTATATGATGAAGTGGGACAGCCTCTGGCTGCAGTAGGAGGTTAAAAAAATCCCAAAGGGGGTGAAAGGGTGTATCAGAAGTTTGACAAGCATGTTTTAACAACACTTGACAGAAAAGAGTTTTAAATGAGAGGGGGGTTATGTTGTTTCTTTTGCTGGGAAAAAAATGCTTTACACCATACATGCTCACACATTTCATCACTTTTTGCAAGCAGAACATTTCTGATTTTTTCACATTTTTGTTTGGGTGACATGCTCTGCAGGTGTTTTAAGAAAAGCTCTATGTTCACCAAGGACATTATTCAACTTGCTTTTTTAGCAGCAAATCTTTTGTTTCATCTTCATATCTTCTGTATCTTTTTAGCTTGAGCCTAATCGTAGGTTGGATAAGGAGCATGTGAGTATAGTATGCATGTTGACTGTATAAAAAAATGAGGCATGGCAAGCAGATGTTGTCAATGTGCACTAGCATCCTTGTTTTGATTGGGTACCATTTGGATTGCTCAAGGAACTGATCATCTTTCAGAGAAGAAGGCTAGTCAGTTTTTCTAAAGAAGTGACTTGTTTTCAGCTACAAAAAGACTCCCAGTAGGGATATGGGTTGGGTACATCAAATGATTTTGCTTCTTGCTTTAAATGGTTGTTAACACTTTTCTATTTACAAACTCATTAAGAGAAAAAAATGTTAATAGAATCACAAGATGAGGTCATTTGACTGATCTTCATTACTTTTTGCTTGTTTTTCCAGCATGTGATTTTTTTCCATTTCATTGTCAAATGTTTCTTCAGTAATAGTGTTCTTTAACTTGTCAGGGATACCAGTTTTATGGATTTTAATTGTAGAAGCTTCATGGTGTACCTATTCTGTTTGCCAGCATTGCATATTTAAAAAAAAAAAAATCAAAAATGGGATGTTTTATAATAAATGACACTTAGACACAAAACAAAATCAGAAATTTTAAACTTCCATCAACTTAAGGGATCATAGATACAAAACTGTCAGCTCTTGAATATGCCATTCTCTGTGTAGCTATGTGTATGAAGCAGACTCCAGCATGAATGTGTGTTGTACAGCAGTTTTCAGCACGAGTGACGTTGCACATGCAGATATTTGGGTACAAATATCCCAGTTGTGTGCTGCAATTTCATCCTAAATCCTGAAGTTGATCATAGCAATTTCTCAGTTATTTATGTCTCGGTTGTTTTCTGTTCATTTTGTATGAGGATCTTCTCACGTACAGACTTGTATCTGTACATTGTGTTTGACTTTTTGTTCTTTGCTGGTCATGTTTATAGCATATTTTAGTACTTTTCATTTGAATTTTACCTTTTGATTTTTTTATATTCTGTTTCTGTTAGCATCTCTTTTAATAAGCAAAACAGAATCCTTCATTCTGCTTGACTAGACTAAGTGTTATCAGAGCTTACAATGTGTCTACTGTCCCAGCTTATTAGTCACATCTGATTCAAGAGAATCTCACTTAACTCCTGATAAGTTTTGAAATGCACACTTATATTAAGTGACAAAAATAATTGTCAGAGCCAGATGTTGTGATGAATGCTGACTGAAGGTGATGCTGTTAAAGAGTTATGGCTGCTTTAAATATGTGCATGGATGAGGAATGCTAGAGAAATGTTAATTTAGAGGGATGGTTTTTAACAAGGGAATGTACAAGATGTCGTGTGATGTATATAGCTTTCTGTGGAGAGCCATCTTGGTTTTTGTTGAAGACCAACATTGACAAAATTTTATCTGAGTCTAATAATCTTTTTGCAGATTTTGTTATTTACCTTTTGCTTATAAATTATGGTAACTGTTGTTTACACATATACTATTTGCTAGTATTGGGAGTTAACTGAACATGTTGCTTTCTTTTATTTGTACTATGATGCAGGTTTCCCTCCCAGTAACTTATAGTGATATTTAGAGTATAATGTAATTTATCTTTACAGTTACAACCCAACAGTGCATCTGGGTCAGGAGCTCTGGAACATGATGCCATCTCTCTGTATCTACGCTTACAACCTGTAAGTATTACTTCTGATGACTTGGTACTTGCATGTTTGCAGATTTTTTTTAGTAGTAGTTGGTATTCCTTTTTAGTATGGTGCGTTGTTAATTACAAAACAAACGGTGTTTGTAACCCTGTCATATTGTTTTCTCGATGTATAAATTTATCCATTTTGTAAGTATTGTGCATTTAAAATAGATGAAAAGATGTATGTAATGATATTATTATTTGATTGATTATACTGTTTATAAAAACTAGGTAGAATGCAAAATACAAAAAAATATGTATAATGATATTCTATTTAATATTTGTAAAGAGTCAGTCAAGACAACTCCACCCCTTTTAGGCTTACTAGGCCATAAAATACATATTTTATTTCATTTTAGGGTGAGGGTAAGCCAGGTCCCCTGCCCCTGGGTGTGGCTGTCATAGACAGCTCTGTGAAGCTGTATGGGTTGATCTTCCCCCGGGTCCCACATAAACACAGGCTGAAGATGTTGCAGCACTTTGCAGACTGTATCAAACATGCCAAGTCTCACAGGCAACAGGCTGTGCAAATCAATATTTTTACTGCAGTACTGTGTGCTCTTAAGGTAGGTGTCTTAGATATATTTTTCACAAAGGCTTCTTCTTCATATTTTTATGTATATCTGTTGGCCATTGCAACCCATGAAAATAATGTCATAATGGATATGATTGATGTGATATTTTGATTGAATATACAATTTATCAATTTTAATTTTGTTTAGTTCTTGGCAGAAAATAAAACTGGATTTGGTCAGCTTGAAGTCAGAAAAGAAGCTGTGAAGTTGGTCTTGGTAAGTAATGCTGTTGTTTGTTAGAGGGGGTGCTAGCAGAGGAGAGGGTTTTCAGTAAGGAAGGATATGAACAATTGTGCTGTATAAAATGCCAAAAACTGCTATTGAAAATGTAGCATGGTTTATTAGAAGTGGGTAATAAGGGCACTCTCTCAATGTAAACACAGCAGTGATTTGGCCAAATTTTGTAAACCTGCTGTTTATGATCTGAATGTGAGTTAGGTGACTAAAATGTGCAACAACAAGTACATGTTATGATTGTATAATACATTTATCCTCCAGGGTGCCCTGGGCAGTGCCAACCCCATCCTGCGCTGTGCTGCAGGGGAAGCTCTAGGAAGAATGGCCCAGGTGGTGGAAGACAGCAGGTTCATTGCTGAAATGGCACAGTTCAGCTTTGATAAGTATGTGTGATTGAATACCCCTAAACGGCCCATCACTTGATTCTGTTAGGGTGATTCTAACAGGATGTCTAGTGATATTTGATAGAAGAGTCTAAGCTCCTTCTAAATTTCTGGATCATCTCAATGCAAGTGTCGATTTCTAATACTGTAAGCAAGGGAATGATAGTAGAGAGATTGTTGGAAGTCGTCTTTTATGTGTAATGCAGCTTTGCTGTCATAGCAATGACACTTACATACATACTTAACTAATATAGTGTACTTATTTATTAGTTGTCTATCTTTGTTGTAGGTTGAAGTCAGCCAGAGATGTAGTGACCAGAACTGGACATTCACTGGCCCTAGGCTGTCTCCATAGGTATGTGGGAGGTATGGGGTCTGGACAGCACCTTAATATGAGTGTCAGTATACTGCTGGCACTGGCACAGGACACCACCTCACCTGTGGTACAGGTAAGAATAAGATGTTTTTTTAATTAATTAATTAATTTATTTATTTATTTGCAGGTCATTATGAATGGGTTATCAGTACAGTTTATTTTGCATATAAAATTCCCAGAAAGGCGTTTATGTATATGTGTGTTTGCGTGTGTATGTATCTGTGCACGACTTTGAAGTTAATCGATAATTCTAAAACAATTCACATCACTAGGTATGGTCCCTCCATGCCTTGGCTCTGATAGCAGACTCAGGTGGTCCAATGTACAGAGGTTATGTGGAGCCCACCCTCTCCCTGGTGCTGAGCTTACTCCTGTCTGTTCCACCCTCTAACACAGACGTCCACCAGTGTCTGGGCAAGTGTCTGGCTGCTCTGATTACAACTATAGGACCAGAGTTACAAGGTAGGGACTGTACCTATACCTGTGCTACAGAGATCTTGTTGATTTTTTCTGTAAAGGAGGGGAGGGGATCTGTATGGTCTCCTGGAAAAATTGCTATACTGTCATCATATAAAAAACTTTATTGAGTGCAATTTAATTGTACTCTGTTTAACATATGATTTTAATAAAAATCTTGGTGCAGTGCTGTATGTTTCTGAATTTTGCTATTACAGGTAACACAGGTTCCATAGCAACTGCGCGGCTGTATTGTCTTGTTTGTTGTGCCATAATGCAGGACCATCCAGACTCTCTTGTCCAGGCAGAGGCCATAGCTTGTCTACAACAACTTCATATGTTTGCTCCCAGGCATGTCAACTTAGCAACACTGGTGCCACATTTATGTGTAAGTAATATAGCAGCACTGCCATATAGATAAGATTGGTGAAGTTATCAGTTGCATATATTTACATGTACATTTATTGACAACTATCTCTGAAATGTTTTCATGTTGGTAAACAGTTGTCTGCCATTTTAAAATTTCATGCCTTGAATAAATCAGTAATCCAAATTAATGACAATTTCTCGCAAGAACACTTGTTCATAATTCTAGGCAACGTTAAACAGCAACCACTTGCTCCTACGTCGTGCAGCTGTGGCCTGCATGCGACAGCTCGCTCAACGTGAAGCACGCGAGGTCAGTGAGCATGCACTGACACTGGCTGTGGAGGACAGGACAAACAAACCAGGCATCATCATCACAGAGACTGGGCTGGAAGGAGCTCTGTTTGAGCTCCTGGATAGTGAAACCGATGCCCAACTATGCAAGGACGTTCATGACACCTTGATCAGCATGCTGCACTCTCTGGCAGAGGAAAACCTGACCCGCTGGTTTATGCTGGTTAAAAATGTCCTGGCTGCTGCTACAGGTAGACAACCTCAGTATTTTAAGATGATATATAAAATTTATATGAGAAAGACTAAGTTATTAACAACAAAATGTGATGTAGAGTGATATTTTAATATATAGGAATTAATATAAAAATACAATGTTTCTCCTCCTGTCCATAGAGTCTGGTACCCCAGTAGACAGCCCTATGCAGGAGACAGCCACTGGCAATGAAGATGATGACGATGACGATGATGAAGATGATGATACCGAGTTCAAAGCAGCAGAAGCTGATATCACTCATCCCTTGATTGCCCCAAGGTGTGAATTATTCTTGGACATTATTTTTATGATTAATGTGAGCTGCAGTGGTTCAGTTGATGATATAAATATAGTTTTTCAGTATAAACATGTTCATCTAAGATATGATAGCATCACAGAAACTATGATGAAAACAGACTACATGTATTTTTGTTGTTGTAGGTGGCCCACCCGTGTGTTTGCCACGGAGTGTATGAGGAGGATAGTTGGGGTCTGCGAGGGGAACAATGCCAACTTTGACCTAGCTCTGGCCAGAGAACTGAAACGCACCAATGGGAAGGGTAAGATCAGTGGATTTCATTTGAATGCAAAAAAAAAAAAAAAAAAAGAAGTAGAAGAAGAAAAGAACAATAAATATGAAAAGGAAGAACTAGTATTATAATTTTATGATGCATACTGTCCTGTTAAGTTTTATCTGTTTGACAGCTCTGACATTTAGTAAAATGTACCTCTTATGCAAAGATGGTAAAGAAAGTAAATTTAATTTATTCTTAAGATATTACACTTGTTCTTTACCAGCTCTGACATCAGCATGTATGTTTTTAACATGTATATTTTATTATCTGGCTTTATCTGCTTTTATGTTAGTTATATCTTTCACATAAATACAAGCAGACCGTGTTGAAAATGGTTTGTATTCCAGGAGATTACCTTGTCCTCCATTTGTCCGAGCTTGTTAGGGTGGCATTTATTGCAGCCACTGCAGACAGTGACCAACTCAGATTGGCAGGACTGGCCACATTACAGGTGAGAACTGTTCAAATATAGGAAGGCAGTAACAATAGAATTTAAACACATCAGAAAAGTTTCATTTGTAAATATGAAAGCTTATTATATGCATTTTCCTTCATTTTGTCTTTTATCAACAAGGTTTTCTGTAATCTTTGCACAGGTGGTTTATTTTAATTAATATCATTTGCTAAGTCTTGAATTATGTCTAGCTGACAGATTGGTTGATGTTGTGTTCTAGGATATCATCCACAAGTTTTCCAAGGTGCCAGAGCCAGAGTTCCCAGGTCATGTGATCTTGGAGCAGTATCAAGCCCAAGTAGGAGCTGCCTTGCGTCCAGCTTTTTCTCCAGACACCCCAAGTGATGTCACTGCTGCTGCCTGTGAGGTAAAGTTTAACAGTTGGTGATGATTGCTTAAAATTTCATGTCCCTTTTGTAAAATAAAAATTTGATTTTTTTTTTCCAGTTAAAAATCAGTATTGTAGATAGTGCTAGTCTATCACTATTAAACCTTTTACCATGTAGAGATCATGTAGCTTCTTGACCTTAAATTATAATAGCATCATGTCAACCAGTATAATTCCCAACATACAGGTGTGCAGTACCTGGATAGGCAGTGGTGTGGCCAGAGATCTCAATGATTTACGCCGAGTCCACCAGCTCCTGGTCTCTTCCTTGGAGAAACTCAAGTCTGGGAAGGGCAAGGCTCAGCTCTATAATGAAGGGGCCTCCACAATGGAGAAGTTGGCTGTTCTCAAGGCTTGGGCTGAGGTAAGCTTTAGACTGTAGTAGTCTGTTGATATGTTTGCTTTTATATACCTCTTAAAGACATTTTATGGAAATGAAATGTTGCATACCATGTTTTGAATACCGCAGTTCTTAACCCTGTTTAAGTAACTGGCACTGTGTAACTTGGAAAACATACATTTGTTCAAATAATGAGTCTTATGTGATTTGAATATTTCCTTTAGGTTTATATAGTAGCTGAAAACCGGGAGAGGGAGAGAGATACCACAATAAAGGAGGAAGAAGATGAGTTTGGGGATGCCATTAATGGAGAAAGTTTGTTAAGTCTGGTAAAGCCTGAACTGCCTACACTGAGCAAACACTGGCTGTCTGCACTGAAGGACCATGCTCTGTTATCACTGCCCCCAGGTAAGCCTTGGCTGTGCAGATGTGAACCCCTAAACATTTCTTTGTCTTGGATATAGTTTTTCAACTTTTAAATGTTCCAACACTGAATAACATATTTTGTACTTATGAAGGAGACTGGAATTCTACACCAACATTGAATTTAATAAAATTTCACTGAATTTTTCTCTCTCTCCAGAGTTGTCCAGTCAGTTGCCTGCAGAGGGAGGCACATTCTACTGGGCAGACACCATAGACTCCTCCAGACTTCATTACAAAAAATCCTGGGCTCCAATGCTTTATGCTGTGGCTCTCTGGTTGAATGAAGGGGGTCACGCAACCAATCCCAAAGAGTCCTCATCAGCTGCTACAACTCCTGTTGAGCCACCCCCTGCCAATATGCAACCAGATGAGCTAGATGATGACAGATTCTTTCTTTTGATAGGTAAGTAGATACTTAAAAGAATCGGTGAATTTAAGAAAAAATTTATACAAATGACTATCAATAAATAGTTTTTGTTTGTCTTTGAATGTGTGCTCACTTTCAGTTTATTTTACTTTGAAGTTTTTCATGTGGGTTAGGGAGAAGCAGGAATTATCAACTCGGTATTGATGTCAGTTAAACAAGTTGAGACCTATGCCCATAGCAGAGCTTGCTAGGCAACAGTGATGCCTTTGGTGTAATGCACTTTACCTGTCTGCATACAACTTAAAATAATGATTTAACATTTATATTTAAGCATCATAATTTAATGTAAAATCAATAAATTCCAAAAAGTAGAACACAAGGCGTTTTTCCATTAACAGTTATATGAATCTCTGCAGGTATATGTATGGAGGCCATGTGCAGTCCAGCCTCAGTTCAACCCTTGGAGAATGTGGAGATGTGTCTGAAGTCTATGTATGCTTTGCTGGATAAACCATGGCCCCGCAGCAGGCTAGGCAAGGACAGTGCTCTGTCTATAGAAGTACTAAATGTTATGCACAGGTAGGTATGGCGGTGAGATTCTCGTACAGGTGATTTGTCTTGTTCAGGTTACTCCTGCTTGAAAACCCCTCTGTTGAAACTGGTCACAATTGTTTATTATTTTAATAGAAATGCTCATGTGTGTCCTTTTTTAACATAGATTAATCCTGACCCGTGAGAACCCCTCCACCCAGCAGTTGGTCCTGGGTGTGGTGCAGCAAGTGGTTAAGGCAGCCCAAGAACACTTTGAAGCTGAGAGAACAAGAGCCACAGGTTAGGCAGCACATAATATAAATATCAGAAAATTAAGCAACAAGCTCAAGCTCATTATTCAGCTTAGTTGAAGTAGTTAATGGCGTAAACAGATCTTGAGAATTTGAAGTGATTCTTCCTCAAATGATGATGTTGGGTGTAAATGATGTTCATCTTAATTAGGTTGTGTTTTTGTTCCAGACGAAGACACAGGAGCAGAAGATCAAGAGAACCCACCAGCCAACAGCGAGAAGGTTGTCAACCTGGGCGAGGGCGGAGAGAGTGGAGAGATCACCCCAGGGAAGTCTGTGGTGTATGCCACCCTGGAGGTGAATCTATGTGTTCTGATACGTTATATCCCAGCACTGAATCCAGCACTGCCCAGCACAGGCTTCACTCAGCCTCACAGGGTAAATAACATGTCAGAGGAGGTTGCTCAGCTCATAGCTTCTACCCTCAACATCATGATGGAGTTGCCTGGGCTCTGTTCGCCTAGAGGTGAGTAGATTCATTTAAAGATTCTTTTAGTTAAATATATCATGTTATAACTGGTACTAAGAAGTGATAGCTTTTCACCCTGAATCTGGCATTCAATTTACAATCAGTTTTTACTGAAACAGAAAAACTATACATCTTTTGTCTATAACTGATATAAAATTAACATTTAATTTATTTTTGTTTTATTTATTATTACTGTTACAGTAATATTGTAGGATCATAAATATTTTTCAAAACAAATATGTATTCCTACCAGGCACTCTGTCTGTACTGCCTACCATCCTGTTCCTGGTGACTGGCGTTATACGAGAGCTAGCACCCAGATCACCTGACCTTAATGGCGTTCCCCTGCCTGTAGCAATGTCCCTGCAGGTCCTGAAGGCATTCTGTAGGTCCCACTTTCTACAGATAGAGGAGTGCAGAGCTGGGTGGATTAAATTACTGCAGAGCACCATGGCCACCATCTTGGCTTTTGCCAACCCAGGTACATACAGAGTAGAGGGGAGCTTTGAATGATAAGAAATATGTTTGAAGATTTTCAAAATTTTGTACTGTTTCAGACTGGAAAAAAAACATGCTTTCAGAAAATACACTCTTTCTGTAAGTTGCACAAATATTTCTGGTCTATCATCTTCCATGTCTTGTTTACTCCAGATCATGAGAATGACCAGCCAGGAGTTGACCAGAGCATTCTCATGCTGACCCTGGCAGTGTTCCTCACCTCATGCCCCACCGAGGTGACCACTCCAAAGAATGTCCAGCAACCCTGTGTGGACATATTCAAGGAGGCGTGGCAGTCACAAAATGATAAAGTATGTATGATGGCAGTAAATTAGTTCAGTAAATTATGTTGAAAATTAATATGCAGGTTGTGTTGAAGGCTGGTAGTCTGAGATGTAAGTACCTTTTTTCCATTTAATAATTTGGGAGCATAATTGTCTTTAGATCATCATAAGACAGGGAGATGTTTAAATGTGTCTAAACTTTTGTTTTTAGATCATCCTGACTTGTGTCCAGACATTGGCCTCTCTCTTCCAACATCCTGACAGAGAACTTTCCACACCATATATTCATCAGCTGGGTCCAGCAATATTGGAAAATATGCCATCTTTTTCCAAGAATAGACCCAGCAGTGATGTGAAACTAAACATTGCAAAGGAAAGCATCCATCTGTTGGAAGGCTTGGTAGCTGCAGCAGAGGATAATAATAGTGAGTTATTAATATAAGTACACAAAAGAAGTATATTTATTTGTGAATTGAAGAAGAAAAGAAATAATTGTCTAAACTCAAATTAAAAAACATTTAAAAATAGGAATATTTAAGTAAAGTGTTTCACAAATTAAAATTTGTACAGTCCCTTCAGGGCAGTAAAAACATTTGATATCGGAAATTACTAACATAGTTTGAAATATATTTCATCAATACCAACTCTTCTGACAGAAATATTCTAAAACTTTCCAGGAATTCAACTGATTTCAATGCTGGTGCCATTACTTATTTCCTTCTTGCTGGACAATTCCGAATTGGCCGGTGCCAGCAAACCCTCCCGGGACCTTCACCTTTACGCCTTACAAAGACTGATGCAGGTGGGACCTCAGTATCCAGAACAGTTCAGAACTGTCATGGGAAGTTCAGTTAACCTGAGGACAAAGCTGGAGGCAGCTGTGAAAGCAAACCAACAGGCTAAAAAGCCCCAGGAACAAAAGGCTCAAGAAGTGAAGTTAAAACCAGTAAAACCAAGTATTCAGCTTAAAACGGACTTCAGTGATTTTGCAAAGGGAGGGAAATAAGGAGGAGGTCCTCCCCATGTAGTAGTCGCTTACTCTATTCATTGTGGTGATCACTTCAGGAAGATTGATCACACATCATGTCAATAATTTAATATTGCCAATAATTTGAACACTTAGATATAATCGGCATTCACTATCTGCAATATTGTTTAGGTAGGAAATTGTTTCTACTTATAGATATTTGTGATATATAATGGTTATTTTTGGGTAATTTGAAGTAGTTTTGACAGGTAGGGTCTTAGGCTTTTTGTATCACTGCCAGTTGTACCCTGTACAGTGAATGCTTTGACAGTGTCAGGAGCACATGTAAAAACCAGTGTGCAGTTTTTTCATCCCAATAGCATATCTTGTGTTTGTAAATAGTCGGCTTGAAGTAAAACCAGTTTAATTTTATTATATGCCTAGTACAGTAGCCCTATTTTGTAGGACTGCATATTCCTCTTTGTGTTTGAATAAGTGAACTGTTTGAACAATTTAACTGGCAATGCACAATCACCTTATGTATCACATTTCACAAGTTTAATGCTTTATTGCTATGTTGCCTGTTGTATTGTTTGCAAGCTCTGTCATTCACTGCACTTGTAAATTATTAAGCAAAAATTTCAGGCAATATTAAGAATTTCATAAATGTGTTGAAGGTAGGAAATTACAGTGAATATGGGAAAGTGGTATGTTCTCATTTTAATTACGCTGTTAAGTTTTTTTAATTTAATTTTAATTTATTTATTTATTATTATTATTATTATTTATTTATTTATTTTTATTTTTTTTGGTCAGTAATCTTTTGGTCCATGAAAGATGACATTGAGCTATTTTTTTGCCAACTGGCAGAACAGTACCACATTACCTGGAGATAGTTTTGCACTCACTGTGAACATTTAACATGCTTGTGTACATAAAGCAACCACGGAGAGCTCTCATATACAACTCAGTCAAGATATTTTTGCTCAGGATTTATGTCTACTTTAATTGTTTTATCATGGTTTTCATTGTCCTGTAGAGCTTTAGTTTGCATGACATTTCAGAGGTTTTAAGAATACTCACAGCTCCCCAGCAATGTTTTTAATAATATTTATTTATTTCCAATTTGGCTTCAAACTGAGCTTCCATCTGTAAACATGTAAACACATTATAAATGTAAATGCTGTTTGTTAAAAAGAAAACTGTCCAGACATGTACTTAATTTTAAAACTAGTTCCCAAAGTATTGGCTTTGAAAATAGTCAAGATATCTGTGTCAGTTAGCAATGCATATATATCAAAGAAGGTTAGCTATTAAATGGTGCTAAAACACTTTGTTTTGTATTTGCAGTTTGTGAAAGTGTTTTGATAGGAAGCATATTGCGGAGTGTAAACTTTACTTTTGACAGGAATTTTGATTCAGAAATCTTGTCAGGTTCACTTGGCAAATGGTAGTTGTCTAATAAAAAAAACTTAAGGAAAAAGCAATATAGTAATGATTTAACATGACTGTGCAAAAGAGCTAACTGTGGTGGCTCTTTTTATGGCAATGATCATATACATATACTGGAGAAACTAAATTGACTTTCCTGGCCTGTAAATGCTTAAGGCATTTTAACAACCTATTTGTAGCAGTAGAATAAAATGTTGAGTGAGCATTTTGTACTTAAAACTTGCAGATGTTAGAAAAAGGAAATGTGATCTTTCAATGATCACAACTTAAGTCTTATAAGAATTGAGAAGAAATCCTGCCATTTCTTTTAGTCTACAGGGATATGAAATTTGTAGATTTTAGCTCCAAATGTGCAAGTGTCCTCACTTCTATTAAAGCATAGAAAAACTTTGTGATCATATGAAGGGCTTTTATTATAACCAGTACATGTATGCCCATATCAAGATTGTAATAAAATGGAATTAATTGAAATGCTGACAATGTTAAATGATGAACAATAAGCTGCTATTTACAAATTGCATAAACTCTTGCATAAACTGTCTGCCCCACATACAGAGATCTACTCGAGCTCCAGGTTCAGAAGTTTAAAAGTTTGCTCCAGTGCATTGCTATTGTTAGTGTTGTCACCATACAGCCTTCTCATTGGATAACCCTTGATAAGTAGCTGTTTAACAGCAAACTCTTCACTGGAACTGGTGCGAACGGTCTTTATGATAACACTTTTGGGAGTTTTGGGAAAAAATGTACACATTCTACTGACGGCCACAATGAAGTCCATTTGATTCTCGGCTTCCATTTTCTGCTCAAATGCACTATCAATGTTGTTTAGTCTTTGTTTCAGCAACCTCTTCTGTCGTTCAACCTCAAACATGACTCTCTGCAGTTTCCCAGCCTTGAAAGCCATAGTGCTGACTGGTTCCTTCTTCTTGCAGTTAACCATGAATACAGCTATAAGGAAAGCCAGGACCCCAACACCACTAAGCAAGTAGTACCAGTAGTTAGTGAACCATTCTTTCACTATCTCCGATGTCTTGGGACTAAATACCTCACTAAGTCTTTTCAGGGCAGCATTAAAATCCACTTCAATACATTTATGTTTTCTATCACAGTACCCTGTGTAGTTGTTGCAGCCTTTGCCTGGGTCCCTGTATCTGATCTTGGTGCTAGGGGTGTGGTAATTCTCTGCAGGATGACAGCTCTGTGGCTCACTACTGTTATAACAACACAGTCTACACAACAGGGAGTCGCTGCCAACACACTGGCATTCCTCCAGTCCCAGGCCGGAGCATATGGTCCCTATACACTGTCCAGAGACACACGTTTTCTCAGCTTGGTTACACAGCGTGCCATCTGCCTCGTGCTGTGGCTCTGGGCAGTTTGCTCCCACACCATCACAGTAACTGCTCTCAGTGCAGTCGGTTGCCTGCTGGCACAGCTGATGGTTCTCCAGGGGTACAACAACACAGCTGGTGGTGCAGCACTCGGACACCAGTGGACTGCAGGAGTACCCAGCACTTTTCCTTATGGTGCAGCCTGTGTCATAACCCAGTCCTCCTGGAGGAGTACAACATGGGTCTGTCTCAGCACAGTACGATGCACTGCCACAGTCGCATTCCTCCCCGTCCTCTACTATTCCATTACCACACACTGGGCCTGGGTTGGCTATAAAACAACTGGCCTTATTTTGGAGCACTGGGTTGATATAGTCCTTGCTGCACTGTGAAAATAACCAGTGGTTTGGCTTTTGCCCATCATTTGCCGTGGGGTACATGAGATAATTCCCAAACCCTGGGTCACCAGGAGAACAGAGGGAATCTTGTGTATTGTCGTGTTCAGAGCCAAAGTTGTGACCCAGTTCATGAGCTAATGTCAACACTGATACCTTACGAGGCGATACTTGTCCAAAGTTTAGAAAGCTCACCATTGCTGTGTTGAAATTGTACATTTTGTTGTCAGGACCCATAAACATGCTCTGCTGGCATATACCTCCAGCTGAGCCATACTTGCTGGAATCTGCTATCCAAGCCAATCCTAAAACGCCATCAGCAAAATCCCTGTGGGTAAAAACCACTCCTCCACAAAAATTATCAAAGTTGTATTCCGAAAATGAATATAAATAGGTGAAAACATCTGTGCTTGTGTCAGCTAGCTTGTAGGCAACTGCATCTTTGTCTCCATATATTGTTATTTCACCTATAGCAATCCCTATGTTGTCTGCCTCTCCGTCTCCATTGAAGTCTGATCCTCGAAATAATTTGTCAACCTCTGTTACGTGGTACACCATTTCATTGATAGTTGTTGTGGCATCCCCCTTTCCAATGTTTTGAAAAAATGTGTGGTCTGCAACAAGGTGCAAAGAGCAAGTGTTTTCTGTACCAGTAGATCTCTTGGATTTCTGGATTTTTGTATAAGTACTAAAAGAAAACCTAGTTCTAGGAACATGTACTCCATGTAGTCTCACGTGACTGTTATCATAACTTATGTCACTGGCTTTATACACAATATAATCCTTTGAATGTTCTTTACTTACATTTAGTATATACTTTGATGCTTTTTCAATGTAAACTTGCTCTCCTTTATATATAAATGATCCATCAAACATACCATCATGTAATCTACCATATGCCCAAGAAGTTGCATCCCCTTCTACAAATCCATGATAAAATTCTGCCTTATTCAGTTTCAACTGTCTGATATCTTGCTTATCTGCAATTTTCACAACGGTCAAACCACTGAAGATTCTGTGGTTTATCACCAGACGTAGAAAATAAGTTTTTTCAAAAACTTTGACTTCAAGTCTTATAACTTGAAATTCATTAAGTCTTTTGTTTTCCTCACAATTTGTTTTTAAGCTGTTAGTATCACAACCATAAAAACCATGGTATATCATATCCGTATTTGGATGTACTTCAAAACATCTTATCATTCTATTCAAGGTTTTACATTTTGTTGTTCCGTTGGAGTAGATTTGTGTCAGTACAATGACAGCTAAAATACTTGACTGTACAATTTTCATTGCACTGTATGTTGAGATGTCCTCTTGTTGCGTTTATACGGAGGAATTCTGGGATACCTAGTGTCATGCGCAACACTTGACTCAACGTCAACTTCCGGGAGATACTCGCTGCAGTGAACGTTTTGCTTCTTTTTCGCGTACTACAGACGTGTTCACAATATCGTCATGTTTAATATATTCGTAACTATTGATCGTCAGAAAGTGCGTGTATACGAAGCATGTGCAAGTGATACAATTTGTTCAATTAAGGAGCAAATTACTAAGGTACGACTAAGATCATTTTTCTTGTAAAATTTTAACACACACAAAAAAACATTGAACTGATAAATGAACTACTTGAACTTCTTGCGCTGCTATAAATTCCGGTACAGAGCCGAATGAGAATCGTACAAAGGCAATTCTAGTTCTAAATCAGACAAAAACCTAGATTATACGTTTCAGGATAAGGATTGTCTATATACAAGGAAACATTTCTGTTACCTTTCTCGCAATTAAGGCCGTAGTAGCACGAATAATCATGCTCCAGCAAATCTTTCTTATAAAAACAGAATTACTTGTTATGAAAAATGTGAAAATGTCTCATGTTATTAAGACCCCAGCATTTATTTGTGTTTGAAAATTTTCGATATAAATAGGTTTGCCATTATCTAAATGTTAAAAATAATTTGTCAGTTTAATTTTTTTTTTTTACATTTTTTTTTGTAGGAAATCAAGAAAGGTGACTTTTACTTGGTTTGTAATGGACTTAAGGTGGCAGATGATGCTATTCTCCATCAAGATCAAGTTTATCATGTTTGCCATAGATTACCAGGAGGAAAGGGAGGTATGTATACCTAGAATAGGTCCTTTTATGATCAGCATGATGTACTTCATTTCACATCACTATGATAATGAAACTGAAGATATAATTTTGCTTAGATCTGTTAAACTCCAATGTAAAATAAAATGTGAAAAATTCATCCACCTGAAGAATTTTGGCAAAGTAATATTTCAACCAGTAACATGATCATTGTCAATTTTCCCCAAGTTTTGTCACTAAATAAGTTCAAACACCCCAACTTGTGTGAACTAAAGTCATTTACTTTTTTTGTAGGTTTTGGTTCTATGCTGCGGGCCATTGGTGCACAAATAGAGAAAACCACCAACCGAGAGGCCTGCAGGGACCTCAGTGGCAGAAGGATGAGAGATATAAACAATGAGAAAAAGTATGATGTGGCAGAAGTTTATGTTGACAAATCTGTAAATGAGAGATGTTGAATTTCATAATTCTTATTGTAAACTGAATGTTTACCAAAATCACAACTTTGTTGGTAACTTTGCGAACTTGGCCAAGAGAGTGTATTCCAAGTCATTTTTATGTACAGACACAGATGTGTCTGTACATATTGCCATCACCTGCGTCTGTCGTCGCCGTCGCCGTCGCCGATGCCGATGCCGGCGCCGTGCACTTTCCTTGTAAACACGATAAGTGGAGGGCAGTTTTACTTTTTGGCTTTATATTTACAGAGCTGATGAATATTCATAAAACGCAGGTCAAGTTCGAAAATCAGCATGATCGGGCCATTATTGTAGAAGTTATGCTGTTTTTTCACTTTTCAGCATATATGCAACCCTGTAAACACATTTTAAGGAAAACCGTTAGGCCTGTTGTCATGAAACTCACAGGAGTACTCAATCTTACTAAAATGCAGGTCAAGTTTGAAAATCGGCATGATCGGGCCACTATTTTTGTAGTTATGCTTTTTTTTTCACTTTTCAGCATATATGCAACACTGTAAACACNAACTATCACATTATAAGAATATAACAGCCTTGTCAAAGGATTTATTTTAATTAAAATATATACTTCTCTTTGGCTCTTTACGCATGTCTTATTAGTGTTTAATTTATTTTTTATTGTGTTGCAGGTCTCCAGAAAGCTAAGCCCTCAGCATCTGCAACAGTCACTCTTTCAGATATGTCAAGAAAGAGAAAGATGGGGGATACGGATTCAGTGGACATGAAGAAGAAATGCAAGGAAATGTACGCTGACTATTCGCTTATTTTTAATGAAGAATAGCAGATTTTAGGCTAAAATAATTTTTTCATACTGTGACTTTATGCTTCTTGATTTCAATATTTTTTGTCTTGGAAACCATCTTTGATCCTTAGATCTTTTTCTTCAAGCTTTTTGGTGTTATATGCAAGGTTAACCACAGCTGCAGAACTTTATTCAATACAATTATGATATTTTGCTAAATATTTAGTCTGACATAAATTATAATGATAAGTTCTCCTAGCAAAAGCTAAAGATCAGTTTTCACCTCTCCAATATTTCATGTGACAAGACACCTTCATCGGAGAATAAGGCTAAAGGTGTTTAAAAAAAATTTTTTAAATTGTTTGGCATTGTCATATTGGAGGGGTAACAACTTATTTTTGATCGATGTTGAAAGAAATTATCATAATTATAAATTTTGAATGCAGAACACAGCTGTTGAAATTCTTAGTTGGATTAATGTTTTTGTTATATTTAATTTCATTATTATTATTTTTTTTTTTTTTTTTATTTTTTTTTTTTTGTGTTTAATTAACATGTTTTCAATTCTTTAAGGCTTGGGCTTGACATGGAAGACCTCAGTGACTTGAGTAGTGACTCTGACAGTGAAAGTTCTTCTGACTCTCAACCAAGTACATCAAACACTGGGCATAGTAATGGAAGCAAAGCACCTGTTGATTCAGATTCAGACACAAATGTCCCTGGACCATCAGGTGGATATTCAAATCTTGGATACAACTACAAAGATGGCAGCAAGAGTCCCTCATCCAAACCTGGTCCTTCTCAAGTAAAAGGTGATCTCAACTCTGCAAGCTCTTCAGTTAGTAGTACAGATATTGGTCAACCTCGGGTACAAGACAAGACTACAGAACAAACATCTCCTGGGAGTCTCTTTTCCAATGCAACTAAAACTGTGAGTGGGGCACAAGGACTTCTTGGTCAGCTCCCATCTCCACAGGGACAGGAGAAGAAACCAGTAGAACAGGGGACTAAAGAAAATGTAAGCATATCAGGTGTATCTTAGGCTCTGTTCTCACAACTTTTAGATCGATCTATCACCGCGGGGAGTCTCACTAGATTACTGTCAGATAATCCCCCTTAAGTGTCCGTCCCCGCCTACTACAAGCTTTAAGGGGTAATTAACTTTCGTGTCCGCCCGGCTGACAGCTATTTAGCGTGAACCCCCAGGGAGTTAGGTCGATCTAAAGTAGGTCGATCTAATCTATGAGAATGGGGTGTTAGACTATGGTTATAATCCCCCAGCTATACATGTTCTGTGTGCTCATCTTCAGATTCACAAGGGCACATATTTTATATTGCTGTCTAAAACTCTGGAAGCATTTTCATTTGACTACAGTCACATGTTGATCTCCTTCTTGTTTTTCATACCTTTAGGTAACAGCAGTGGATCCTGTCAACCTAGAGGAATTCGAGTCTCAAGAAGCCCTGGAACAGCTTGGCCTGGATAGACTGAAGTGTGCACTGATGGCTCTTGGACTAAAATGTGGAGGAACCCTCCAAGAGAGGGCTAGCAGATTGTGGTCCGTAAAAGGAAAGACTCCAGATGAGATTGACCCAGCCCTATTTGCAAAACCAACCAAAAAGAAAGGATCCAAATAGAGACTCATTTCAGACATTTTATTGTTGACATTTTAAATGTAGATTTCTCTAAATAAGAATTCAATAACGAGAAAAGTTCTTTTAGAGTTTAGCTACATATTTGACATTGAGGGTATTTTCATTATTATTAAATCTGTCTGAATATTTGACCGCATTACATAAGCACCAGCCAGGAGTATTATTTATTATATACCACCTTGCTATGATGACCTCTTTAAGAATGATATTTTAAAGTAACAAACATATTTTTGTTGTTGATATTTTAAATGTAGATTTCTCTAGATATAATTATTCAATGATGAAATAATGTGGAAAAAAATATAACTTAAGCTGCATATTTGACATTGAGGGTACTTTCATTAATATTTTAATTATCTGGATATTTCACCACATAAGCACCAACCAGAAGTATTACCTATCTTATGTTTTGCCAAGACATTCTCTTTAACAGTGAGATTCTAAAGTAACAAATTGTGTAAAACACCACATATATGAAAAATTGGTCCCATGTTAAAGACAGAATAGAAAAATAAACTTATATAGCATATAAACTATGTAAACCAATTGTTCAATATTAGAAACTTTAATATATTTCTTAAAATATTATACCTGTCATAAATGAGCATTTTGGGACATTTCCAATAGTCCTGTGCTGGTAGTATGTTAAGTATAGATTAGACAAACATTTACATAACTGTATACAATTCTCTTGTATGAAAGTGTGTACTTCAAAACAAAAAAAGTTGTCAGTTTTGACACACATTTGATTATGATATCATATAACATTTTGAGTCTCGATTGCAAATTTGATCCCTTGGCAAAAGCTAGTTGCAACTTAATCTATGTGCCACTCAAGTAAATAACATCTACCATCTGCATTAAGTCCCTGAAACAGTCCAATTATGGTAATAACTTGATCTTTTCAATGGGGGGAAAAATTGTGAATTTCATAGATATTGCACTTTTTATTTTCTTAAAATTTGAACATTCCTACTGAATGAAATTGAAAAGCGGGCTATACTCTATAGTTCTATTCTATGCAAATAAGGCAACAAGTGCTCTATAGGAATATAATTTATGTGATTATAAAATTATGTATCTGAAAGTTTGACAAGTCTTGCCCATTGAAAAGATCATGTAATTACTGTACTTCTGTTAGAATATTGCAACACTTTCACTAAAAGTCTCTTCCACCACCATCATTTAATACACGAATGGCATTCAGATCTACGTAATCATTATTTGTTGTAAATGATTTCCTAATCAGCATACATTGTCCAAGTAGGCATCATATCCAGCTTTCTGGTACATCTGTGCTGCCTGGAGGGGATCTGGAGCTTGCAGTATTCCACTCCCCACCACTAAGATGTCTAAACCCTTGCTGCCTATAGCTTCTGCTGGAGTCAGATAATGCTGTACTAGATCGCTACTGCCTCCTTCCAGCTTTACACCTGAAGCACATGACAGTCACAAATAAGAAAAAGAACCAGAAATGAAATGACTAGGGATGTAACTGGGTCAGAATTCCATCTGCTGACATTGGGGGGAAATACTCTAAATCGTCAGGTACCTGTAGCATGACCTACAGTTCAGATTTACCAAAGTCAGTGGTGAAAGAATAACTTCTAAATATAATTTCCCAATATGTCATGTCCCCTGGTCAAAATTCCTCCTATGTTCAGCATGCAGAAAGCTAACAAAATTGACACAATGAGTACAAAAAGGGCCTCTCGAGGAGATAAAGTAAGAATTACAAATAATTAGCCTATCTCATGGAGAGCAACTAATGGTAGGTTTTTATTTAAAAATTCTTTTTGCTTGTCATAGCAATCCCAACTAAAGCTTACCATGAACCATGTGTACTATGGCAGGGTCTGCAGATAACTTGGATCTACACTGGAAGCCTATGATAAAGTCCTTGTGCTTTTCTGCCATGTTCATACATGCTGGAATTCATGGAATGGATTAGCTAAGCTTTATAACATTGGGATATGTCGTAATTTAAGAAATGTTCTTAGATTCAGTACAGAACTTGAGTAACAAGAAGACTAGATTATGATGGCTTCACAATGAGATGTTTTTAATTCTTGGGTACAAAGGGTGGGGGGACGGGCTGGCAGTCCTTGGATTAGGGGCTCTGAAGACGTCAGTTCAGTTCTGAACGCAGACTTTCTAACTCAAACTACACCTTTCTTAACCACAAACAACTACAGACTCACAGCTTTTAATTAAGGCTGTGACCTACTTCACAAAACTCAGTTATGTCAGGCTTCACTTACATATTGAATAATCTCCCATAGCTAGTGTTCCCTGGACACTCATTTCAGCCACCATAACAGCAGCTCTACCTTTAGGCAAACCAACCTGAAGATATAAAGCAAATGATGATAGTCAATAAATATAGAACCTGGCAAACTCATTTAATTACATTTTCGATATCAAAATATTTGGATATAATTTCTTTTCAATTTTATCACTTACTAGTTTCAATTCCACCAAGTCAATACTGTGAATATTAAAGTTGCTTTAAACCTTTCAAGAAGTGAAAGATATATATTTTGCATCTTTCAGGATGTTGATTTAGTTTCTAAGTACTCCAACACATTAAAGATATGATAACTGGATTTTGTTTTCTCTCAGTCCTACCAAACTCATGGACTTTTGCCTTTATCCTTGTACCTGTTTCAATTCCTCCAGCATAGCTCCTCCCACTACCGCATGTGCATTGACCAGATCTGCCCAGTCCACTATTTTGTATGCACCACCCCCATATTGCTCCTTCACTATACCTATGTCTGCAAATTTCCTGAAGAGGAAATGAACTTGTCCCTTACTTCTGATTAATTTCAAGCAATTTTACAACAGATGCATTAATTCAAACTAGCACAAGGGAGATTCAAAGTGTTTCTTTAATAATAAAGTTCATAAATACCATATGATTGTTATACTAATGAGTAAAACAGATATTAATCATAAATAAATTCAAAATTCTAGTAAAATAAATTGAAATATTTTTTCAACAAATGTTACTTTCTGAAAAACTCACACTGCTTAGTTTCTATCTTTCAACCATTTAGTTTAAACATCACAAAATGAAAAAACACAAACCTATCTTCANATGAAATGTTCTTAGATTCAGTACAGAACTTGAGTAACAAGAAGACTAGATTATGATGGCTTCACAATGAGATGTTTTTAATTCTTGGGTACAAAGGGTGGGGGACGGGCTGGCAGTCCTTGGATTAGGGCCTCTGAAGACGTCAGTTCAGTTCTGAACGCAGACTTTCTAACTCAAACTACACCTTTCTTAACCACAAACAACTACAGACTCACAGCTTTTAATTAAGGCTGTGACCTACTTCACAAAACTCAGTTATGTCAGGCTTCACTTACATATTGAATAATCTCCCATAGCTAGTGTTCCCTGGACACTCATTTCAGCCACCATAACAGCAGCTCTACCTTTAGGCAAACCAACCTGAAGATATAAAGCAAATGATGATAGTCAATAAATATAGAACCTGGCAAACTCATTTAATTACATTTTTGATATCAAAATATTTGGATATAATTTCTTTTCAATTTTATCACTTACTAGTTTCAATTCCACCAAGTCAATACTGTGAATATCAAAGTTGCTTTAAACCTTTCAAGAAGTGAAAGATATATATTTTGCATCTTTCAGGATGTTGCTTTAGTTTCTAAGTACTCCAACACATTAAAGATATGATAACTGGATTTTGTTTCCTCTCAGTCCTACCAAACTCATGGACTTTTGCCTTTATCTGTGTACCTGTTTCAATTCCTCCAGCATAGCTCCTCCCACTACCGCATGTGCATTGACCAGATCTGCCCAGTCCACTATTTTGTATGCACCACCCCCATACTGCTCCTTCACTATACCTATGTCTGCAAATTTCCTGAAGAGGAAATGAATTTGTCCCTTACTTCTGATTAATTTCAAGCAATTTTACAACAGATGCATTAATTCAAACTAGCACAAGGGAGATTCAAAGTGTTTCTTTAATAATAAAGTTCATAAATACCATATGATTGTTATACTAATGAGTAAAACAGATATTAATCATAAATAAATTCAAAATTCTAGTAAAATAAATTGAAATATTTTTTCAACAAATGTTACTTTCTGAAAAACTCACACTGCTTAGTTTCTATCTTTCACCCATTTAGTTTAAACATCACAACATGAAAAAATACAAACCTATCTTCAAATATCAGGAAGTTGAGATTGTTTGCCAGATCTTTCAGTTTTACTACAAAGTCACTACTGAAGTCCACTAAAATGTCAGCATGAATCTTAAGGATACAAATACATGATCCAACTTTTGCTGCAAACTAGAAAAAAAATCACCATACTTATTTTATTTTGGATAGGGATTGCTATTCTATTTAAATTTTAACTGAAAACTATATCATTTATTTTAAATTTATATCAGAAATTACTTAACTTTTGTCCTCTACATCACATTGCATAATTTCATCCTATTATACCTGTAATATTGCATCAGTTGATGTGAGATCTGCGGAGAGTGCCAGATTAGTTTTCTTCATATCCATGATTTCAAATAACCTCCTCCCCACTGGATTGCTGCTTATATCTGCCCTGGACTTATACGAGAGCAACTGAAAAGGAAACATTACATCCAACTGATTTGCTCTGAAATTTATATTATAACATATCTTACAGTAGAACTTCAGCCTTCACACTTACTAGTTATAGAATTATTGCATGATTGTGTATAAAACTCACAGATGTATGAAAAAGCAGCATAATGAAAATAAGAAGAAGAATATATGTTGAACAAATCTTCTTCAGCACTAATTGCTTCAATAATATTCAAATATAAGCATAGCTAAATAAGAAACTGTCACATTTCCCTTCTTTTTCTTACTCCCCAAGGATTAAACTGCTTTTCCTCCCTTACATTTACCTGTCTATTCTTATTCCCTGAGGAGTAACCCGTATTTTCTCTCTTACTGTCTAAATTCCTGGTATAAGCTGTCCCATCAAACCTGTTATCACTCAGGTACCTTTTGGTGGTGTCTATGGTGGCCCTGGAGATCTTCCCTGCTGCCTCCAACACTTCAAATGCCTTAGAGATGGTTAGAACACTGACAACATGTAACAAAAATAAGTTATGATGAATATTTAACACTATTGTTATTGAGCGTATTCCAATTAAGGTCTGTAAATTTCATATCAAATATAATCAATACATTTCATAACAATACTGTTAGAATATACTAAATATTAGGTGTTCTTACCAATAAACATTTGTTCCAGTAAGAGCTTTTATTCTCTCAACTCCTCCCTGTTCTCTGTCAAAGAATGCCACAACATCAGCAACAGGAAGTCCTTCTTGTTCAAAGTACTAATATTCAATATGAAGAAAATTTTGATAAATTACATATAATATCAATTAAGCATTATAGAAACTAATTATCATTGCTTTGGTCCATTCCATAGTGTTTTGATTAACTCTTCCCATCATAAAATCTCCCCCCATCACATATATTATATATTATACAGCTTTCCACTTTCCACTTTAAAAAAGAGAAAGAACTGCACATACAATTACCTCTCTTGAACTCGACTGCTAGTAGCAGAAGTGGCATTAAATTTTTAAGAGGGAAAAGATGTTACAAAGGAAAAAATTCTATAAACTACGCTCTTGTTTTATAATACATAAAACTTGTCTAAATGTATAGACATATTTACACACTGACAGTTTAACTCTATTTAAGGGCTGTATATTATCAAACAATAATTGGCTTGACAAAACATGCTTGCCTTAAATTTGTAAAAATAAAAAAAAAATAATAGTAATAATAATAATAATCCTGTACAAAATAATGTCAACTCACATCAATTGTTTCCAGCAGTGCTCCTCCGGTCATCACTACATCATCTACTATCAAAATACGATCCCCATCTTTGTAATGTCCCTCTAAAGTTTTCTTTGTTCCGTAAGACTTCTGCTCTTTTCTCTTCAACAGCATTGGGACATCATACGCTGTGGAGATGTACTGAAATACAACTAAATTCTAATTTCATCAAGGACCACTTAAAATATCCAGTTTTCCCAAAAAAATATTTAAATATTGTTTTCTGTATCATCTACTTTTAAAGAAATGTTTCACACAGCTTGGTCACATAAATCTTAAAATTATTTCAATCTATCAACTCTAATCAAGGTGAACAACTACTCCAATAGATAGTATACTTACAGATGCCAAGGGCAGGGCTGTGTATGGCACACCTACTATTATGTCATATTTACTCTTCACTCTCTCTACTTCTTTCCACATCAACTCACAAATGGATGACTGAAAAAGGGAATTATAAAGTAATATAATGTTATAAGAAATTGCTGTTTTATCTTAGACTTCAGCACACTTCTGCTGAAAGGCAAAGGTGGAAGGGTATATATCACCTTATGACTGTTTAATACTTCATACTATTGTTATTAGATGGTCAACCTGGTTAAAAAACTAAACTTGTTTACTACCCACTAATATAACACCTCTACACACACATGCCAAGATGCTACTACTACACAATTTGCAGTGTAACATGGGCTTTGATTAAAGGATCTGGATACATTCATCATGTTCTTTCGAGTTCATTGGTTAAGATGTATTTTCATTTTTTCTTTCATCTGCATGCTTTTAACATTAAACTATTCAGCTCATAATTTTATAATGAATTTAAGTTTCTTCTTTGTTCTAATAGCATTCATAAATACATTCAAAGTTAGTCCCTGTTTTTTTTTCTAAAAAGTTTGGTTTTTTGTTAAAATCTCTTAAGAGAATATAACAGAGTATAGCCATCAATGGAGGTCACGTGGTCTGAAGACAAGCTCAGATATCAGAATAATAGCTTTAACTGCTGTTTTTGTTGTAAAACAAAATATATTATATTTCTATGAGTTATTCACAATGTTTTTATTGTGAAATATAGACCTCATACGAAGAGTTATTATCCCTTTAAGAAGGAATTGTTTTCATCATCTGTTAATGTGCAATATGGGCATTTTCTACATACTAGATGAGTTTTTGGCAGGCATGTCTTTCATCATCATTTTTAAGGCATTTGAGAAGGAAATGTTTTGTGCAATATGGATATTTTCTACATTGTAGAGGAGTATAAGGAAGGCTTTCCTCCCCTCTTTTTTCAATGTATATTTGGAATTGTGATCACAGATTTTGCTATTGTGCCTTTGTTTGATGAGCTTTGGTTTATTTTCAAAATCATAAAGACTTCTTTGTGAATTTGCAAGATGTGTTTGGGCGTATTCCCAGAGCTTTTAGATCGATCTATCCCCGCAGGGAGTCTCACTAGATTACTGTCAGATAATCCGGCTTAAATGTCCGTCCCGCCTACTACAAGCTGTAAGGGGATAATTAACTTTCGTGCCCGCTTGGCTGACAGCTATCTATCGTGAACCCCCAGGGAGTTAGGTCGATCTAAAGTAGATCGATCTAATCTCTGGGAATGGGGTGTAAGTTACTTTGATTTTTGTTGATTCCTCCCAAAAATTAATCTTAAATGTTATTTTTTAATTAATTTCAAATTCTAAATTGGAGATTCTAAGGAGGTTAGGCAGTTTACTGGCTTTTAAAGTTTAGCCTCTGCTGTGTGTTACTTTTTTTCGCCCTCATCTTCTATAGGTTAATTATACCAGCCATGTCTCACGATCTCTTTAATTAAGGAATAATTTTTTCATAATAATGATTTATCTGCAATTCAGGCTGTATCTCTGGGTCATTTTTATAGATTTGCTATTAATAATAACACGGTGCCTCCCAATCCTGCCTATATTATTATTACGCACGCTTGCAGACTTCTTCATTCCAAGCCTGCACATAAGGTTTGCCTTAGTATCTAAGATCGCATTCACAACGAGTTGAGCCAGGCTTTACAAATCCTGGAACTAAATATGGCGGACGTACATGAAAGAAAAACCGCCTAATCTTTTAATAGTCTCTCTGCCTCTCACACGCCTCCCCACACGTCGGCCCTGCGGGGTACAGTAATTAAATCTCGGCTCAGTTCACCATGCGGAAGCTACCTGGGAAATATTAAGTGCACATGCTCATTGGTCTTGGGTCAGCTGATCAGCTAGTTCCCCTTCATCCAAACAGTTCGATCAGGCGTAGGGAACAAGGCAAACATCAGCATCAGAACGAACTGCGCCCTCTGACGAGACTGCATACGCAAAAATTCTGCCCTCCTCCTCTGTCTACGGGGCTGGGTATCTCCGTGAATATCTCCGTGAATATCTCTGGTGACTTTACCTCCGTAGATAGCCAAGTCATTGCTGCTCTACAGACCAATTCATTTCTTTTTTGTCTCTGTTTTGAAAGATAATAGAACAGAAGAGCTTTTTTTCCTTCGATCGCCTCCAGCCGCCATGCTTTCTTCACCTCGAGTTTAACTGATGAGCATGCGCACTAAATATTTCTCAGGTACAGTAGCTTCCGCATGGTGAACAGAGCCGAGATTTAATGACTGTACCCCGCAGGGAAGACGTCTGGGGAGGCGTGTGAGAGGCGGAGAGACTATTAAAAGATTAGGCAGTTTTTCTTACATGTACGTCCGCCATATTTAGTTCCAGGATTTGTAAAGCCTGGCTCAACTCGTTGTGAATGCGGTCTAAGATAAGTCTTATTGGATTCTAGATTTATAATTATTTTTGTTTAACAGGTGTCACTCAGGGGCCGTAGCGATAGTCCGAAGGTTCAATAGTCCGAAGGTTCATTGGTCCGAATGTTCACTATAGAACCTTCGGACCAATGAACCCTTGATTAAAAAATCGATGGAAATGTTACCACTTTTCGGACCAATGAACCTTCGGACTATCGAGACGCCCCCGTCACTCACGACGACAGTTTAAACACAGATCACAGATCGTTTCCCTCACCGTCAGTTTTGGATATGAACAGATTACGCGCATGTCGATATAAACTGGGGTTTGCTCGCCAGTCCTCATTGTGAAGTTTCCAAATTTTAATCCCTGGACCTCAAATAAATGTATTACAATCTCGTCAATGCTCAACATGCCCGCCATGATGGAAACAGCACCGCAGGTCAAGAGAAACTAATGTCATTTTTAATATAAAAAATATTAGCCGTTTAGAAAAATACTCTTAATGTTCAAATATGATTTAAACTTTAAAAGAAATAGTATTAATAGGTATTGCTAATTTTAATTTAGTCTTTAAAACATAGGGCACGATTTAATATAGTACAAAATATGAAAATTTACTTACTAAAATGTTCTGTGATGGTTGCATCAGACGCACGCTAAGTAATAAGAGAATACATATTTCTGTGATTTACAACAAATATTCTAAGACTTTTATTATCCAAAAATGATTTACTGTGTTTTGCGACAAAATGCAATTTATGAATATACTAGGCATATTCTAAATATTACTTTGATTCAATTTTTCTTTTTTTTTTCTCTGTGTCGTTTGTTTGAATTTACATTGCGCTACTATTACTATTTCACAGAAATCTTGCATGATCATCATCATTTCTTTTATTTTCTTCCTTATCGCTGACTATTGATCTTCAAGGGAGGTGTAGATGGACACAGGGCTCATTGTGGGAATGGTGTTGTTAGGCTTGTTTGGTGGATACCTTATTACATCAGTTTTACTCCTTAAATATCCATTGATACTACATAAGCGAAAACAACTGAAGTTCAGATGTCGGCATATCTGCCACCGAGGGGGAGCGGGCGAGAGACTAGAAAACTCCATGTCAGCATTCAAACACGCGTGTCACATAGGCACTGATATGTTGGAAATTGACTGCCACATTACTAAGGATGGACAGGTCGTGGTAACGCATGATAATAACCTGCAGAGATTAACAGGCTGTGACGTTTTAGTTTCCGAAACGAATTACGAAGATCTTCCACTTCTGAAGCCAGAGCTCCGCTTGGACTTTGACTTTGGGTGGGTGACCCGGTGTTCATCTGACAATGAAGAAGACGACTTAGGGCAACGCCGTATAACACTTCTGCGAGAAGTATTTGAGCAATTTCCAAACACTGTGGTGAACATTGACATTAAGGTGGACAATGACGAATTAATACAAAGTGTGGCCAATTTGATATCAGAATTTAACAGAGAGAGCCTGACTGTTTGGGGGAATAAAAGTGGAGTGGTTACAAATAAATGTTATACTGCAAATCCCAACATTCCAGTTTTAGCATCAATTGGGACTGTTGTAAAATGGGTTATTCTGTTTTACACAGGCCTCCTTCCTTTTATTCCTATTCGAGAGGCTGCCTATGAGATTGTCATGCCCAGTGTCATATTGAAAGAGGGGAAGACAAGGTTCCAATTGAGTACAAAGCAGAGAGCACTACTTAAGTTTATTGACTGGCTGTTGATGAGCAAACAAATGATTCAGCATTTATCAGAAAGGGGGATACAAACGTACATCTGGGTGTTGAATGAGGAAGATGAATTTGAGAAAGCATTCCAACTGGGAGCTACTGGAGTCATGACAGACTTTCCCACAAAACTCAAACAGTATCTGGAGCCAGGGCATGTTTTGGACAACAAGACATAAAGACCAATTTCTAGAATTTATATTTTCATCAGTATTGGCTAGTGATACATTCTTAAATAAATCTCCATAAATCAAAAGGTGTAAAGTAAGCATGTAGAAAAATGTTTCATACAGGAATTGCAGTTAAACAGATTTTACTTGATGATGATTGGCAGTATTTTGTTGGACCAAAAGATTTGTTTTGTAAGTTAGCATCTTTTAATTTTAGTATTTGTACAACTTCACAAATAAATAAATAAGAAGTACAGTATATTAGGCAACATTTGTTTTGTAATATGGCAAATAAAGCGTTCTCTATTTTATGGTTCAAAATGTTTACTAAGAAAGCTTTATGGCATTTGAAAATGGGCAAATTTCCGAACTTTTCTGGTTTTGCACGCATACAATTGATTGGACAATTAAAAAAATCCTTAACGGGGTCAACTTTATTGATGTGAAAAATGTGATCAAGTTACCTAATCTCTGTATCGTAATGTTTAGTGGATCAATTTTTAACAACTTTTTTATGTATTTGGAATATTTACATTTTTTGTATACAGAAACATAACGGGTGCCAAATTGTTCCATGAACTTAAATATAATTTTTTGTCAGTTTACAGTCTATTTTTAATGTTCAAGGAAGGAAAGTTATATCAAGGTTGTTAATGTTTGAGGATGTTCATATATGTGGAAGAATTGTGATATCAGCAATGCCACTTGAATAAAAAGTACAAGTTGTACTTGTTTTAGTGTTACATAAAAGCATTAAATAAAAGTCTTGTGCTATCTAGAATTGACCTTAAATGCTTTTTATTTTAACCAGTATCTAGTCGTGACAAATTTATATTTTTCATGTAATTTTTTTGTATAATTATGACCATTTCCTATAATTGTTTAAGTGATTGGACCTTACTATTTTATAAAATTATTAGAGTGTGATACGTCATGCTGAATTGAATTATATAACCAAATGAAAATGCTGGGCATTTTGGGTGAAAGTAAGTAGGGAAAAAGTTTGGTGGGGGGGGGGGGAGGATGTAGAAGCAGAACCTCATCAGAAACAATATATTGCCCATTCTCAGTTATCCTGACTGACCATAATAGCAACTGGAGATACCTTGTTGGAGACAAAAAAAAAACATTGATCTCTTTCTTCAGGAAAATCTTTATTGCTGTCATCAACCAAAACCTTTAAAACAGTTTTCATTTTTTAAACGTGAGAAAATATAAGTTTTATTGTAGCTCCATGTCCGGCATGAATCTCAGAAAATATAATTATTTGAGCAAGTTCAACTTAAAACTTGATGTAAATTAATATTAAATTAAAAACTTCAAATTTAAAAGCTGCCTATTGCTTGTTGGGTGTGCAAATATCTAACTTGTCTAAATGTAAAACTTTCACTATACAGCAAAGTAATACAGTCTATTAATAAAAATAAAAGTATGTGTTAAGATAAAAATAACTTGCCTTAAGAATTAATATTACATGTTTTTGAAAATTAAAATTAATTTACAAGTTCATCAGTCTTCTTTAGAAACTCCTGTATGAAATTACATAGTCATTCATGAAAAAATTGTAATAATTATAACAAATTTACCCTTGGTTTGGATAGTATTGTATTTTTGAGTCACAATAACTTCCAGTTTAAGTCTTAAGCAATATGAATATCTTTCTTAGTTAAATTGATGAAAAATTGTCTCTGCAGTTTTAGGACACATTTTCAGGTATGTACAGGCGTTCTCTGGAGACAACACAATCAGCACTAGAAGGGGATAGTATTCTTCAAACAAAGGATCCAATGTCTTCAGGCACTGAAATGACAAAAGGAAAGAAATTGTGTATCGCAACATTTTTTTCTGTTAGGAAAAAATTAATAACTGACAGAAACAGTATCAAATATAAAAATATGGTAATGACTTGAACTTTTCAATTGGCAAAAATTATCAAAACTAAGAGTTAAATCATTTCATAATCACAAAAATTATACTTCTATATCCAGAGAGCATGATGAGGTTAATTACAGGGGGGAAACCTTCTGTTCTAGGTACGCCAGATATTACTATTAAAAATTAATTTTAAAATGTTGAAAATTTAGCAGAAAATGAATGGCAAACAAAGAATTCTTTAAATTTTACTTAGTTTTCAAATACATATCAAAAATACTTAAATTTGTATACCCTTACAGTAAGCAAGGGGCTGATTGGAAACAATTTTATTATTTTTCTGTCACATGTACAACAAAATAATAATAAGAGTTGCACAAGATACTAGTATGAGTATTTAAATACATGGCATGCAAATAAAAAGCACACTGCTAAATACAAGTCTGTTACTAACATAATAAACTATGGCCCCATTCAGAATAAGGGACTAACTAGTCCAAGGGTCAAATATGACCAACCCACTTGAATACTTCCCTGCAGGATATCTATTCAGTGTCTATTAGCGGATTAGACGGCAAGCTTTTGAGTGGGTCACCATATTTGATCTTTGGACTAGTTAGTCCCCTATTCAGAATGGAACCTGTGTTCAAATTAATCCCATACCCCAATCTAAAGCAAGCCTTCTCCAGGGCAAGCTTTGAGGGTTGGACAGACTGCTCCAGGAGAGAGGACAGTTTGCAGGAGGAGGTGGATGGAGCTGTTCACAAAGCTGGTACACTGAGGAGGGAAAATTGACATGGGTTTTTTAAATGTGAAAAACAAGGAACAGTCATGAAGCAATAGATGAAATCAGTACATTGTTTCAGTTTTTTATAAACACTTAAATACTGATGAAGACAATTCATGCAAGAGAAGAGAGCTGCACTATAATATTTAATAGTTAAGCACTATACCCAATGCATTTAAACTGTAGTTTAATTTGACCTTTTCCAAAACCAAAGAAATTGCATAAGCATACAACATATATATATATATATATATATATATATATATATATATATATATATATATATATATATATATATATATACACAACATATGTATATAATAGGAGAAAAGATCCATATATTTATCATGTGCATCCTAAATCAAAAGTTATGCCTGATGATGACACAAACATTACAGCCTGTGACATGCCAATGCATTGTTTTAATTAATCTAATTAGTCTGACAAAACCTTTTGACTAGGATACCACAAAAGGATATGTATCCATTAACATGGGAAATATTATCCTTAACCAAGATATTCAACCAAAACCAGCTGGGCTCAACCCGTCATATTTACTTACTTCTGTGCTAGTGGGAGGTGGAAGTCTCTTGCATACATCATTGATGATCTTTTCTGTATCATTCTGAAAAAGGAGTTATGTGATGAAAATTTACTAACATTGATTGATATTCATATTTCAGCTTATGTAAAGTGATCACAAGAAAATGTATATATTTATACCGGTATCAATTTCAGTCCAATATCCAATGTTTGCAAACCACAGATTCAGAAATATAATACTTAAATCAGATTGGAAGGAAAAGCCGCAACTTGCAGTCATCTGATATTGTTCACTGATTGATAAAAAAAAATTCTTTTCTCGGATTGGTAAAAAGTTATTAGTGATGTCCTTAGTCAACATTATGTTTGGTGATGTCATCATCAGTCAATATCATGCTTTATCAGACCTCAAAAAGATCTTTATATATGCTAATTTTAAAAAATTCTTTTATGGTTAAGTATATTTTTACAACAACCATGACCTTAAGATATTTATTCAATAACTATGGTACTAAAACTACGATAACAATTTAAAAATAGATTATATATTAATCTCTCTTTAGCTGAAAATAATATTTACCATGTGTGCCATTAGATAGTCATCTATTTTCTGCATAACAAACTTGCAGATGTCACATTCAACACTATTGGCTTCAACTCTCAAAGATCGCACTGTGCGAAGTTTTATCCATTGCTGCTCATGAGCTGAAAATACCAGTAATATATATGTTTCAGCCTTGTTTACTTTTGGCATTTCTTCTCTTATTCAAACATGAAACTTGATTTTCAAAAAGGTGCTGTTGACCAAATTACTGTTGAATTAAGAGCTAAACATAACTACAAGGAATTACGATGTGAAAAAAACTCAACTGAAAAAGTGTGATGAAATTTTCTTTATGCAGCATTAAGGCAAAAAAAAAGTTATATTCTACTGCATCAGGTCATACATATCAGGCCCGTAGCCAGCAATTTCAAAAGGGGGGTTCTTTTTCTGAAAAAGTGGACCTTTTTCCATAAAAACTTCATGTACCTAGATCAAATTTTACCCAGAGTGGACCTTTTC